AACGAGATAAAGCTCACATGTTAACATAAAACGAAGCCCAGTCATCGACCTCTCCAGGCAGTCTTGCAGCGGAGGGACCTTGCCTGAGAAGGTCGTTTGTACGATGATCAGCGAAAGCAGGGATAAGGTGGCATGCCCTGATCACTAGCGACGGGTCAAGAAACCCGAAGGCAGCAGGTGAGTCGGGAACGAATCCAATCTTTGGGAGGCGGCCTTCTCGGAAGCCCCAGCGGTACTGTGGCACAACGCCGAACCATCGCACCCACAAGACCTCCATGTACTGAGGCGAACGGTTACGAGCGTTGGGGCCAACATGAAGAACGTTCATAGAAAATGCACCCAACACCCGTGCATACCAAAAAGGGTGAGCGCTCGCACTGCTTTCTCTCGACAGCATCATCACTGTAGAGCCATTTCCAGGTTTGAGCGTGTCTTGATCCCTACGGACATCATACGTTGTGTAGTTGATTTGGAAGCGCTTAGGTTGGAAAACGCCGTTCAGATTGTTGATGAAGCGCACATCATTTCGCTCGACGTCCGTAAATTCTCGTTCGTCGCCGTCATATTCTAAACCCAGCAAGCGAGAAAGAATATGGTCTTTAATTTTTGGTATGAAGTTCTATCAGGTAACGTTATTGAATGTGTTAGAACAGTCATACACAAATATAACTTACCACGACAGCTGGGTCACCTCGATGCTCTTCAAGAAAACAAGCTAAATTGATGATGATACCCAGATAACTTGATAAACAATGGTGAGCTTCCAGCGGTAGTGGGCTTCCGGCAGGTTGATTATCTTTAGTATTGCCGGATTCTCGCAGACGTCTGATACGAGTGCGCCTCCGTTCTTGCTTCGCTAACTGTTTCGGAGGGTCTTGTTTATTTGTACTCTGGTAGAACCTTTTCAAAAGCCAATGTGCGAGCTCGCCCTGGAAACTCAAAGGATTAAGCTGTTTACTTGCCACTCGATGAAGGTGAATACATACTATTTGGGTAGTGTACGAGTCAGTGGTTCCAAACATTTTGATAGAGCTTACATAGTCACCAAGCGCGTGTAACTTGTAAGTATGCATATTGAAAGCCTTGGGACGCGCTCCAGATGGCCCTGTTCCTGCACCTGCCAAGTTGAGATTGGAAATCTTCTTCTGACGGGCAGCAATTTCCCCTGGGAGCTCCATAGTCCGAAACACTGAGCATGTGGAATCCCGAAACTTTCGAAGCTGCTGTCCTAGACATCTAGTAGCTCGACTAAGTAGATCAAGGGAGTCGTCTGTGTGAATTCAAAGCTTTGCAAGAGCGTGCCATTCAGCCAGACGAAAGAGGAGAATACGGACAACTTCATCGTGTGAGTTCGGGAATAGACCCTCGAATGCAGGGATCGCACACTGAACGACAATCAGATTCAAGAACAACACTGCAGCAAGGATCAAACTCACCTGTAAGACATCCTCGAAATGTCGTGCAGCTCTTTGTTTCACATCAGATACATTTGAAGGGAAACGTCGAATGGCACCCTTTCCAAATGACGGAATTGAGTGAAAACTTAACATTGAAGGATCGTCAGCATCAATTGAGGCTGCCGTGCTAATGAATATGTACCGTTCATTCAGTAAAGCTACTGATTCATGATTGATGGCATAAAGAAGCCTTATAAGATGCTTGAAGACGTATTTGAACACTCCGAGCTCGAATTCATGAAGGAGATCGACCACAAGCATAGGAAAGAAATCAAGGCCTAGATTTCCAAGTCGCTCATTGAAGGTATTCTAAATGCAAAATATGCTCGAGTTATTCAAAAAGGTCTGCAGCTAAATGCGCTTACCAAGTTGGCACCAATGAGAACGCCTTCAGAAGACGCTCGGCCGCAGCACCTTTGATCGGAGCACCTAGTTTGTATAGAGCCTCACGTGCTGCAAAGACCTTATCTCTGAGGTATAAGCGCACACTCTTGATGCGTGCCGATATGTCAGCTTTGAGACCAAGCTGATCAAAGCGTGATTTCGGCAGAAAACACCGGGGACATGGGCAAACTCCTTTGTCGCGAATAGTAGCAATAAGGACTCTGTTTGAAGGTCGTCAGTTAGTGTGGAAGTCGATGCAGTAAATTAGCTCACTTCTCTGGGTAATCTGCCGAATAAGTAAAAATCCTCGGAAAGACTCGTCAAGATATGCCATCGTGGCATTTGATCACAATCCCATTCCTATACGCATCTAGGAACTCATCATCTAATAGGATGCGCCAAAGCGCATGGAACAATTCCCGTTTGCAATGTGTGAGGATGTCGCTGATGCTCTTCGTCTTGACATACTTGCCAATGAAACCTACAATAGATTCTGGTAGCTAGAGACAAATCGTGTTAGGGTACTCGCTGATTGTCTGATGGGAAGGATGTAAACTTACAGAAGGGATAAATGCGATAGGGTGACAGGCATTGGTGGTTGGACAGGCACGGACGTATTTCGATTGGTTTCCAAAAAAAAGATAGACCGGCCATGCAGAAGCGTTGCCGAACTGAGCCAAGTGCGTTGCATTGGACCAGAACATGAGTCCAGCAATTACCCGCTCCAGCTGACACCCATCGTCCCTCTTTTGCTTCTGCAGCTCGTCGTGGGCCTTATTCCAGGCATCTGAAGTATAAAGCTCGTCATATAAGCGTTGTTCTCGTCCAGTTAATGGTGATTTCCAAAATCGTTTGAACGGAGTGAGGTGAAACCAGCGCGATGATGCCTCTGAGAAGGCTGCACGAATAACAGCTACGAGTGGCCGGTAATGGAAACCTGGGACAGTAAATAGTTGCCCGTTACCAGCTGTATTTCTCTCCCTAGTTGGTACTAGTATTTCCGCTACTGATTCCCTCCAGCTATCTCTTTGAAATATACCATTAGCGTCCAGTGTTGCTTCAGAGACGTCAAAGCGCGTCATTTCGGTGTGAGCATTGAAATCATCAGGCACATCGTCGAGACTGAAATCCTTCGCCTTCAGCACTTCGCGAACGAGGCGAGTCAACTGAGATTCAGATGTAAGACCACTATTACTGGTCATCTTCCAAGACATCAAGCGCCAGATGCTCATACTCCTCCACGGCCAAGGGGGTGATTGCGAAGGAACTTCTGGGATCCTGGAATGATCAGTGGAATCCTGTTCGTCAAGGGAAGGGAGATTGGACGTAATATTGGATAGCTGCTCAACGGAGATGAAAGCATCTGGGTCATACGATGGTCGGTGACGATACTCCCGTCCAATTCCAAATTGATTGAGAGATGTGCGAAAGGAATCGAATACATAAAGAACCACCCGGCGCACAACGTTCGTCGAAGCTGGCACTGGAATGGCAGGTGGTGGGACCGGAAGTTCGTCCCTGAACCGTAAGGGTAGGCGATGCGTTCGAGGGGGACGGCCAGCTTGATTCTCTGGCTGCTCCTCCTGTACAATGTCAGGTGCAGAGGCGCTAGACAAGGCCACTGCCGAATCATTGATGCTGGGCAGAGATGCAGGAATATCGGAAGATTCAGATGTCGCGATGTTCATAGGCATAGGTGGAGATTCCGAGGCAGAGGTTGGCTAACATTCAAATGAGTGGAGTCCAGGGTACGGTGTGCAGTAAATGCACTTACTACTTGAGCACTAAATTTCATCTTCTTCGCAGGAGGCGCTTGCGAATCTTGTAGGGACGCAGAGATGCGTTTGAAATGTTGTGACTGCAGAGTCAGTTGCCTCTGCCAATGTTTGCAGGTCTGACGGTGACGAGTCAGGCTTCTAGGCGCTGAGAACAATCGGTTGCATTCCCCTCCGCATTTGAGGTTCATGCTAACGAAAGCAATGATAAGTAGAAAAGCTGTCAGATCCTTGAGAATACGAATGAGTTTCATTGCCTCTTCATACTATGCACCGTGGATGTGATAGAGGGATCGCTTTGAAGTGAGGGGTTTCAGACCCCGCCGAACTCGTTTGCAAGATCGGAACTTGGTAAATTACAATGCAGGGTCAATAAGAATTTATGTAACGAAACACAGGCCAGATTAAGTTCCGAAGATATAACATGGTTAAAAGCCTCATGCTTGACGGAGTAAGCAAAAAAGATGTCGTCCAACTATACCCTTGACAACGGCTCCCGCTCCAGTGACTTCGATGATGGGATTGAGACCATCTCGGCGAATGCCAATTTGCTCGAGAATCACTCAAGAAGTTCTACTCCGGAATGTCTTTGGGGATGCACTATGCATTGTGACCACGGGCCAGGGCCCCATGTGTATTCCTGTAAATGCCATAAGCACCTGATTCATGTGCTCGAAAAGTTTGAACAACCTACAAGGGGCCAAGATGGTGGTCTTGAAGGCACTGGTGAATCTCATAGAAAGCGGAAAATTTCTGGAGATGACAACGTGAGTGTGTACAGCCCATTTTTTCTGCTGATGCACTTACCGCCACATGCAGACTCCACGCATCTTCGGCCATGACATGAGTAATAGGCGAGCAACATCATTACCTATCATTGAACTTCCACCCAAGAAACGTAGGAGGATCGGAAGAAATCTCGTGTTGTGTGAAGAGGAATTGCTGGAGGGGGTCATGCAGGAAGTTGCAGGAATGCATAATGCTATGAGCAAGATAGAAGCGATCTTCAACAGGCAGAACTCAGTTCTTCTCGAAATCTGTAACACTATTGGAAACCATGGCATGTGAATCGTTGTATATAAACTCACCATGTAATGACTTGAATCAGTACTCAGTGTCGATGCCCTGTGCAGTGCGAATGATATGACGAAAATTCCGAAAGACCAAGAGAGCATCCGAAAGAGGCTGGCACGTGTGATGAAATCCAGTACGTCCCTTCTGGCGAGTGACGAGTCTAGCCTGTTCCACTGGGACAAGGAACGGTATGCCCACAGCATTTGCTCTTGCATCCGCCCACTCACATCTTGCAGTCGTCCCAGAGCCGTATATCACAACCCTCCAGCAAGTAGCAGCACTTTCATCTTTTTGAGCTGCTACAGGTCATGGATGAGCCAAAGCTTTCAAGGAGGCCAAGGGACCGTGATCCCGCTCAGCCAACCGATTTTGCAGAGCGCATGGTTGCCCCCTAGAGAAGAAATACCGTGTACGTATTTTTCTTTTGACTAAATATGTTATTTTGTTTATCTAGTTCAAGTCGTCCCCGCGAACGCCTTCATCTCGTCTGCAACTTTCAAATCCTAATCCGCCACCTGTTCCTTCCCGCCACTCTCCCGCAGCAACATCTCCACATAAGACTATTCTCGCACCTCATGTTGTACCCTGCTCAGAGGCAAACCCGGAAGATTTCTCATGGCACCTCAAGATATCTACCCCCCACCGCCACCACTACATAAAGCAGACCCAGCAGGGCAAATCATTCAATCCCAACACGGATCCCATTCCAATGAGACGCACAACTTAGCCTTTTCCGATGCAACAAGTAGTTCATCCCCGCCCCGCAACACCCCTACTTCCCATCAGAGAGACCCTCCAGCAAGTCGTCAACTATTCGATCACAGGAAGGATGATCCTGTACGATTTGCAGTTCTTGCCCATCCATCGTCAACTGGTGCCCGCCCTCCACCTACACCTAAATCATCAGGAGACTATGTCTCTGCGTCTTCGACTTCCTCATACGCTCATTCGTTGACGTCGAGCTTCGCCCTTTCTTCTGGCACGACAGATAATTCATCTGCATTGTGCGCATTACTTGTCCCGCGCTTCTTATATTCTATTCGCAGAGCCAAGGTACGTTGATTCTGTATCACTTCACAACGACAGTATCTCACAAACTTTCAAGCAGCCATCGTGCCTCCGCTTCTTCCCAATCATCTGAATTCACCCACTCCAAATCGAACACTTCCACCTCATTCCACCAACACCGTCGTTAATGGGACTTATTCTGGAAGAGCCTGCATACTGTCAACAAACTACTACTATCGAGTACATCTGAAAGGGCCCCGTGTCATTACATGTTGTTTTCAACCGCGTTGCGGACCTCAGCCATCACTCCGCTTTGCCTATTGATGGCTGCCTCGAGTCTACTCACGGCTTCTCGCACACCCGCAACTTCAATAGCTAGTTTTTCGAATCTCTTTCTGAGCTCATCCGAGATGGGTATACGAGTTTATTTCTGCCCGTTGGTAATGTCCCGACCCTAATTGTGCAGAGCATCCACGTCAAGGTAAGCGCATAATTTTGAAAGATACAGCTGCATATACTTACATCATTCAAGTTGTCCTGTGACCTCTTTCGCTTTAGACTTGGACTCATCAGCAAAATCTCGAAATCCTCCAAGTCCGAGTCTGAGTCAAGGTTAGCAAACAGAGCTTTCCAGCGGTCGACGTCCTTCTGGTCATATCCTCGGGGTGCTAGATGTTCTGTTTTAGCCAGTCTGTGAGTTACTCGGCCAGAATATGAGTGATTCAAATCTGCCACGCTCACCATACGTATAGCACCCGCAGGAATACACAGGACCACCTTGCCCATGCGACTGACCAGGGCCAGGGCAGGAGTCCTTGTGACTTTGTGGAGTTGAGATTCTTGATGCGGAGTGATGGTCATCCTTGCCTGCACTTTCAGTGTTCATCGAGAGGATAGTGTCGGCTCCATCATTAAAGCCAGAGGAGCGTGAGTCGTTACTAGTCTCAGAATCTGTGTCAGACAACATGTTCGCTGGTGTCCCCCTTCAAGTTGGAGAGCAACGTATTTAAATTCAATTCACTCCTCATCTCAAACTCACACAAAGACGGCTAACCCTGCTCTGATACAGAAGTTCCTCTTGGATTCTCCCTGACCCTGCATTCCAATGTGCTCGGGCTCCCGAAATTTTGTTGTCAAGTTCCGAGAGACCCTGCCGGCGATCATATCACTTATGATATAGCGTCAAGATGGACTCAATTTTGAATTTCGACCGAAGTGCGGTTATTAAAACGGCTTAGGCTAGGGTTGAACGTCAAACGCTGAACGTTGAGTACTATTAGTTCTAAGTGGGGAAACAACCCAAATGTCTGCAGCCCTTCCATGGTACTTGACGCCACTTAGATGATCCGTCAACTCCAACTAAATGCATCCGGTGTGTAACACCTGCTGATAATTTCACATGTGAGTCAGATCCCATGACCACTACTAGTAACTGATGATGACACTCTGTCGCAAGCTTTCCATCTACTGGTGCCAGCGGTATTGGTCCACCACTAGTTGACCCTTCATTTCTGCTGGCCGCCCTGCAACTCTGACATTCGAAACTTCTGCCAGCAACATTTGCGCAAGGTCCGATACACTGAGACTAGTACTGCTTCCATACTATGTCATTGGTGCGGTGAGTCACTTGTATTCAGGATCCCTGCACGGAGCATGATTTTCCTTCTCTCGATACGACACCAGACTTTAATTTTACCTCGGATACAAACATGTAAGGTTTAGTGTACAATCGGCGTGTCGTGAAGATTCGAAATAGAAACACAATCTGCCTAGGTTTCAGTGTATCAAAGTGTCAGGGTTAAAATGCTCGGAACTTACTCAGACTCCTTCAACCCCGCATTTGCATTGCTCGGTCCAAGAACACCGAGGGTTTGGACCCATGTGTAGTGAAAATAATTTTGACTAAAACATAGTTCAGAGGTCAGGTGTCCCGTCTGTAAGTAATCACCGAAATGTTCTAACGAAATCATCCTGACTTCAGCCATGCGACGGGTTAGGCTCGATAATTCGAGATCCAAGTACCCGAACTTTAGGCTAGACATCTTCTAGTTTCCCCATCATCGTCTGGTACTCATGCCAGTGCCGGCGTTGCCCCTCGAACTCAAGAAAGAAATTTTTATTCTCGCTATTGATTGCATACAGCAAGCTTACTCCCTTCTGTTTGTTTCACGGCGGGTACATTATTGGTGAGCAATTCCGAAGCACCGAATGCTGAGTTACTGAGTAGTACTACTGTCGCAGGACTGAAAGGCTGCTTTATCGAAAAATCGTTTTGTCAAATGAAACCATTGCAGTCTCCTTTCTTGCCTCACTTCGTATTCGGTCCCAACGCTGCAGTAATTTCGCTCGAGGGGCTGTGCAGTCACTGTGCATCGAGGGCGATGTACTTCTGAGTACAGCCGCAGATATCCTTTCCTTGTGCAGCGGTACCACCAATCTTGCATTATGGATTGCACCATCAGACTTCAACGGAACAACAAATCCTCTGCTGCGGCCCTTAAATGACCTCCCCCTAACATCGTTATCGCTTAGTTTATCCTCGATTTTCCAGTACACCCAATTTGTCTCTCTTTCCGCTTTCAAGGCCTTCAGTACAGTGACAAGTCTTGAAATTCTCAACACTTGGGTGTTATGGAACTCTACAGTTGGTCTGGAGTATCTTCATGGACTGACGCACTTATGCTTACATATTCATATGCGGAGGACTAAGCCAGAATTAGTGATGACCCTTCTTGCTTCGTCAAACCTTCAAGTAGTTGTGTTTCGCATCTCCGAGGATATCGACGCAGTGCAAACATTTTTGAAGTCTAATTCCCTCAGCGACTCTCGCATCGTGCTGGCATCTCAAGTTCCCACTGCCTGGGGTGAACTTGGAGGTGACGACATGTCTCTCTGGAAGGATGCTGATCAAGTAGTAGATTGGAGACACGCTAGTACACAAAGTATGTCTTTATATCCTACAAACGCGCGTATGAGCGGCTAACACATTCAGTAGGAGGGTCTGCACCGAGACAAAATGAACCCCTATACTGCTCGAGGAAACTTGCCTCCTGAGAATGACTATAGGACCGGGAACAGGGCGAGAAATGGGCCCGAAGCATGAGTTTAGGGCTGCTGCTGCGGTGGATTCATGTATAAAGGCTGAAAGCGGCCTAGGAGTGATCATCTGCGCTTTACATTTTACAAGCTCCACGGGGGTGTGCTAGTTGAAAACAATGATCAATTACAACTTTTGCGCAAGGTGTGGGTGACTTGCAGTATGAAACTGGTGATGGCGCCTGCGCCTGCACCAGCTAATGCAAGCTGAGGTAACGAAAGATCGTGTGACATGTGCTGAGAGTTAATCCGCCGTATCACGTCTTGGAGTTCGGTATGGCATAAAGTTGACGCGCATCGTGGTTGTTCTCGTCCATGACAAGGTAAAGTTCCGCATAGAAAGCTGCAGATCTGACAAGGTCAAAATCAAGAGACGAGTCCATAGTATGAATGCAGGCCTGGTAACGGCTTGCGAATCTTCCAGTGGCATTAGTATAAGCCTAAAGCATGAGGACTCGGAGGACATATCCATGACCCCACTGGGCGTGTCCGGAAAATGCCGGGCGGTTTGTCAATGCCTTGTCATCGTCTTATCCCGCCGTCAGCCATATCCTACATGTCCTCCCGTCAATGCACCAACTGCTCCAGATAAAGTCCATTCAACGAAGACACCCGCAGCTTCGTCTATGGTCTCCAGCCATGTACCATCCGGAGAATATCGGATTTTTTACAACAGTAAACGCATGCGCCCCTCTGTGGCAGCTATGATTTACCCCTTTGGTGGAAGGGCATGCTGCTTATCGACCCTGCTGCTGTTGGTGGGATCAAGCCTTTGTTTACTTCAGGATCTGGAACTCTGAAGGTACTTCCCTCTCTTTTTGCTTGACTCGCACTGACATGAATATCTTCTCACAGCATGACAGATAGATAAGTTCTTCCTCCCCGTTAGTGTCGACTACGTCTTTAAATTTCCAACGAACTCAACAACATCCTCAGACTCGTCACAAACGGCACCTACGATGATAGGATAAATCATCAAACCTTAGGACTCTCCTCGCTACAAACACGAAATTCATCTCACCACTTCTATGATCGTGTCTGTTACGGCGATGGCTTGTGGAGCTACCGCATACATCCCTATTGGCCGGTGAAGGTTCAACGATACAGCGAGGCACGAACAATGCTCCTGACTGTATCTATAATTGTTGTAAGGTCGTGCGTTGCCTAGTCTGCTATACTTGAGACGACAAGTGCGTTCGACCCTAAAGGGGAAGCGAGTGCAGCAAGGATCTAGAGGTATGCGCTGAAAGCGCTACTGGTTGGCCAATGCGAAGCGCGAGAAAGCGCAGGTGCGCGCAAGGCGCGGGAATGCGCGCGTGTATGGCGCGAAGCGCGGGAATGCGCGCGCGTGTATGCGGAAACAAGAGTGAGTAAGAGTGAGTTTGCTTAGGTGATGATATGATGTAAGACAAGAGAAGGGAGATGCAAGGTGTAAACAAATAGATTTCTACTATGTTCTGCTAGGTAAATAGTGGGTAGTAACCAGTAAGTCCTCTGTCGTTCTGGTGGGAGAGTAAGTTTGTTTTTTAGTAAGTATGTACTGCTGGCGCTTAAGTATGGCGCCTAAGCGCTGTCATGCGGAGCCGAAGCGCTACCGAGTAAGGTATGTAAAGATATATGTAAGTAAGGGTCCATGATAAAAATAAAGATGGAACGATATGCAAATATGAGAAATGGAAATATACGCACTAGGGAACTTGGTGGACAGTGGATGGATGCTTCTGGATGGCTGGCGCTATAGGGCGCTACAGCGCGGGAAAGCGCGCGCGCGCATATACATCGTGAAGCGCGGGAAAGGTACGCGCGCATGGCGCGCGTTGCGCGGGAAAGCTGCGCCTCATATAGAGATAGCTGCAGGTAGCACACAGAGTGATGCTACAAGTTCGTGCCATGTACTCCCCAGTGAAAACTGCCATATTGCACAATGAGAGGCATGAGTCTCTACACCGGTTCTGCGATTTCCCAGGTGAGTGCTCGTGCCGCATAGTCGTGTGTTCCGGGCTGTGGGGGATGTGCTTATGGTTGCTTGCAGGTAATTTTGGATGCTTACAGGACTCGAGTGTTAACGGCGGGAATGCATTCATTTATGAGTGTGTGTATCGACCGACACCTTCGTGTACACTTCAGGCCCTGACTGCCCCACTTGCTGTGAGGCCACCACCAGCGGTGCGTTCTGCACGTAATATAAGAGGTGAGCGCGGTTTTCGTTGATACCTCTTGAATATGAGTGCTGACGTTGCGCCACCCTCATTGTTGGGTGTAATTCTGTTATAGTAATGATGAGCAGAGGTGTATTGATAGATTCAAACACCATTGTGACCATAGCGTCAGTCAGTAAGATGTTCATAGTTGCCTTGTGATGCCAAATTTCACTGAGCACGACTTTCTGCATAGCATCCATTGACTGGGGATGTACTGTGCAAGCCGTGGCTGCAGTATCGATTGGCTCAGCGCTCATGTGATCCCAATCATCGCGCGCTTCAAGCCTGGTCCAAACTTGAACATCCCCTCGTTTCTCCTGCCAAACCCGTGCCTATGAGATCTCTGAATTCAAGAAAGAGGCTTGCGCACGTGGCTGCTCAAAGACCGGCATCTACTGGGACATTCAAAGTAAGTGTACTCGTGCTTTTGGGAGACTGCTGCTGAAACTGCATGCTTAGTTTTATCATATTTTTCACCAAGGACGACTTCAGCCCGGAGGCACGTGGCTTCGTCGAGAACTCATATCTACGAGGGTTGACGCCGCAGGAGTTTTTCTTCCATGCCATGGCTGGAAGAGAAGGTCCTATCGATACGGCCGTCAAGACAGCAGAGACTGGTTATATCCAGTGTCGTCTCGTCAAGGCATTGGAGGACGTGACGGTACATTATGATGGCACTGTTCGCAACTCGCTTGGAGATCTCATCCAGTTCGTGTATGGTGAAGACGGTATGGACGGTGCGTTTCATCGAACATCAGAAGATTGAGACCTTTGGCCTTGACAATGAAGCCTTTGAGCACAACTATCGCGTTGATGTCACGGATGGCAAGAGTAGATTCTTGCCTAATACCCTCCAGATTGGCGTTGATGATAGTTCTCTGGAGCTGCAGATGAAGTTGGACGAAGAATACAACTTTGAGTCTTACAGCTCGAGGCATGTACATGATACTAAACTACACCAAGAATCGTAAGTGCTACTGCTCAATGCCTCTTAATACAAATGGTACTAAAATATATCTTACACTTAACAGTACGCCTCGCGAATTATGTCAAGGACCTGGTGGACTTAGACGCATGATTCCGACGAATTGTCTTGTCTTGTCGCTCAAAGACATTTTCTCCTGCGTGTGGATACTATGGCAGATAGGTTGCTAATGGTGAAGGTTTGCTTTCTACTGGACGGGCTCACCTACTGTTTCTAACCGCTTTCCATATTACAGCCTAGAGCTCTGATGTGCCAAATGGCCGGCTTCATCGAGATAACTGATGATGTGGACAAAGAAGTCCATAACCATCAGGGGACAGAGGCGATGAAACACGGTAAGGCATTCAGGCGATATGATCTCAATGTCATCTAATGTCCTAACCCCCAGTGAGGTGAGCGGACGGAGAAACATTTTGATCCACCCGCGCCGTGGCTCTGCCTTGTCAAGTTTCGCCAGAAAGTCGTTGATGGAAGGATAAGAGACATTGGGGTCAGTCTCGAGCTCGAAGTTGGTAAGTATAGATGTCATGTAGTTTGCGTTGTTGGGGCTACAGTACGCGGACCTATGGTTGGGGTATTGCCCTCGCTTTCCACTTCACTAAAGGTGACTTTCAGGCATTATGTAACTGCTGTCGCATGATCGACAGAATCATCTTGGAGCAAACTCTACTAACAATTTACTGACCCTGTCATCTGTTTCAGCCGATATGTATGTGGCGCATGTGCCGTCCATGCAGGGTTGCAACGTCGAAGAATGTACGGAGCCGATATTCATCACGTTGTGTGACGTCCAGGCTAAGGATCCCCAACAAGTTAGCTGCCTCAAGGTCCGTGTTTCATCTCCGCCATGTTTCCTTAGCTAAATTGACCATCATGCCTATTCCCTAAGCCCCCACTTGGTATTCTCATCCACGCAATGGCAACCTCATCTCCGTCTCCATCTGAATCAGACAACAACGAGATCCACCCTCTAGTCGCTCTCAAAAGACGAATCGCCGCACTCGAGGAAGAAAATGCAGACCTCCGAGTCCGTGGGCTCCCTGGGAACAAAAGGTATGTCTAGTGTTCAAAATTGCGGCACAACTTGATAAAAAATTAAAGTAGTGAATCGAATGCATACTATGGTCGACCAATTTGAAGACTCGTATGTCTGACCGAGCGCGTTGAAGATTTGGTAGCAGAATTCAATAGGCGCATTGTACTTGGCGCCGTCAATGAATCAGACGCGGACAAGATGGATTCAGATGACCCAGAGTAAGTACATCTTTACAACTTTCACTGGTTAGTCCTCAGGTCATGTTTCAGTGAAAATAGGTGGTATCACTCCTTCAAGAAACTTATGGAATGGTGTCCCTCGGCTCGTAATTTACTACGGTCGTCAGCCGAGCACGAAATTCTTGCTTTTGCCTACAACAAGGTGAGTCTCTCAAAAACAATTCATTGACGAAATGTGATTGTATCTCGCATCCAGCTGAATGAAGGCTCTGACGGGGCCAGAGGAGACGACTCTGCTAGTCTTAAGTGTGCTGTCGCCGATTGGCTAATGGAACGCACTCCCACACCAAATCCCACCATTCACAGACAAGACAAGTCTGGTCAGGGTTTCTACAACGACGTGACAGGCGGACTCCTGTGCCCAGTTGATTACGACTGGAGCAATCCCATGTAAGTACTCTTTTCTGACCTGCGCCACAATCATCTTATGTCTTCAAAGTGTTCGAGCCTCCATTCGAGACTACCATCCCGATTTCTGTATCACCACTTGCTCCTGGCCGTCATTCCTGTACGAGAATGGATGCTATGACCCCCAGAATCCTGCCAATGGTTTGTTTAAAGGCAAACTACTTATAAAGGTAAAATTATCATGTTTGGTAGAAGCATACTGAATGCAGTCTCCAGGCATTCAAACGCGTGTTCACCTCTCCAACTTCCACATACGAGGAACAACCTGCTGACTCGGCGGCTTGTTCTGTACGGAAGAAGAACAGTGCCGAGTGTCGCACTCGGCGCGATGTTTCAACACTCCTCAATATGCGATCTATTCAACCTCGAGCCATAGCCTATGTGTCTGTTCAGGTACAGACTATTTAACTCAATGTTGTGCGCTTTGCTGATTAGGGATTTAGCTAAGATTTGCGTTGTCGAGCGCGGGATCTTGGCGCATCGTTGACGACGAATTCAACCATCAAGAGTTCTACGACAATATTGTGGACTATCTCGAGCTCCCTCCATCGCCAGAAGCCGTGAAAGATGTCGACGACCTTTTGCTGTGGTGGAATCAGTGAGTAGTTTTGGCATCACCGTCTTTTGTTGATTCATTTGGGGTTCGTTTTTTAGAAAGGTTTTTGGTAGAAAATTTGTCTCCGATTATCGCCCGCAGCATGTGAACAAAATGTCGGTCGCCATGACTTTGGCCAGGCGCTAGATGTAGTTAAGTTTGGTTAGTACTTAATGTTAAATGTTAAACTGCTAGCTGTATGTAATTTTACATTGTACATAATGAATGATTAAAATTTTTCATAACGCGTTGCCGAGTGAGATTCTAGTACCATCAGCAATATTTGACATTAAGACCTGCAATAGACAATATGCCCAGACATTCTGCACTACCATATGATCGAGACAAATGGTCCACCTTCATCACTCATTTGGTATCTAGTAGTCAACAAAAATATGATAGATGTGGGACTTCATGCTACGAGTTGTGCGCGATGCCGCAGTATTGAAAGTTGGGTGGGTTTGTCTCAAGGGCAACAATACTAAGTGATCGGGGACACATTTACATGACTTGCAAGCTCTGGTAGCATACACCACGCTGATACATGTGGGCTACAAGCTCCATACAGATAATTATGTTCGAAGCACCTAAATTCTGCAATATAATTTATCTTCCGTATATTTCAGTTACCATTGCCTAAGTGTTTGACTTTCCGTAGTGTAGTTATAAGGCAATGTATCGCACGAAAAAGATGATAATCTCTTCACTTAAATGTCATACTTGGTAATCTGTCAAATGTATACAATTATTATTTAAATTGACCAAGGAGGCTAGGTGTGCAAAGGTATGTATGATGTCCAATACTTGCTAGTTAATCATCTTGTAAATATTTCAGTTGCCGTTGCATAACGTCTGACTTTCCGATGTGTAGTTATATGGTATTGTATCACACGAAAAGGATGATGATTTCTTCACTTACATGTCACGCATGGTAGTCTGGCAAATATGTAAGGTTATTATTTAATTTGGCCAAGGAGGCTAGGTGTTTAAAGGTATGTATGACATTATATAACTACGTGCCATATTTCACCTGATTGCAGGTATTATGACCATTATAATGGGGATATAATGGTTTATAGCGGATCTTGACTTTCAGTGATGTCAACAACTTCATCAAATATCACCATGAAGCGGGGGTTCTTGAACACCCGCAAGGCTAAACAGCGTGTCGCAGAAGCTGTAGATGCGGAATCTACTCAGGCTGGGGGACCACCACACAGGAAATCCAAAGACAATGATGATGGAAAAGAAGGAGAGCGGTATGTCGCTATAACTGATGACATTAATGCATACTGTAAAACTATTTGTTGTAGCCTAGATCCCAAGTCACGTACACGAGCCGAATACGTAGAATTCAACACGATCGACTCCCACAAACTTCCCAAGATTATTCAACAACAAGTCGACAACGAAAAGAATTGCACTGGATATGGCAAGAATCGCGTCGTTTTCCGCGTCTGGCCTCATGATCCCAAAGGACAGATCATCACAGTAACTTCATTGCGGGCAAAGGAAGCCGCCAATGGCATTGATTTGTGGGGTGCAACACTCTACGACTTCTACTGGGTTCTACGTGCCCCAGATGTGAAGAACTATCTCACCATCTCCACGGGCAGCAGACTTGCGAAATGGATGCGCCAACATGGTGAGCTCATAGCGGAGGATGAACTCTATTGGGCCGATAAGGAGGAGGATCCCAAGGAGGTGCCAGTAGTTGACATCGGGGAACTCATAAGGTGCCATGATGCGCACGTCGCATCGGGCGTATTCAATAAGTTTTCCACTCGAAAGGAAGTAAGAGAGAAAGAAAAAACAGGCTGGTCTATTTTGGGAGAAGCCACAGATGAAGATTCTACCCCTCCACCCGATGATCAGGGCGACAATATCAGGAAGGAGAAAGAAGAGGAAGCAGCACCAGTTGTTTATTCAGAGGAGGCGGCACCAGTTGTTTATTCAGAGGATGCAGTATCAGTCGCTGATGACTGTTCAGAGGATCAAACCACCAACGATGGATTTATGCTGGAAACTGAAAGCGAAGCGTCATCGGAAGACAGTGCAGACCATCCCACAGGCGATCGCACCTCACCATTACCAAATATCGACTCACCCTTCCATCCCGACCATTATCCTTCTCCATATCCTTTCATCCCTTTCACGCACGAGGCTCCGAAACTTCAACAACGTATTCCTTTACACCTTCTTCCCAAAAAGCTCCATGTTCATGACCCTTGGAACACATTAACCGTCGATAAGGACGATTCTGACCAAAAGCCTGAATGGCTTTCCAAAGTTGCAAAGAAAGGAGACATCGTCCGAACTTATTCCCTCTCCCTTGCACCGCAGAGTAAGGAGGTCGCGTCGAAGGCGCACAAACTGGCTGAGGTAGCCGAAGACGAAGCAGCGAAGGAAGAGAGCGTGTCGCACATCTTCCCCAGTGACAAGGAGGGGCCAACGGAAGAGCCATTGATTGAAGTTGTACTCCCTCTGCGACCCCGGAAAAGGACGCAAGTGGAAGAAGCTCATCTCTACCTTTCACCTCGTGCAGTGGGCGTCGGCCATCATTCAATTGTGCGCAGTGCGGAGTGGGAGCTTCCGCGCGACCTTTTTGTGGAGGCTCGTCTGTGCAAAACTTGTGTGGAAGAGGATGTCCGTCGACAGGTCCAGAAATTGAAGGACGAGGGAGAATGGGAGACACTTTTGAAAGACCAGGCAGAGAAACTTGAAGAAACAATGCAGGGTAGCCCGGGAAGAGAGCCTTTGCATGCCTCTGGTCCGAAGCAAACAGCTGGTCATGTTACCATCCAAGAGCAGGAGTTTCCAGAAGTGACTGGGTCATACGTTTTACGTCCACATTGGGATACTAAGCTTGGTGGTGAAAAGTCCACCGATACTGATGACGCACTGAGTTCGAACGGGGATCACCCTACGGACACTGTTGGTGATGCAGCGACAACAGGGGGTGCCGAAACCGATGTCAAAATCAATCCCGTAGACGGGCAGGATCTGGAACCTGCAGCCAAAATTGAGCAGGAAGAAGCTCCTGACGCTGGTATAGAGGTAGACGACAATGAACCGTATGTGCTGAGGTCTGCTCCAAAAGTAGACAAGGGGAAAGGGAAAATGGAACCAGAGCAGGACAGTGGTAGCGAAGAAAATGACTGGGAGGAGAGTGAGGGCGAGCAGAGCGAAGAATATAGCGAGGAAGAAATATTTACCCTTGAACCTCCCAGGGTCATCCGCATCGCATCCTACTCTGGGCCAGTCCTTCGCATTCACACTACAGTGAAGTGGCGAAGCCCCTCGGAAAAACAATGCGATCACGAAAGTTCATTTTTTGGCTCGGAACCTGTTCCACGCACCGCGACAGTCAGTATTGTTGCAAAACTCTCGTTCGAATATGACCTCCACCTCGCTCAAGAGGCGGCAAACTATCAATCGTTCCCTGACCACTTCTACCAACACTGGAACGGGTACAATGTCATGCCCCCAATACAAGATCCTATCCCCGTCGGGGCACTCTGCCCACAGTTCTACGGGTATTACACACCTGACGATCCAACTGACGGTAAATATCGGGGTCGACGTCGTTACCTGAGTCCGATATTGCTGCTGGAGCACTGTGGTAGCGAGATAGATCCAGATAAGTTGTGCCAGGACGACAAGCAAGAGTGCGCGTCGCTTATCTTGCGCTTTAATCGTGCGGGGTGGTTACATGGGTCATTAGCAACGCGGAACATCATGTGGCAGCAGGGCAAGCCAACGGAATGGCCAATCGAGCGTCCGCACTCTGTCAAGAGCTTCCGCCTCATAGACTTTGGTAGATCGGCGAAAGTCAACAACAGGACTGGATTGATGGGGGAGGACGAAATAGCCTTGCGGTTATTCTACTTGATGCATCACGCACATAAGAAAAAAACAAACTGAAAAGAAATAGTCGCTTACATTCTTGTCCATTCACTGCTTTGTAACTGCCAAATCTGTACGAATTGAATGTTGTTGCTTCTAGAATTTTGACGCGCATTTGGTAGGTCAATCGAGCACAGCTGGATCCGACCGGCCAGACTCGGAAGAGAAAGATTCTGAAAAAAATGATCAACGAAGAATTTGGCTACTAGCAATGCTGCTGTGACATCCTTTCAACAGCTTCCGTTGATAAATTAGCCGTCGCGCAGTTCGTGTGCTGTGTCAGGTGAAGAACGACTCGGGTGGCACGGCCAGAAAGTGTTCCGAGTCAAAGACCCCGGACGCTCAGGTTAATGGCCCTCGGCTCACTCCGAGTTCACATGCGAGTCTTATCGGTTCATGCACCCAACAACACTGTAAACAAGTGTCTGGTCTTTCATCGCTCATTCTTCGGTGCCAGGAGGTGCCCTCTATCAATGTGAACGACAATTGAAAAGAGCCAAAGTCGACGCTTCCTATTATGGAGGACAAATTTGTATTCTGCAGATGAGAGATGTTCATCACTCTATGATGGTACTCGCCGGGCTGCATGCATTGAGGCTGTGTTGTGAGCTTCTTTGTTCGTCCTTGTCTCTACCTATCTTCTGTCTGTTGCATCATTGGTCCTAGGAAGTATCACAGGCAGCTGGCCCGGACGCTCCCTGATTCTCCAGCAGTGATCATAATTTCGGAACACCTGTGCTGCACCTCTCTACGCATCTTTTTTGGTGTCTTTCCTTTACGTCTGGCTTATTCAAGCATTATTATGCTCTGAAAAGTCATTGGACCGTCGACCGACGTCAGTGTTGTAAGGGCACATGAAGCTACCCAGGCTTCACGTTCAGGCTGTCGTTGTAAGCTTTCATCCATATTGTCTCTACCTATCTCTTATTGGATTCAAGGCCGGTCAGTCCGATCACAGACCTTCTGCAATAACACGTGTGCTACACATCCTTCCTGTGGATCGTTACTTGGTACTTCAGCCTTCCTTCCTTACTTTGGTGGAAGTATGCGTTGACAATCAAATAACTTTGAGAGATACGTCCAGATTGTCATCCCTTTTCCCCTCTTCTCATCATGTCATCTGAGCAAAGCGAATGATAGGGCAAAGAGTATGTCAATTTGAGGGAGGCGCAACATCTTGGACCCGAACGTAGTTCCTTCATCCAAATTTTGACGAGGCGTGTTTTCAGATACAAACTTGCAACGAGACGAAAAACAACGCGTCATAAATACTTTAGTTATATCTTATGCAGTTAATCTCTAATCTGATGCTTTCAATGCTCGAGCAGGGTGAAATTTGTTCACGGCGACAGCCAAGCACTGAGCCTCTTATCAACGAACTGCTTACACGTTCGAGTTGTGTGGTCAACCACACTGCACCAAGGCGAGAACGGAAACACGACTCACTGTAGCTCAGCGGTTCACCCATCATTAATAGGCACTCCAAGTTCAGGATTTATCGGGACACAGATAGATGCGGACTACCGTGCCGATAAGCCACAGGATCAGATGAAAACTACTCATACTCACCTGGTGAAGGCCTGTGTAGGCCACGCATATATAGTGAGGGCAGCAAGATTGTGTAACATCGCAGGTTTCGGGACAGCCGCCACTGGCACCGTCATCACTAACAGTTGGCATAGACACCGTCAACTTGAAAGCTGCAACAACGGCGAGGACGAAGGAGAGACGCATGATAGTATCTGTGAGATGTGAGATGGAACTCCAAAAACAAATCCGAAGGAGATGGTAGGAAGACAGCTTGCTTTACTGTTCTATGCACCTGAAGTACTCCTTCAGACGGATGTCATTTGTATTGCCAGCAGACCTCAGGTTGGATTTGCTCTATCCTCGACATTCTCTTGGCTGATTCAGAGTCTCGTCGTGCATGGGAGAACGCTTAGTAACTGGATGCCGGGAGATCAGCGCTAGCAGCCGGCTTAGGATATCTCAATTCCAAAGGACCTCTCAGGTATGCTCTTATTTTCGCAACGCAAACTATGCAGTACCGTTGAATCCACCTGCACTGGAGATGGGCACTCGTGTGATGAGTTTAGGGCAAGCGGGGCCCTCCAGCTCAATGCTCGGAGGACCCGCAAATCAATTTTAATACGGGGAATAGTGCTGCCGCGGTCCGGTCCAGAACCATGGTTCGAACCGGACTTTTGGTCCGGTTCTCCGCGGTTCGGTCCATGGTTCTCGCGCCAGCCAGAACCGGACCGGAAAACGGTTCTCGGTTCTAGATCTTCCCAAACGGTCCAGTTCTGGTTCGGCCTTCCCGAACCATTCTGAACCCTTATCGACTTCCACTTCGACAACTGTCGTCTTCGGGATTCACGTTGTTGATTAATCAAGCTACATTTAGCCTTTTCGAAGGTAAGCACTAACTAATTAAACTCTCAAGTCTCTCACCCGCTCACCTCTATAACAGGAGGTTCTATTCATTGAGGACCAGCTACAACACTGCGCAAGACTACCTTTTACTGGAGGTGGATGTGTTAGGCGCGGTCAAGGTGGATTTTGGAGGGATTGTGTCTTGCGCTATGCTGCAGAGGTGCGTATTTGTGCTCTGAATGCTGATGGCTCCCTCGAGGGCCAGCACCCATCGCTACCAGCGCACGACCCATCACACGCCACACCACCTGCGCCTATGTTGATGCCCGCCACCTCACCGCATCCCCTCTCACTCGCTTGCTGTTCTTTCTGGCTGGCTTTTGCTGGCTCGCTCGCCGTGTCTCACTCACCCACTGTCTCTTGCTCACTGTCTCACACACCCGCTGGCTGCTCTCGCCCACTGTCTCTCACCCTGCTGTCTCTCACCCTCCGTCTCTCTCACTCACCCACTGTCTCTTGCTCACTGTCTCACACACCCGCTGGCTGCTCTCGCCCACTGTCTCTCACCCCGCTGTCTCTCACCCTCCGTCTCTCACAGCCTGCCTCGATGACCTACTATCGGATCCAAAGGTGAATCGATATGCATGTCTCATTGCATATTCTCACAACTGAATGCGCTCTGCTAGGCCAACAAGTTGGCACTCCATGTACGGGACACGCCACATGTTGACAACACCACCGGGAAAGTTGGTCCCGTTTTCTGGAATGTAGCTCTTGGTGGCGCAATGGTCTCATTCGAGTTTTGGGCTACTCAGTGAGTTCTCTCTGGCATGCTTTGTGGAGCTCATGTATGTGTAACGTTCCCACCGGTCGCGTCATATTCTGGATCGAACCTCTCGTGCCAACCCAACTCCCAGTACCCTCTCACTTCCTTTGGCACCCTCTCGCTACCTTTGGCACCCTCCCGCCATCAAGTTGACAAGTTCAGCGCCCTCTCATTACCTTCAGCATCCTCCCACTTAGCACATCCAATGCCACCAGCACCATGCGCAAATGCACAGCGCATGTAGACTCGACTCTAGATGGGGAGTTCTCTCAGCTGCAAAGGTGCGTCATGGTGTTTTATTGTTTCAGTGTCTAATAAATTTATTATTTGTATATGGTACCTGCGCTCGCCACCATCTCACGCTGCTGCTCACTGCCATCTCCTGCTGCTGCTCGCCGCCATCCTCGACCCATGCTCATGATCGCCATCCTTCGCTGCCGCTTTCCTATTTCTGGTTGTGTCAACCCCTCGTTATCACAATCACTCTCCTGATACCTCTCGCGCATGGTAATTGGGGGGGAGCAGCCATGTTATTAGATTAGTTACTCAACATGTATACTACTTAGTACTTTGTCAATGTTTTTTTGCGTGCTCTTACAGTTTTTTTTTTGGTTCGGTTCGGGTTCGGACCCCAAAAAAACCGAACCGGACCATAGAGAACGGTTCTCTATGGTCCGGTTCTGGGTTCGGACATTTTGTAGAACCGAACCGATGGTCCGGTTCTTGGTTCTCGTCTAGGACCCTCCGAACCGGACCACGGCAGCACTAACGGGGAAGTGACAGCTCGTTGGAGAAACATAAAAGTACGTATAGTATCTAGAGTAAGCACAGTCGTCGTCTCAATGAATTGCTAGTATACAAGCCACCAATTTACTGGTGACTGAGCCTCACCAAATGACTGGTGACTGGAGTTTGACTCGACCAAGCGCTATGGGCTATTTCTTTTTTTTTTGAGACCATTAACCGTTTCCGACGTACTGAGACCAATGCCCGCAGAACCACGAGACTAGTGAGACGAAACCAAGAAGACACCGAAAAAGATACAAGAGCTGTCAAGTCCCGTCAGTTACGGATTTTGAGAACCGTGGATGAGATGGTGAAGCAGATATGGGTGCTTGCGAATTTATTTCTGAAATTCATGCGCCGGACTCGGATCGGCAAAAACCAATTTATCCCTGAGGCCTGAACCACTACAGGCCATCATACGTGTCTCTGTACATAGACTCTGACGTTGGATCTTCTTTCATAGCAGACACAGACGTGGCACTAGACACGATCTGCGTGAAGGAATGCTGTATCTCTTCATTTGGATGATAATAGTATCCATTATGGCGAGGACGGAGCGCCGGCCCATGCTAAAATTTCAAACAGAGTCCCCTGTATGAACATAATAGAACTATTGTCTTCGACATTCACACATACTTCAATACGAACACTAGTAGGAGCCGCATGCTCGAGTTGTGTTGTCAACCACACTGCACCAAGGCGAGAACAGAAACACGACTCACTGTAGCTCAGCGGTTCACCCATCAGTAATTGGCACTCCGAGTTTATTTTCTACTATACAGGCAAATCTGGGCTACCATGCCGATAAGCAACGGAATCAGATGGATACTACTCAACTCACCCAGAGAACACCTGTGTCCTCGCATTTAAGGCCATCGGGGCAGCAATATTTTGTCATCTTGCAGGTTTCGGGACAGCCTCTGGCACCGTCATCACTAACAGTTGGCATAGACACCGTCAACTTGAAAGCTGCAACAACGGCGAGGATGAAGGAGAGACGCATGATAGTATGGAACTCCAAAAACAAACCTGAAGGAGACGGTAGGAAGACAGCTTGCTTTTATGTTCTGAAATAATGTTCTGGGCACGGACGTGGCACTAGCGTGAAGGAACGTTGTATCTTTTCATTTAGTCTGGTTGGATGAGAACAGTATCCATTGTTGTAAGGACGGAGCGCCGCCGGTGCATGGCATCCCATGCTAAATTTCAAATAGAGTCCGACATCCTTCAGGTCTCCAACTGCCACATTACTTTTCAATCATTGGACTGATTGGTATATCTTGTAGTGCGTCATGTATGGTGTGAGTAGGGACCGAGCATACGATGGAGGAGCACGCCACGGGTGAAATTCTACATCGACTGATTCAGGAAAGAATCCGTCCAGTCAGTGCTAGGATCTGTGTAAACACTACATATGTGAAAGTATCGCATTACAGACAAGTATGTAAGATAATTAGTCGATGATTAGCATATCTACATAGGAACGATAATTATGAGTTCTACATACATTAAGCACCCATGACCGCCAGCGCCAGCTTTCTGTTCTAAACAGGAACCCCTGCATCCAGAAACATAATTCAATACCAGCATACTAGTAGTGAGAGGAAATCACAGATTCTACGCTGATCCTAGTAGTAAGGACAGGGAGCCCAGGGCCCTCGTCCTGAACTGGAGTCGAGAGAACGCCAGTGTCGACAGTCTGATGCAGGTTAAGCATCAGCCGAGATATGAGAGTAACGGACAGGCTGGTGTTCATCTTTAGGATCGGTCCGTGTTTGGTATCGCATTGACCACTCACCAACCAGTAAATGTGGATAGACTGCCTCTGAGGTGGACCTTGCCAATCATCAGGAAACAGTCAGACTGAATGTAAGGCGGGTTTGTATGCTCACTGAACCAATCTGATTTAAGCTGTGAGCGTTTTGTGATACCGTCAGTATTCATGCGGCGACTCACGTAGTATGTCAGGATGTTCAGTATATTGGACAGTGTTATCGCTCTGGAGTAATGCGGATCAGAATCACTCGAATCACAACGTCGCTAGCAACCTCACCCGAAAAACATCACACCTGCGTTCGGTTGATTTAGTGTTCGCGATACAGATGTAGCAAAAGATTTACCATCGCAAAATATGATATCAATGATATTGTTCCTACTGACCAACGATAACCGCAGCAAATTTTTGGCTTTGCAGATCCTGTGCACTGTCAGGATGAAGATGATTAAATCGAAGACGAATAAAGCCACATATGCTAGCCCGATTCCTGCAAAGCCATAATATCAAGTTATGCAAATGCGATTTGGAATTCACTAACGGGCAGCTCTGCAACCACCTTTGAGCAGGCGCATAGAACGAGAATGAGCACGACATACATCGATTTTGAAAATGTTTCATTGCAGCCAAGCCCTGGCACGACTTCGATATCGCCTGAAAATTGTCCAAAAGTGCCCGCCTAGAAACGATCAGCAGACTTCAGGGCCTGAGATTTTAAAAACGCACGCAAGCTATTCCCGTAAGAGCAATCGTGACGATTACCATCCAAGCAAGCAGGCGCTTGCTACAGCCGTAGAGAGCATAAGTGCGAATGACCATTATGTCTGAAATTTTCAGTATGTAACTTTCTCGCAATGAAGCTGACTTCTACTTACTACAAACGATCGCTGTTTGGAGGAAAACGGCCAGTTGTCTGTATAGCGCATATTTCGAACAGCTACGTCTTTGTTGAGCAAACGGTACATATTCAAGAACCGGAGCACAACAAACCTCTACAGAAATAAGTTGTGAGCACATCAAACGTTGAGTACATGCATAATGAAATTGTAGAACCTCGTTTGAAACAGGTACAAAATCTTTAATCAAGCCACAGATATTGCTGAGGAGAGCGACATAGCGATTGAGCAGAAATAAAATTGCAGATAATGCTTTCGGGCGACGCCAGATAAAAGTGATTTCTTCTTGTAGGGTCACCATATGGTCGTATATCAGTATACCTAGATTTAGAACAACGTGTCATTGTCTTAAGACCAAGGATAAAACTAAATTGTAGTACTGTTTCCCGCCAGGACGGCGTATATCCAGAACAACCTATAAATATTCAGGATACATGGTCAATCTATGCGTTATCACTCACGTTTGCTGGACTTCCTGATCGCTGGTATACATCGTGACAAGATTCAACTGAAGCCGAGAATGTAGGGCGGTCCGTTATATATCACTGGTCGTATTTAACGGCCTTTCCCGTAATCATTAATCAAGTGCTATGTATGCAAGCATGCAACTCAAACACTGCCCGGAAATAGGCGAGTCTAAAGACTCGAAAATAAATTTCTAGACGTGATATAGTTCGTGTGCATAGATATTTTGAGTCAGCATCACTGATCTACATGTTACAGGCTAGCCTTACGTGGGTGGGTGATCCATAGGCTGTGCCATTGCAAGGTACTGACACGTTCCTTACTAGAGCACAAGGATTATGGCTACCATGACGATTATGATGCTTGAATCGTCAAAGTGAGTCATTGCGAGTTGAGCTGAAAAGATTTGATAAAGTACTTGTCGTATCCACCAGATCCGTCTCGGATGTATTGGCAGCAGGCTCCGGGTCAATAGACGAAATTTATTTATAATATAAGAAAAAGAGAGAGAGGATGTATTCAACGTACAAGTTACTTCCTTGGTGCATGCTAGGTAGAAGTGCCACTGATATATAGTAGTCAATGAAATGTCGGTGAAGTCTGGAATTCGCATACTACCGACTTAATTCAGACTTCGACCGTAAAGGCCGGGCCGGAGGAAGTGTGCAATATTGATGGTGGCATCGCTTCGCCGCAGCAGCGCAGCTACATGCATGATGGCTATGATGGAGGCTGTTATAACTAAGCGTGGTAAGTCGAGTTTTTTTCCGGTCCCCGACGTCTGAGCTATTATTCCACCTAGGCGCTCAGCTGCTCCGTTCTCGCCTGTGTTCGTCATGTTCTACTACAGCCGCTCGCTGTCAATATCCTGTCCATCTATTATACTCAAGAGGCCGAACTGACCTGGCGTTTGGAATTCCAGTGACCCTAGGACTCGGAGATTCTCCATATTCAACACCATGCTGTCAATATCCTGTCCATTCATTATTCAAGCAGACCTGGCGTTTGGAATTCTAGTGACCCTAGGAGGTTCCCCATGTCTAACACCATCCATCTCTGTGATTCGCTCGATACCCATCAGTGCTCAGCCCAGGTGCCGGGTCACCGTATGCCTCCATTGTTGAACGCGCCAATTTATTTCAGCTCCGTGCAGTGAGATGCAGTGATACATACACCATTGGCCACCAAGCAATCGACCCAGATACCATCTATCAAAGCTCGCACTTGAATATATGCTATAGACATACTTATAATCTACTTACATGACCATCAGATACCATGACCATTTCGCACCTTGTTCGTGGCAGTTGTCTTGTACCCTTAAGCTTCGTCTTGCATACATGTTACAAGTTTGCGACATGAGCCAGTAAATTCTTGTCGATACGGCACATAGGTCACATCTATTATAAACAATCCTCGACGAGGTACACGAGGCGGCGTGACCCTCGTTCCCTCATCAATGAATTAACACATGGTTTGTAGCATGCATCATGGATTCAAGGTTTGATTAGCGTCGTCTGTGGACACACAGGAGACTATGATGGAGTACTTCTAGTGAAACTCTCATGAATCTCGTATATCACATTCTGCAAAAGGTGAAATAAATGACATGTCTGGTAATTCGAAAGCAAACCCATAAATAGGAGCGTACACTTACAACCTCGAGAAGTCTGCGAACTCACTGCATAGCACGAGGGGGAGGTGGCTTTACAGAGCGACTAGTTCCTGCTCATCGTCATAAACTACTACTGCTGGAGTTCTGTAAATGGGAATCAGAACTATGAGAGGCAGATGTCAGGATGTGGACCTACCGTATTTCCTTCCCCTGAAATGTACGGGTTAAGCTAGCGATGCCACCAGGAAACCGATGACTTACCCCATCTTCCCAGCTAATCATAGCCTTCAACTCTGTCAACCCGAAAAGAAGAATGACTTTGATCTCCATCGAATAATACGTGGAACCTTCGGCGGAGCGCTTGATTGTTAGTTTCTCGGCAATTTTCGATGTGTCTGCGTGGACGGTGCATGACGTGGAGAATAAGCCTAGTTTATCCGGTAAACATTAGTGTGTTTGGCAACAATTTGTGCGACTACTTCGCTCTGTGTCCATCCAATCCGGTTGTCGGAGACCCCTGTACAACATGATGCGGACATCGACTTGGTTACATGCGGCCTTGTTATACCGTCGGATAGCGAATGTCTTGCTGAACTCTTGCTGCACAGAGACCAGTGTTCCCTGCTGCGCCTCAGCAACGGGCCTTCCAAAACAAGTCAAAAAAGAGCTACCTTGGTCAGTATGGAAGAAAATGCACCAGGCAGAGCAAGAGTTCCCGAGACACTTCGGAAAACTTCCTTTTGCCTAGAACGATGCTCCATATCTAATGGGTTAAATAGGACGCTACACTCTGTGCCGTATGTGAAACGGGCCACACGAGTCGATACCAAATGATCGATGAAATATGACACAGCACCATTCGCAACGACTTGATTGCTAAAAGCGTCCGTAAGTGCACGCGAAAATGTTTGTCAATTGTTGGCACTTACCAATGGTTATCTGGTCGACTGAAGCTAATATTAAGCGACTGGAAGTATGCGTGCAACTTGGCGAACATCCAGTCGTTCGCAGCAAAGCGTCCGACGAAAAATACAAACTTCATGTGACACGCCGGTCAGCACATTTTCCGATGAAGTGCAGTCATGTCAACTTACTGTGATCGGAGTGCCTGCAGCTTTTCTTTGAGTTTCGGAAGCTTCGATGATGCTGCTGATCGAGGGTTCGAAGAGTTTTGCTACGTCTTGTCTTTTAAGTGACAACACGTTAGATAGAGGTTGCGAAAGAGTAGACTACAAGACTTGCCCGCTCAATTTAAGGTAACCGCTACGAATATCGTGCTGAGGATCTTTGTCACGGATAGTACCGAACTTGATGTATGACGGGTCTTCCGAGTTGCGGAACATACGTTTGGTGGTACGGTCAAAGATCTCTGTCATTTGTTGGACTATATCTGGTGTGCCGTAACGACTGCCGGATAATTTTTCTGTCGAGTGGATTCAATAAGAACGTAGTATAGCCCACACGAGAATGCTGATAAACCTTGAAGAAGATCACGAGCACGAAGAGTCACGAATACAGATCCCTGGAGTCGACCTAAGGAGTGGAGAGGACCTAAGGAGTGGAGAGTGAGACATAGCTCCAATAATCGCATGTCACTTACATTCGGTCGCAGCAATCTCTTTGATCAGCGTCGGGGATAAAGACATCGAGTAAGCACTAAGATCGACTGTTACTCTTCCTGCATCGATGACGACAACGCCTTGACTAGCCGAGATGTCATCATCTTCGCCATCTTCAGGTGCAAGTATCGGTGTCTTCGACAATGCATCTGAGGCTAGGGTATTAGCGACACAGTATTGCAAACTCGCTTCTCCTTCGGTCAGCAGATGGACACGTGTCATGCCGTCTTCTGTACCGGGAACGAGACCGCCAAGGACGGCAGCTAGCCTGATCTGCTTCTGCTGCGGGCCCTCCCAGCCATTTGGGTGTGTAAGGACAAATTCGATCCGGTTCTCGAGTGACCGCCAAAGAGCAGATCCGCTTGGATGAGTCTCCTGGATATAGCTGCGTGCACAACGAAAAAGGTATTGCATGAAGTCGCCAAGCACCTCGACAGCATTTTTGCCTGGCGGAAGTGGTGGGATATCGTCGTCGGTGATATAGTTGGCAGCCAAATGCCTGAGCCGAAGGCGCAATTTCCACCTAAATGTTTGGCGTGGTCAATCAAGTAAATACGAAGTCTAGTATTCACAAAACAAACCATTCGACTGTTATCCATCCATCATCCTCAGCCCTGTCGATGATATGTTCCTGTAGTGTTTCAGCGCCAATGGCACGTGCAGTTCCGTTTGAATCATAGTAGAGTATAGAAGGTATTTTCGAATACCCTCCGCTGTGCTCTTGGGCCGGATATCTGATATTCGTAATGATCGGCAATAAAGCAGGTATGTTGTATTACGAAAACTGACCTGACGACAGGCTCAATCTTTGGAACTTTTCCAGGTTGAAGTATACAGTAGGAAATTGAACTGTATGTGGTGCCCACGTCGAAGGCAAGGACTAATTTGCGGACTGGTCCACGATAAGGCTGACGGAGAAGCATTTCTTGCGCAAGTGGATGGATGTCGTACGTTGCTCACATCGTCTTATACTTCACGGCAGAAGCCACATGGATACTTATCCGTCCATGACTTTCACCATCTCACCTACAACGTTTAACGGATGATATATGGGTAGCAAGGCGTACTGTTCGTGTCGGCCTTGAGGTCTGATGCGAGTGATTTGGCATGGCTAAATCCTGATATAGGAAGTTCCTGAGTGTTCTAGATAGACCGTAAAATGAACGGACGATGGATGCCTCGAGGCCACCCCACAAGCGCAAGCAGATAGGTGCTTTAGTCAGGATGCACAAACTACTTACGCCCCGTTCTGGTAATCAATGTAGCATCTTGCATGCTGGCTATGATAGAGGCTGTTATAACTAAGCGCGTCACGGTGGTGAGTCAAGATTTTCCAAGGTTTTTCCGGTCCTCGACGTCATGAGCTATTATTACACCTCGGCGCTCAGCTGCTCCGTTCTCGCCTGTGTTCGTTATGTTCTATTGCAGCCGCTCAATTGCTGTCAATATCCTGTCCATGTATTATTCAAGCAGCCGAACTGACCTGGCGTTTGGAATTCCAGTGACCCTAGGACTCGGAGATTCTCCATATTCAACGCCATCCATCTCTGTGATTCGCTCGATACCGGTGCCGGGTCATGAAAGCATGACTCGGATGTATGCCTCCATAGTCGAACGTTGAACGCGCCAATATATTTCAGCTCCGTGTGCAGTGAGATGCGGCAGTGATCCACATGTGGATACCATCTATCAAAGCTCGCACTTGAATATGTGCTATAGACATACTTATAATCTACTTACATGACGATCAGATAGTATCATGACCATTTCGCACCTTGTTCGATTCGGTCTCGGTATACTAGTTGTCTTTCTTGCATACGTGTTATGGCGTTGCCATGCCGATGATAGTTGTACGGGTCTTGTGCCAGCCATAAATTCAGAATGAAGTCGTACGAATTCGTAAGGTGAAAAAACAAGACTGTGATAGGCGAACAACAATGGAAGGTAACAACAGAAGTAGCAATTGCATTTTGGAAGGAAGATGGCACGGGCACGTTTGGCCGCAATTCAATTGTTCTCTCAAGAACGGCGCACAATTGTCCAAGGCTTGCTTAGACCTGTTTCACTTTCAACCCAGAAACAGCCGAGACCCACCAAGACCTGAAATGGCCCAAGGTGTCCAGTGGCAAATTGGCCAAATCAACTCAAAGGCGCCCAAGAACAATATTTACATGTGGCGGCAGTGCAGCAACACCGCAACCCACAGCTATGCGATAACAATATCTAGCGCTGTCTTCTACAATGGACACCCTCTCGCGCCACAAGTCCTTCCTCTTAGCGAGTGCCGTGCTGTTGCTTGCTTCCATTTTCACTCCTCAGACGAACCATACGAGGGAAAACATTGTTCCTGTAGAATCACATATAAAACCAGAGGCAATAGTGCGTTATTTCTATAATTCACAGGACCTGTCGTACTTTTATCACACCCTACATCACCAAGATCTAAAAGCTTATCGTCTCCATTAGTTACCTACTACAACCTCCCATTCCATGGATACTCCTTGCGGAACATCGAGCGCCGATACCGAGGCTGTCAACGTACACGCCGGCACGCTTCCGCACGACACAAAGCTCGACCCCAAGTACGTTCCAAACCTAACATTCCTGCCATTCTCGCTTAAAACATCATCAGTTGCATATTCTGCAAGATTGTCACCGGGGAAGCACCGTGTTTCAAAGTATACGAAACGAAATATAGGTACGGCACCCCATCACACCATCACCGTTCAATCACCAATGACCACGCTTAACAGTCTCGCCTTTCTCGCGAAGCCTCCTGTTTCTCATGGGCACACGCTCATCATACCTAAATGTGCGTACCCCGTTCGATCTAGCCAAATCTACGCTAAACAGTCACGTCAGACCACTCCCGTACATTAACGGATCCCGGACTCCCAGATGAGTTCCTCGCAGACGTCGGTCCTATAATGAAGAAGATAGCAGTGATGAACGGCGAGGATTCATACAACGTCATCCAGGTACGTCCCTCTCCTCCTGCTCTCTCCGTTTGCGCGCTATGTTAACACGACGATCAGAACAACGGCAGGACTGCCGGGCAAAGCGTTGACCATGTGCATTTCCACGTCGTGACGAAGCCAGTGGACCAACCTAATCAGGGACTCGTCCTGACACCCCAGAGCTGGCCTTCGTACCCTACGACCGATGAAGAATACGCTCAGGACGCTGCTAAGATGAAGGAGATCGGTAGGAGCCATGGATTCCCGGGCGTTTCGGCTTAGAATCTGGGGTTTGAAGTATGTATCGTGGCCAGTGCTCGATGGGATGGAGATGTGCAGAAGTAATTTGTTGAGGTTGTGGGGTTTATTGTCGTGCGAGGGGCATCATGGTGATCCGGTATGATCTTTCCTTGGCTGTCTGCAATATCCGTCGTAGTAGACAGTAAATCCAGGCAGCCATGTATTCTTATTTTGCATCCCGAATCAGTCTCTTTCTTTCGTGTAGTATAGGATACCTGGAAGACATGGACTACATAAATATTGTGCAGTACGGTTTTGCCCTTCATGGCTATTGTATATAGATGATGAATCAAAGAGGCCAGTGCACTTGTATGGGAACCTGGATCTCCAGTAGAACGCGAGCAGTCAACGGTTCAAACTTCTGTCGCTTTCAGACATCCCCATACCATCAATATGATACTGCTCGCCAACCCAACCATCAAACAATCAAGTCGAGTGATAATTTCGCAAGCAATGGAAACACCAACGCAAAATGTCCTAAACCAAGGCATAACAACCTCTAGAATGGAAAGGAGGTGAAGGACTCACGGGTACTGCAAACTCCAACGTTTCCACGGTGAGTGTCCGTGACAATCCATATTTGTCTTCCGAACTCTTCATGCATCACGTTCAGAACGTGACGCCTGAGCATGAACCTATCGAGTACTGGGTATGGCGTAATTTGAGGCAGAGGAAAGCCCATGTGCAGTGCATTGGAAATCAGACCTGGGAATGGAACATAAGGTTACCGCGATAAAAGAGCGTGATTAGAGAGAATACTGATAACAGCGAGTACATCGCCTTGGGAATTCAAATCAAGCATTCGGGTCCGGTGAAGGAAGGTATGAGCCCAAGCGGGTTCAAGATCACGCACCACGGTCCACGGACATCAAATAACACAATTTGCACGCAGTCAAGACAACATCACTGAGGAAAACCAGCGATATTCCACTCAGCACGGCCAACCGCCGATCTGCAGGCATCTAATCAGTAAAAAAAGTCATGGGGAAGTGCATATCGCACGTACTTATGGTGATCAAAGTCTGCTACTGCATCTGCGGACCATTTAAGATCGTCGTCTTATCCTTCGACGTTAGGTTCTTCCTCCGCAGGCTTGACTTGCCATATCCTAACATGTCCATCGCGGCCTCCAATAGCTATAACGTGATATGATGGCCTACCCGAAGGCGCCCATGTTACCGACGTGATCACAAATGATGTTGGAGCATCTCCATCGCTTGCCGGTGATGGGCCTCAGCGGGCAACCCCGTCGGGTCTAAAGTAAGGAGAGTCGTAGGCTGATGAGAGGCAGATAATTGTATTCAGAGTGAGCGATACCACAAAAATACAGCGTGACAATACTTTGATGGAGCCAGATATCCCACAGCTAGCCGCGATGATTTCCCCTAAATATCTGTCAGCACCACCCTTCTGCTTCTCGATTCCCTATTCCGGGCCGTCCCTGGGTGGTGGGAGTTTCCGATTGTTGTAGGGGTCGAGCGACCAGGTTGGAGAAGCGCCCCAAGAGTTGCGCTTGTTGATGTTGGTGTCGCAAACGCCACGGAGTACGACGAGGACAGCGATACAGATGGAAACGTTGAGACATCGACTTCTTTAGAGAGCTGCCATGTGGCTAGCGCTGATTATTCCAAGCACTCGTAGATGCGAACGCGATTATCGGAAGAGACAGTTACCTTGCCTTGCAGAAGCTCTGATAAATCTCCAATTGGGACGAACGACTTGACGTACCAACTTCAACCAAAATGATGAGGGGCGAATTCGACTACGCGGATAGTGCTCCTCGCATCAACCAATACAGCCCTTTCCACCCATCGTGAAGAACCACGTGAAGTAGCCTAAGGAGACCCGGGACTAGCACCATTCGTTTGGGAATCTGCTGTTGATGCAAAGCTAGTTTGCTCCCAAATCTTGACCGTAAGGTGAGCCCAGCACTAATTGGTTAATAAGCGTCTTCCAACATGCTCGCATTCCAGTCATCCTCGACGTTCCAATTTTCATTACTCTCGTGTACTCGCTAAACTGATTATTTGACATCAGGTTAACTTTGTAGAAATACGTGTATGTGGCAAGGGAATAACGTACTTCTGATCGGGAAGCCATACGAAGCCCATAAAAATGACAAGCTACATCTGTCAGAAGATGATCGGGCGCGCTCTGGATGAAAGCAGTTTGGATCAATCTTTCTTCTAAGCTTAGTCGTAAAAACCGAGCGGGCCACAGAATTCTGAATTGCGCGTTGAGGCGGTAGCGATTGTATATGGTCGTTCTTTCCTGGGTAGTACTAGTACTAGTGTTTCAGCAGGAAGGTTTGTGCAAAGTCTTTAGAATTAAACAAGAACAAACAAACGTACAGTTTCAAGTTCACTTGTCAATCACTTGTCAGTGTTAACTTAGTCAAGGACCGAAGGACTAATTGAAGACTCTTCTATATGCGAGCGGTGATTTTGTATTAATTGTGCAAAGTCTCAGTGCAAACACCACGTCTCGATTCTCGAACATACTATAGTGTCCGTGGTCATAGTAATTGCGAGCCTGAGGTGGTGCAGCCTATAGCTAATCGGCAGAGGAACGTCATGGCATATTCAGCGTCTTATTCCTCTCCAGGATCCGAGTCATCGATATCTGGCAAATTACCATAGGCACGCGTACGGTTTTTATCTACCAATTCAGCACTCACAATTTCTCCCTTTTCAGACGCTGCAGCGAAGTCACTGTCTACTGCTCGCAGAAGGCTATCATATCCTACGGATACAACAGTTGATTCGCCCGGTTTATGACCATGTCGTTGTATATGATATAGGCCACCATGAGGCTTTTTATCTCGCCCATACCATGCACCCAACATTCAGCGCCATGTCCCCCGGTTCTGTTGACATTTCCGAAATGGGTGGATCTAAGGCATACATTCACGTATGTCTTGCAAACTAGTGAGTCTTGGCTCGCATCGCGAGTACTCATCATACTCACTGCATTCTTGCCAAAGCATGCTATTTTGTACGTTCCAGGCGCAGGGTCATGTATTTCATCACCTACATCACGATGGTTGGCGCTATATACGATCTCAATATGATCTCAATACCGTCGAAAGATACCAGAGAGCTTGCTATGAACCGAGAAGGAGTCAGACTTTCATCACAGTAGGTACCAGGGCGGGAAGAGTTGAACAAGAGCCCAGTCAAACGGTGGCGCACCGAATGGATGCCACTGCAACTCTTGAGGCTACAAGAAGTTTGTCCATTCTCATGAGTCAGCATCCAAGGATTCTCGGGGTGGAATTTGTCATAATACAGCAAGACGCACGCCAGCCCTCCGCGAATTTACGTGTATGTGTATGTTGGCCGGTACGTCTTCTTTGATACTTGACGATATATATAAAGTATAATAGACAGCCGGACCCATTCGCGGACGTGTACCAAACATGCCGCAAGCCGTCTATGAATATACAAGCTCCGCGACCGGCCTTTCCTTCAGTAGGAGCCAGCGTGGTCGACGTTTCAGTTCAGTCAATACGCACCGTACCTACTTCTCCATCGCCGCTTAGTCCATACCCAGAACCACCATCTTCCGGGGGGACTCCAAATGTACGGACCCTGTTGAGCACCATGGGATGTCACCTATCACAGTGGGTATTTCACATCCCGACATGCTCTTGTTTTCTCTCAGACGTTTCAAGGATCAATAATCTAGAAGACCCTGAAAGATCGAGCTCACCTTCATCTACAAAGATTTCTGACATCACTGTTTTTGACCTAGACAGGTAGGGAAGAGTGCACAAAAATTCTATCAGTTCCGTTGTATTCTGATTATTCACTATAGTTCATATATTTATCAACATTCACATGATTCGTCATGTGTTGTGTGATCCTTGTGCTTTATCGTGCTAGTAATTGAACAGTGTGAGGGTATAATTACGTAGTTGCTTGATCCAGGGAGATAGATAAGAGATAGCTAAGGCCGTACGCGTGTGTAGCTGTTGTGTCGAAGCTATATATAAGAGCCCTTGCTTCGTATTCGTTCGCTATCATATCTCGCCACGAGTCACTTATTGTTTACCACAGTACGGCTTTCACGATAAACCAAATCACCTCTACCTCAAGACGTACAACAAGATCTCCTAATGGCGACCATCGATGCTGAGCACCTCAGAAAGATGATCAGGCGCTTTCGAGTTCTGATCGTAGGGAGAGCAAACGCAGGCAAAACAACCATTCTTCAGAAGGTCTGCAACACCACAGATCAACCAGACATTTACGATGCCAAAGGAAACAAGGTGCGGGTGATGATTTATGCCATGCACGCGTCTGTCGCTGACTTGTGGGTAGATCGATGCTGATGTCGTAAAAGCCTCAATCAAGGTGCGTGCATCATCTGCCATATGGGCATACATGCGCTGACGGATGCTCAGCGTGGAAACCACGACATCACGAACGAGATGGTCTTCAAGAGCAGTCCCGGTTTCGTCTTTCACGACTCGTGCGGTTTCGAAGCGGGATCTGAAGAAGAATTCGAGAGCATGAAGAGATTTGTCTCAGAGCGCGTACACACGACGAAACTGAAGGAGGGACTGCATGCTATCTGGCAAGTAACTCCCCTCTGACGTTTGGCGCTTGTTGATTGCCACCAGGTATTGTATTCCAATGGACGAATGCAGTCGAACATTCCAGCGGTCAGAGGAAAAGTTCTTCTTTGAGTGCGACACTGGGCACGGTGAGCTTGCGACTTTGTTGTCAGTTGTCGTGTTCGGACTAATGTTCAATCTTAAGTTCCCGTGATTGCGGTGTTCACCAAGTTTGAAGCTCTACGTCCAGTCGCGTATGGAGAAATTAAGAACGAAATACAAGGTGTATCTAGAGAAGAACGGTCAAAAAGGATAGCCCAACGCGTCGAAGAACTATTCACTAAGACGCGTGTTTGTGATCGGTTGTGCGACCCTGGAAACCGTACACGTCCTAAGTTCTATGTGCGCTTGGAGAGTAAGTGGTTTGGATTGAATTGTCCCATATCAAAGTTGATATTAGTGACCGTCCTAGATATGAACAAGCCGGATACAAACTGTAATGTTCTACTGGAACGCACCACTTTCGCATTGGACAACGAAGAATTGCGGTTGTGCTTGGTGTCAACACAACAATCAAATCTGGAGCTTTGTATCAAGTGTGCTATCGCGTGAGTCGCAGATTTTCAAGTCGCATATTTTTGTTCCAACATCATCTAGAACAATCGTTGATCGTGCACGTCAGCAATCCGCCCTACTTGAAATCAATCATCATATCCATCAGTATGACATTGCTAAGTGGTTTCCACATCTCCAAGTAAGATGAAGATTCATTCAATCTGATAATACCCCGGTAATGGTGCTCATCAATGGTAAACACTGAAGTGCCGAAACTGTAGATATTCTGATATATATTTCCTTCGTTGTAGTTGCCCGTCAATAACAGCTGGTAAGATTCTGGTTTATGAAGTTCAAATAGCACGGGTAACGCTGATGCCTTGTTACTGCTCGTCTGTTGACAGTTGGTAAGTGCTTTGATTGTTTCTAGTCCTCGACCCATGCTCATGATCTCCATCCCTCACTGCTTCTCCCTGTTGACAGTATGTAAGTGCCTTGATTTTTTGTAGTCCTCGACCCGTGCTTATTATCCTCATCCCTCGCTGCTGCTCGTTCGTTGACAGCGGGTGAGGACCTTGATTGTTTGTAGTCCTCGACCCATGCTCATGATTCCCATCCCTCGCTCCTGCTCGCCTGTTTGATAGTATGTAAGTGCTTTAATGGTTTCTGGTCCTCGACCCATGCTCATGATTCCTATCCATCGCCGCTGCTCGCCTGTTGACAGGGCGTAAGTGTCTTGATTGTTTGTAGTCCTCGACCCGTGCTCATGATTCCCATCCATCACTCCTGCTCGCCTGTTGACAGGGGGTAAGTGCCTTGATTGTTTGTAGTCCTAGACCCGTGCTTATTATCCTCATCCCTCGCCACTGCTCGCCTGTTGACAGTATGTAAGTGCCTTGATTATTTGTAGTCCTCGACTCGTACTCATGATCCCCGTCTCTCGCTGCTGCTCGCCTGTTGACAGTGGGTAAGTGCCTTGATTTTTGTAGTTCTCGACCCGTGCTCATGATCTCCGTCCCTTGCTGCTTCTCGCCTGTTGACAGAGTGTAAGTGCCTTGATTGTCTCTAGTCCTCGACCCATGCTCATGATCTCCATCCTTCACTGCTTCTCCCTGTTGATAGTATGTAAGTGCCTTGATTGTTTGTAGTCCTCGACCCGTGCTTATTATCCTCATCCCTCGCTCCTGCTCGCTCGTTGACAGCGGGTAAGGACCTTGATTGTTTGTAGTCCTCGACCCGTGCTCATGATTCCCATCCATCACTCCTGCTCGCCTGTTGACAGGGGGTAAGTGCCTTGATTGTTTGTAGTCCTCGACCCGTGCTCATGATCCCCATCCCTCGCTGCTGCTCGCCTGTTGACAGCGTGTAAGTGCCTCAATTGTTTCCGATCCTCGACCGGTGCTCATGATCCCCATCCCTCTCTGCTGCTCGCCTGTTTACAGCGGGTAAATGCCTTGATTGTTTCTGATCCTCGACCAGTGCTCATCATCCTGATCCCTCGCTGCTTCTCGCTTGTTGACAGGAAGTAAGTGCCTTGATTGTTTGCAGTCCTCGACTCATACTCATGATCCCCGTCTCTCGCTGCTGCTTACCTGTTGACAGGAAGTAAGTGCCTTGATTGTTCATAGTCCTCGACCGGTGCTCATGATCCCCATCCCTCGCTACTGCTCGCCTGTTGACAGTATGTAAGTGCCTTGACTTTTTCTAGTTCTTGACCTGTACTTATTATCCTCATCCCTCGCTGCTGCTCACTTGTCGACAGCGGGTGAGGACCTTGATTGTTTGTAGTCCTCGACCCACGCTGATGATCTCCATCCCTTGCTGCTTCTCGCCTGTTGACAGGACGTAAGTGCCTTGATTGTTCGTAGTCCTCGACCCATGCTCATGATCCCGCCTGTTGACAGTATGTAAGTGCCGTGATTATTTGTAGTCCTCGACCCTTTCTCATGATTTCCATCCCTCGCTGCTTCTCCCCTGTTGACAGAAAGTGAGTGCCTTGATTGTTTCTAGTCCTCGACTCGTGCTCATGATCTCCATCCCTCGCTGCTTCTCGCTTGTTGACAGGAAGTAAGTGCCTTGATTGTTTGTAGTCCTCGACTCATACTCATGATCCCCGTCTCTCGCTGCTGCTTACCTGTTGACAGGAAGTAAGTGCCTTGATTGTTCATAGTCCTCGACCCGTGCTCATTATCCTGATCCCTCGCTGCTTCTCGCTTGTTGACAGTATGTCAGTGGCTTGATTTTTTCCAGTCCTTGACCCATGCTCATGATCCCCATCCCCGCTGCTGCTCCCCTGTTGACAGTATGTAAGTGCTTTGATTGTTTGTAGTCCTCGACCCATGCTCATGATCTCCATCCCTCGTTGCTTCTCACCTTTTGACAGTCTGTAAGTGCCTTGATTTTTTGTAGTCCTCGACCCGTGCTTATTATCCTCATCCCTCGCTGCTGCTCGCTCGTTGACAGCGGGTGAGGACCTTGATTTTTTGTAGTCCTCAACCCATGCTCATGATTTCCATCCCTCGCCACTGCTCGCCCATTGGCAGGAAGTAAGTGCTTTGATTATTTGTAGTTCTTGACCCGTGCTCATGATCTCTATCTCTCGCTGTTTCTCCCCTGTTGACAGGAAGTAAGTGCCTTGATTGTTTTTAGTCCTTGCTCCATGCCCACGGTTCCCATTCCTCGCTGCTGCTCGCTTTTTGACAGGATGTAAGTGCCCTGATTGTTTTTGGTCCTTGCCCCTGCTCACGGTTCCCATCCCTCGCTGCTGCTGGCCTGTTGACAGGATGTAAGTGCCTTGATGGTTTCTCATCCTGATGATTCTGATGCCTGGTTGCTACCCGCTTGTTGACAGCATGTATGTACCTTTCATTGTTTCTAATATTCATCCCATGCTGACAATCATTGCTGCCTATCTGTTGATAGGAGGTAAGTGCCTTCATGGTTTTCTCTGTGCAACCCTCGTGAACAGGTCTCACATATTGCTGTTTTTTCTTTGGCAGTTGGTAGGTGTCTTGATTATATCTTGTATTGAAATGATGCTGAATAGTGTAATGGTGGTAACTCATTTTCATAGCCTGATGTAAGCATTTTCCATTCTATCACACCAGTCGGATCATTATTACTCATATATTGCGTAGTTCGTTGAGTATCCCTCCTTTATAACTTATTTTCCATGTTCACTCATCTTTCATATTTTCTTGCCCTGTGCAGAATGTGAGTCATTTGACCCTGATCATGTGAAGCATGAAATGTGCCAATCATTTTGACTGGCTCTTCCGCTCTATAGGATGTGAGTATGTTCCAATCGCTAAGGATTCCAGCCATGTATTCATCATGTGTTCGCAGAATGTGTGTCGATCACGACCTATCTGATGATAATACTCCACTGACAAATAATCTAATTTAGCTCGTGCGTTCATGGATGCCAAATCTTCACCATTACATAGTGATACTCATCTGGTTTCAACCCCTGACAGTTTGTAAGTTACCTGGACACAGCAGTCATTGTCTAGTGGTTAATTATTCGCAACTGTCACATCGACTAAATAGAAGGTGCGTCTCTGTTATTTAATCAAACATTAATTTGCAACCTCATAATTGTGACATTCCTTTCCTGTAGGAGGCAAGTAATTTGCTTTGTGGTGTTGATTATGATACCTACGCTTTCAACCTGTGGCTAGACCACAATCAAGCGAAGAGACATTGTCCGCATCCTTCGGCCTTTGGTCAGTTGGTTTTCCTTCGCATTGATTCTCGGCACTGTAAGAGTGTGCAACAGGTTAGCAACGGATCAATATTCACTTCCACCACGAACAGAATTGTTCAGACTGGCATCGGTTAGTTTCTCACTGCATGACCGGTTGTAGTCTTAATGACAGCAAGCAGCTACTATCATCGTCCTCGAGTACTCCGCCTTTCTCGTGAACAACTCGGAGGACTTGGAGTGCATAAAGTCTGCCGTGGACTACTACCTGAAATCTCCGACAGCTGTCGTAGTGGAGCAAGGAGTGAAAGAGATTTTTCGTCAACGCCACGACAGAGAGGAACTGGAGAAGAAGATTCTGGAGTTCATCCTTGAAAATCGCTTGTGTACGTCCCTCGCCTTGCTGTGAACATGGAAGTCGAAGCTTACTGGCGACCTGCAGCAAAGGACTTGACGGCACAAAAGTAGATGATCTGTTTTAGAACCATTCTATGCGCTCGTGTTGTGTACAATACCAAGCACGCCAGCTTCAACTCTTGAGCGCTGAGCGGTGCAGACTGTGATGTTTGCTTGTTCCCGATGTTCTTTCCCGTGCTATGTACTATACCCGTCAGTCTAGTTTCAACTGCTGGGCGCTGCACACTGTATCGGGTTTCAACACCTATTTTCCAGATCTTATCATATCGCGTTCTATTTTGTGCTATGTAGTCGCGCCCGTCAAACGATCGCTGTTCATTCTTATTTTTATTCCTGAGAATCCGAGAACTTGCTCGGTATGTTTCAACGCTGAAGTTGACGGGCATGACAGCATCGTCGATGTTGAAAGTTAGTTTCGCACAGCTGTAAGTTATAATAGACACAAACAAAGACATCAACTTGGCGCATAGACACTTCTCAGGCTACCGTGACTATAGTGCCATTGTATCAATGTGAATGGCAAAGAGATGTTCGTTCCCTTACGAAGCTACTCAGGTTTCATCTTCAGGCCATTGTCGCGAGCTCAGTGTGTCTTTACTTGCTGGGTCCCAGGCTAGCCCGTCCGATCTCCGACTTTCTGCATAAACACCTGTGCTACACATCCTTCCTGTGGATCAGCACTCGGCTACAAGTACCCCTGCACTCTTCGTTCGCGCCGGGAAAAGCGTCGATAATGTACATTTCCACGTTGTGACGAGGCTACTGAACCAACCTAATCAGGGATTCGTCCTGACACCCGAAAGTTGGCCTTCGTACTCTACGACTGATGCGGAATACGCTCAGATGAAGCAGATCGGTAGGATTCATGGATTCACGGGCGTTTCGGCTTAGAATCTGGGGTTTGAAGCATGGTTGGATCGATATCATGGCCAGTTCTCGATGGGGTGGAGGTTTGCAGAACTAATTTGTTGGGTTTATTGTTGTGCGCGGCGTATCACAGTGATCTGGTATGATCTGTCTGCAAATATCCGTCGTACCCAGGCAGCCAACACTCATGTATTCTTGTTTTTCATCCCGAATCAATCTCTTTCCTTCTTGTAGTATCCGGTATGAACTACACTAATATTGTGGAGTACGGTTTACCTTCTTCCAGGGCTATTACATAGATGATAAATCAACGAGGCCAGTACACTTGTAAATACAAGAAAAAAACCCAGATATCCAGTAGAACGAAGACAGTCAACGACTCAAACCTCTGTCGCTATCACAGACATCCCCATACCATCAATATGATACTGCTCGCCCACCAGCTCTTTGACAGCAACCATCAAACGATCGAGTCGAGTGATAATTCCAAAGGTGGTAGAAACGCCAACGCAAAATGTTCTAAAAAAACTATGTCAATCTCTAGAATGGCAAGGAGATGCAAGACTTACAGGTACTGCAGATTCTCCAACGTGTCCACGGTGAGCGTCCGTGGCAATCCATAATCGTCTTCCGACTCTTCATGCACCACGTTCAAACCATGACGCCTGAGCATGAACCTGTCGAGTAACGGGCATGGGGTGATTTGAGGAAGAGGAGAACCCGTGTGCAGTGCATTGGAGATCAGGCCTGGGAAGAGAACATGAAGTTACCGCGGGTAAGTATGATCAGAAAACATACTGATAACAGCGAGTACATCGCCTTGGAAATCCGAATCAAGCATCCGGGTCCGGCGAAGGAAGGCATGAGCCCAAGCAGGTTCCAGATCATGCACTACGGACATCAGATGACACAATTCGTACGCGATTTGCCTATGTTTGATTAGAAACACAGGATGGTCGTAAGATATACGTACTCACGTTTGAATCTCCAATATCTTAAGATACCTCTCAGCAGGCCATTTCCCGCGCAATGAAAACTAGCGAATCAACAACATATGTGAGGGGTTGATATCGTATTCACCTCATATATGACATTCTCCTTTAGCACGAGTGATCGCTTGAGTTTGCTGCGGATGGCTAACAAGCTCCGGACTGTGATGGTGTTGTCTTTCTCCACGTGTGAGTTCGCGTAGGACACGACCGAACAGTAGATCGATCCAAGTTCGGCTGATGTTGTAGCCAGCGTTCGCCGCTGATACGAACGAATAGTCGTTGACGGAGGGAAGTGGGAGAAGATACTGACATCAAGATCAATTACTGTTAAATGTACAATCAGGGAAATCACTCACCCCGCAGCTAAGACACCAACGGTGACTAGTACAAAACGGCGCTTTATTGCATGTAAGCCAAGATATCGAGAAAAGCATACAAAGACTTACCCAAGCCACATCAATGCCCCACCCTGGCGACGAAGTGACAGTCAGATGAGTGTCGTCATATGAGTACCCCACGACCTATGCCAAACCATCAGTTTTATTCACTCCGAGATGACAAGGTCCAAATCATACCAATGCCGTTGTGACCCATATAATCAAATTCGTCATGGGTGCGATAGGCCAATACAAGCGAGCAAAGAAAAATGACGGGTAGCAGACCGCACATACAGCTGCCAGTCCATAAGGGTTGCCTCGGCCATTCCCTGCGGAAATATACCTGTGCACCAATGAAGAATTTCAAAAGATCATTCAGTCTGCGACGTACCAAATGACCGTACCAATCAAACCGCCAGCGAAGGTACTTATTATCCTAGCTATTACACCGAATGTCGTGTCTCCGCGAAAACGCGCTAAAGTAAGTTGAGCCATGAAACTTTGAGAGTGTCAATAATTCTAGCATTGCAAAGCAGGAAAATGATAACTTACACGGCCCAGACAAACTTGTTTGCTTCAAAAATTATCAGTCCAAGATCAAAAGCATACACGCTCTGCACACTCACCGTATGCAAACTCTGCCGATGTCTTGAGGAAAGATGGGATAGCAAGGATCACTAAGCATACCGACGGTCAGAAAATCAAGCGAGAAAAATAAGAATGATGGCTGACCTGTTAACGTTGCCGCTTTCAGGGCGAAGAGCATGTTTCCACCTCCGATGCTGATAACGGCGCGGTAAATCCAGTTCATCACCCTTTCAAGTGCATTTCTTGGGGGAAGGGCATCGGGATCGCGTTTTACTGCCTTTCCGAGGTCCGTCATCCAAGTAGGGTCTATGCCTGGAATCGTTTCTGCACTGGAATGTTAGTAGCTGTGACCACAAGAACGCCTGCAGCAACATACCAGGATCCTCGTCGTCTTCTTGTTCGTTAATCTCATAAGGTTCCCATGTTCTCCAGGTAAACAACTTCGGTAAGGAAGGAACCCATAATTTGGGCTTTTCTCTTTGCGTTTCGAGTCGAATGATTTCTTTGAGCTGCGCGTGATTTAACGTTCATCACCAACCTGATACCGAAGAAACAACGCACCATGTCTTGTAATAGTGCAGCAAAATGCAAGAGATGGTACTGGTACACATAACAGTGGAATAAATACCGGTGGGGAGGAACTTCGTAGTCACTAGATGTATCATCGCTGCGGTCGAACATTGGACGATATGGGTCCAAAACAGTCAACCTGTCTCGATCACTCAGCAAAAAACAGCGCAAGAACACGTAAACCACGTACCTCTTCTTGGTCGAGAATTCATCTAGCTCCCTTGTTAACTTTTCAAGCAAATCCTCATACCTCTGCACTTCTTCTCTGTGGTTTTGCGCCTTATCTTCATGGTCACCCCTCAAAAAATCGAAGCTAAACCCCCCAACATTGCCTATCCAGCCTCCAGATATTCCGAGTACTTCTTGGCACACACTTAGAAGGTCCTGGCAGCTGTCGCTGAGTAGCTCATTTGCTCGAGCGGTAAAGAAAGTTGAATCCGGATGCGACAAATGTATCGCCTCCAAGTTCAGATATTTTTGCGATTCAAATACACCTACGGCTGTTTCTCCAGAGCGCTTGGGCACTCGAGAAAGCGCCAAGTGCAGCAAGGAGCTGTGCAAGAGTGTGTGATGGGCGTGGTGTGAGTGCGAGTGCTTATACGAACGGTGCGAACGGTGCGAACGGAGGGGTGAGGTGGAATTGGTAGGATATAACCGCGCGTGAGAAGGCAGCGGCTGGTGGTGTTTAGATGGTTTGCGATTTCTGATTTCCTTATCAGCCGAGGGTGCGTGTCTCTCTTCTGTCGTCACAGAGGAAGGCCGATCAGGCCGAGGAGAGGGGGATCTGGGATGCACGGGTGTTGCGGGGTGGGAGACAGCGGGGGTGACAGGGAATTGCTCTCGCGTCGGATGGATGAGTATAAAGTATACGCCCATGCCATGCACCCGCACCATAAGCTTGCGCACGATCCCGTGCATTTCGTTGTAGTCGGTAGGCGCGAGGCGTGTGTAGACGACATCAAGTTTTAGTAATCGGGCAGCAGCTGCGAGCATAGGCAATGTATTCTCAGCTTTGTTTGCTGCATCTGTAATCTGTTTGTAGGAGAACGCAGATGAGGTGACGTCTTCGAGGAGATGAGACCTGTGCAATGAGATAGCGGTTGCAAGAGGTGTGACGGCTCCCTGCATATACGTCGTGAATTGAGCGGAGATAGATTGCGGAAACACGAGAATCGATACAACGAGGGAGATCGCAGAGTGAAAGGCCAAGGGAAGAATGATCATTTGACCGATCTGAAGCCTAGTGAGTGTACGTTTTCCAAGACGGAAAACCCGTTACCTTGTAATATGGATAAGGAAAAAGAACCGCGGTCATCAAGGAAATGTCTGTAATCAATAAGCTCCAAGAAGGAAAGTGCGTATGAGTGATGCGTACCAACGCATATACACCCAAACACGGAAGCGGGGAGGAAAGGTCCGGGGCCTAGTCTAGCCTTGATGTACAAGAAGAAAGTACTTCCGATAAAAATGAAAACGCCGATGATAACAGAGGGCTTTGTCGCACGTGTCAACATATAAACCCAAATTGAAAAGGAAACTTACCCCCGCTTCGATGTACTCTCCTGTGATGATAGTGAGTATACTAGCGTCTGGTATGGTTTGAGTGCGAGCTAAGCTAGCAAACATAAGTCCCAAGCAGACCCAGCTAAAAGGGACCATTGTATCAGCGAAGAAGTAAGAGAAAGGAGTAGCACGTACGCCCAACCCAATGCCACAAAGATGAGTACGATGATTTCGCGTTCGAGAACTGCTATGAAAGGATCGCTAGGGGGTGATAGAAACGAAGCTACATAGATTCAATGCTATAGCAACGGTTAAGAAGGATGAGCGTTGCTGACCTATTATGATAAGGAATGCTGCCTTCAAACCATGCAATCATTGAACGAACGATACAAAGATGACAACGCAACACACCTGCCCCAGTATATTCTCTATTTGGGGAATGATGAACACGACTACAGCGATCCAGGCGGCAAGAGCGCTTCGAATGACGGGTTTCCATTTGGACCAAGTAGAGTTAGCTTGTATCCATCGCAAGCTTTGTGGTAGATTCATCGTCCTTGCTAGCTGTTTGTGATCTGTGTGAACAGAAGAGTCGGATACGTCAGTATTCTTCTCCATGTCGCTCGCCGGTCGTTCATCCCTATGCTCGTTCGATTGCCCATGTGGGGACGGGGGCTGGTTCGTTTCTGGTTCTATGGTAGAATTTGATATTTGGGGTGGACCTGTCTGTATGCGAACTTGAGGGCGAGATGGTGGCATGCTGGCGAGAGTTGCTGATCAAGCCAAGGGACCATACATTACCTCACCTTGCTCCGATTGTTCGACGATCATACCTACCTAATATGGAATACGACTAGCCTCATTTCAAATTTCATACTGAAGAAATCAAAACTCTCTCACATACAGGCTTCATTTCGACGGCACTCCACGTGAGTCCACGTCATATCTATATTCTCGATAACCAGGTCTGTACATGTGAGGTCTATGTAAACCAGATGCAGACTTATATCAGTGGGTTACTCGGAATAGAAAGGTCGCTGCACGATGTCACTAGTCACTTGTCATCCCGTCAGGACCTTACTCCATCTGTTCTGATCCCTCCAAGTCTCCCACGCTTGCCTGTGTTCGCCTATTACCCGCCTGCCTACCAATACCATATCGTTGTCTGCAGCTCCCAATCCACGACTCCCTTCAGGTGACTAGTAGAACCGTGACGGCGAACTGACAAGTATGATGAGATTAGCGTGCCGGTTGACATAGATAGCGGGATGCGTGATGGTGGCTGACGTGGTTGCGATGATACTTGGACTAAACAGACCTTTGACCGCCCGGAACTTTCCGCAAACTCTCCGATCATACTCGGACATGTCCCAGACGTTACAACGATTGCCCAGACTTTGAGCAAAGTTTGATACAGACTAACCATTTCCTACACGTCTACGCCACTCGAATCGTCCGTGGTTATATAAACCGGATTGTGCTCACAAACGTCACGAGTTACTGAATGACATCACAATAACGCAGCAAATACATTACAAACGTTTAAGCATGATCCAGTACAAGAAGGTAGCATCATAAAGCCTTCGTCTGATAATATTGTCCAATTTTGTGAACGTTCCTTTTGATCTGCATCAACATAACAGCTCCAAGTCCATCGACAGAAGATCCAAAGCGCCAACGCCAGAGACCTCAAAAGCAATCGTCAGTAAGTCCATTCTTGAGTTCCCTTCTCCATCCAGGAAGCGAAGGAACCGGAAGACGTAGGTGCCAAGGCCAGACCAGGCGTGCAGAACAGGTAGGGGATAGCGGAGAGTTCCATCGGGGTATCGGGTTTGGGATCAAGGCGGGCGTAAGCGGGGAGCATAGTGACTGAGGTATCGAACGGAAAGATCGACCCTTTGACAAGTTTATCTAGAGCTACTTCCGGGTAATCTAGCTCGCGCAAGTTAGTACAGAAATATCGGATGAGTATATGTCCAGCTCCAAGATATATGACCAAGCGGATATCACCTTCCATGGGTTTGCAGAGAGTGCAAATAAAGTCGGATATATCTGATTCTCCCTGGTTACAGACTTTGTGTAACGAATCTTCACTGTAGGGTATGTTGCCGGTGCTTTTCTCGTCGTAAGTGCTAGGGCTCGGCGCTAGACTGTTACAATGAGAGTGTATGCGTCGCTCAGTCACCAAACACGCTTCAAGAGAGCATACCTGTAGAGATCTTTGCTATAACTAACATCCTGTTCGACATCTGTCTCCGGAGTGAGAGTGCGTGAAACTGGCGACGAACTTCGAGCTTCGTAGAGCAGATACGGATTTCCTTGCATAGGTTCCGGAGTCATAGACATAGCAGACACAGAAGATCTCCGAGACACGTACGAATCAGAATCGTAAGCACCAGACGAAACGAGCGAGTCGTCAAATAGAGTGTCGACATCGGTCATATCAGAGAAAGTAGGCGACAGAGATGGAGACAACAACTCTCTCTTCACAGCAAGCGACACCGAAACAGATCCAAGTCGTAGCTCCAACGAAAGCTCGTACGAGTCGTTCGATATCGGTCGTCCCAGTTTCTTCGCCTGCGATTTGCGAGAGCAGAACCATTGATCGACGCGCGACGGACTTACGTTCCGCGAGACGGCCCATGCATGTCGCGAAGCAATCGTTGGAACGCGGGGATCGGATTTCCAGATGGCACAGAGCTCTTCTCGGACGGCTAGAGTTAGGCGTGGAACAGGGGCTTTTGGAGATGGAGATCTGTCTTCCTGAGGATTGGATTTGATGGCATAGTATGCCTTGCTTTTGGGCTTGGAAATAGAAGTAGAAGACTTGTCGATCGCTGGAGCGGTGGGTGGGTCAGAAGAGTTCTGATGACTCGGGATCGTGACCTCTGGAGTTTCGAGCTTAACAGTGGGATGAGACATGTATTTTGGATTGCGAGTCGAACTGAGAGGGTTGGCTAGAGCAGTTTTTGTAGATCGCATTTTCTTTGATCTTTGTCGGAGACCAAAAGCATGAAAAACACAATGGGAGGCAACGGGATACAGAAAACTCAAATTCGCCGTGTTACAGCCGGCCCTAAACCAAACCGTATATCCTCCTGGTTGCGCATGTCATTCCTCTTCAACTCATTTATATGGACTCGCACTATTGTCCCCCTGCGATTCAACCGTTTTGCTTGCAGGAGTCTACCGCTAGTCCGAGAATATTGAGCGTCTCAGCTGGAGTGCGCCCTCGTACGTGGTACGGTCTCAAGACGTTAGGGAAGCTTTCCTTACCAGAGTTGCTACAAAACACTTTGTATTCGAATTTCTGTCTATGTATTGGCACATCGGTTCCACATGATTTGAAGTTTGTTCAAATTCCTTAGTAACTCCAACGTTACCAATTGTAAGTATCAAGGACCGATTGGAAATTCTTCTGCATGCAGGCGATGATTCTGTCTTAATAGATGCAAAGTCTCAGTGCAAACACCACGTCTGGAACATACTGTGGTGTCTGGTTACTATAGTAAATACCTACTAATCGGCACTGAGAGGAACGTCACACGTTCAATGTCTTATTCCTCTCCAGGATCGACGTCCGCAAATGACCATCTTAATGAGCAACCATTTCAATTCACCACTCACAATTTCCCTTTACAAACGCTGCAGCGAAGTCACTGTCTATATACTGCCCGCAGAAGGCTGTCATATCCTACAGATACAACAGTTGCTTCACCCGGTTTATTGACCACGTCGTTGCCTATGATATAGGCCAGCCACTATAACGATTTTGATTTCGCCCATATCATACACCCGCTATGTCCCTCAATTCTGTCGACGTTTTTTTTTTTCAAAATGGCTGGATTCAAGGCATATAGTCACGCATATCTTTTCAAACTAGTGAGTCTTGCCTCATCATACTCACTGTATTCTTGTCAAAGCATGCTATTTTGTACGTTCCAGGCGCAGGGTCATGTATTTCATCACCTACATCACGACGATTGGGGCTATGTGATCTCAATAGCGTCGAAAGACACCCGGGAGCTTGCTATGAACCGAGAGGGAGCCAGCCTCGACGATGTCACTCATCACAATAGGCACCAGGGCGGGAAGAGTCGAACAAGAGCTCAGTCAAACGGTGGCGCACCGAACCGGATGCCACTGCAACCATTGAGGCTACAAGAAGTTTGTCCATTCTCCTCATGAGCCAGTATCCAAGGATTCTCGGGGTGGAATTTGTCATAATCCAGCAAGATGCATGCCAGCCCTCCGAATTTACGTGTTTGTTAGCCGGTACGTCTTCTTTTATACTTGACAATATGTGCGCCAATTCATAAAATGTGATGGACAGTCGGACTCGTCCACGGACGCGTACTAAACCTGCCCCAAGCTGTCTATGGATATACAAGCTCTGCGGCTGGCCTTTCCTTCAGTATTAACCAGTGTGGCAGACGTTCGAGTTCACCCGATACGCACAGCACATACTGCTCCGTCACCCCATAGTTCATACCCAGAACCACCATCTTCCGGGGAAAACTCCAAACGCACAGACCTTATCGAGCACCACGGATGTCACCCATTCCAGAGGGTGTCTCACATCCCAACATACTACTATTTACTCCCAGACGTCTCACAGATTAATCATTTGAAAGCCTTTGGAAGATCGAGCTTGCCTCCATCTACAGAGATTTCTGACATCACTGTTTTGAGCTAGACAGGTAGGAGAGAGCGAAATTTTATCATTTTTGTCGTATTCTGATTATTCATTATAGTTTATATCTCTATCAAACGTTCACATTATTCGTCATTTATTGTGTAATCCTTGTGCTTTTTGTACGAACGATTGAACAGTTGCAACTTCGTGTCTGTGCGAGGCTATAATCAATTGCTTCATGCGGGGAGATAGATAAGAGATAGACGCCGTGTGTAGCTGTTTTGTCTAAGCCATATATGTAAGAGTCGTTCGTTGTCATATCTCTCCACCATCTCGTTCTGTACCACAGTACAGCTTTCACGATAAACCAAATCACCTCTGCCTCAGGACGCAAATCAAGATATCCCAATGGCAAACATCAACCCGGAGCAAATCAGAAGCATAATCGGGCGCTTTCGAGTTCTGATCATAGGGAGAGCAAACGCAGGCAAAACAACCATTCTTCAGAAGGTCTGTAACACCACCGATGAACCAGACATTTATGATGTCAAAGGAAACAAGGTGCGGGTGATAATCTATGCCATGCACGCGTCTATCTGCTGATCAATTGTGGATAGATCAATGCTGGCGTCGTGGAGGCCACGATCAAGGTGCGTGCATCATCTGCCCTACGGGCATACATGCGCTGACGGATGCTCAGCGTGGAAACCACGATATAACGAACGAAATGGTTTTCAAGAGCAATCCCGGTTTCGTCTTCCACGACTCGTGCGGTTTTGAAGCGGGATCTGAAGAAGAATTCGAGAGCATGAAGAGATTTGTCTCAGAGCGTGTACACGCGACGAAACTGGAAGAGGGACTGCATGCTATCTGGCAAGTAACTCCCCTCTGATGTTCGGCGCTTGTTTATTACCATCAGGTATTGTATTCCGATGGACGAATCGAGTCGGACATTCCAGCGGTCGGAAGAGAAATTCTTCTTTGAGTGCGACACTGGGCACGGTGAGCTTGCAACTTCGTTGTCAGTTGTCGTGTGCGGACTAATGTTCAATCTTCAGTTCCCGTGATTGCGGTGTTCACCAAATTCGAAGCTCTACGTCCAGTCGCGTATGGAGAAATTAAGAACGAAATACAAGGTGTATCTAGAGAAGAACGGTCAAAAAGGATAGCCCAACGCGTCGAAGAACTATTCACTAAGACGCGCGTTTGTGATCGGTTGTGCGACCCTGGAAACCGTACACGTCCTAAGTTTCATGTGCGCTTGGAGAGTAAGTGGTCTAGATTGAGTTGTCCCATATTGAAGTTGATATTAGTGACCGTCCTAGATATGAATAAGCCGAATACAAACTGTAATGTTCTACTGGAACGCACCACTTTCGCATTGGACAGTGAAGAATTACGGTTGTGCTTGGTGTCGACACAACAATCAAATCTGGAGCTTTGTATCAAGTGTGCTGTCGCGTGAGTCTCACTTTTTCAAGTCACTTTTTTTTTCATTCCAACATCGTTTAGAACGTTCGTTGGTCGTGCACATCAGACATTCGGGCTACTTCGAATCGATTATGAAGTCTATCAGTACGACATTGCTAAGTGGTTTCCGCATCTCAAAGTAAGATGAACATTCAGTTAATCAGACAATGCCTGGGTAATGGTGCTCACGGATGGTAGATATTGGAGCTCTAAAATTGTAGACGTTCTGATATATTTGCCTTTATTGTAGTTGTCCATTGATAACAGCTGGTAAGATCATGGTTTACGAAGCTCGAATAGCACGGGCAATGCTGATGCCTTGTTACTGCTCGCCTGTTGGCAGTTGGTAAGTGCCTTGATTTTTTCTGATCATCGACGCGTGCTCATGATCCCCATCCCTCGCTGCTGCTCGCTTGTTGACAGACGGTAAGTGTCTTGATTGTTTCTTATCACCGACCCGTGCTCATGATCCCCATCCCTCACTGCTGCTCGCCTGTTGACAGACGGTAAGTGCCTCGATTGTTTCTGATCCTCGACCCGCGCTCATGATCCTCATCCCTCGCTGCTGCTCGCCTGTTGACAGTTGGTAAGTGCCTTGATCGTTTCTGATCTTCGACCCGTGCTCATGATCCCCATCACTCGCTGTTTCTCGCCTGTTGACAGCGGGTAAGTGCCTCGATTGTTTCTGATCCTCGACCCGTGCTCATGATCCCCATCCCTCGCTGCTGCTCTCCTGTTGACAGTTGGTAAGTGCCTTGATTTTTTCTGATCCTCGACCCGTGCTCATGATCCCTCGCTGCTGCTCGCCTGTTGACAGACGGTAAGTCCCTTGATTGTTTCTTATCCTCGACCCGTGCTCATGATCCCCATCCCTCGCTGTTTCTCGCCTGTTGACAGCGGGTAAGTGCCTCGATTGTTTCTGATCTTCGACCCATGCTCATGGTCTGCATCCCTCGCTGCTGCTCGCCTGTTGACAGTGGGTAAGTGCCTTGATTGTTTCTGATCCTCGACCCGTGCTCATGATCCCCATCCCTCGCTGCTGCTCGCCTGTTGACAGACGGTAAGTCCCTTGATTGTTTCTTATCCTCGACCCGTGCTCATAATCCCCACCCCTCGCTGTTTCTCGCCTGTTGACAGTTGGTAAGTGCCTCGATTGTTTCTGATCTTCGACCCATGCTCATGGTCTGCATCCCTCGCTGCTGCTCGCCTGTTGACAGGAAGTAAGTGCCTTGATTTTTTCTGATCATCGACGCGTGCTCATGATCCCCATCCCTCGCTGCTGCTCGCCTGTTGACAGACGGTAAGTTTCTTGATTGTTTCTGATCCTCGACCCGTGCTCATGATCCCCATCTCTCACTACTGCTCACCTGTTGACAGTGGGTAAGTGCCTTGATTGTTTCTGATCCTCGACCCGTGCTCATGATCCCTCGCTGCTGCTCGCCTGTTGACAGACGGTAAGTCCCTTGATTGTTTCTTATCCTCGACCCGTGCTCATAATCCCCACCCCTCGCTGTTTCTCGCCTGTTGACAGCGGGTAAGTCCCTCGATTGTTTCTGATCTTCGACCCATGCTCATGGTCTGCATCCCTCGCTGCTGCTCGCCTGTTGACAGGAAGTAAGTCCCTTGATTGTTTCTGATCCTCGACCCGTGCTCATGATCCCCATCCCTCGCTGTTTCTCGCCTGTTGACAGCGGGTAAGTCCCTCGATTGTTTCTGATCTTCGACCCATGCTCATGGTCTGCATCCCTCGCTGCTGCTCGCCTGTTGACAGTTGGTAAGTGCCTCGATTGTGTCTGATCCTCGCCCCGTGCTCATGATCCCCATCCCTCGCTGCTGCTCGTCTGTTGACAGGAAGTAAGTGCCTTGATTGTTTCTACTCCTCGATCCGTGCTCATGATCCTCATTCCTCGCTGCTGCTCACCTGTTTACAGGAAGTAAGTGCCTTGATTTATATATATATATCCCTGACCAGTGCTCATGATCCCCATCCCTCGCTGCTGCTCGCTCGTTGACAGCGGGTCAGTGCCTCGATTGTTTCTAATCCTCGACCGTGCTCATGATGCCCATCTCTCGCTACTGCTCACCTGTTGACAGTGGGTAAGTGCCTTAATTTTTTCTGATCCTCGACCCGTGCTCATGATCTCTCGCTGCTGCTCGCCTGTTGACAGACGGTAAGTCCCTTGATTGTTTCTTGTCCTCGACCCGTGCTCATGATCCCCATCCCTTGCTGCTGCTCGCCTGTTGACAGACGGTAAGTCCCTTGATTGTTTCTTATCCTCGACTCGCGCTCATGATCCCCATCCCTCGCTGCTGCTCGCCTGTTGACAGACGGTAAGTCCCTTGATTGTTTCTTATCCTCGACCCGTGCTCATGATGCCCATCCCTTGCTGCTGCTCGCCTGTTGACAGGTGGTAAGTCCCTTGATTGTCTCTCATTCTTATGATCCTGATGCCTTCTTACCCCCTCCCCCCGCTTGTCGACAGAAAGTATGTACCTTTCATTCTTTGTCATCGTTAACCTATGCTGACAATCATTACTGCTCATCTGTCCATAGGAGGTAAGTGCCTTGATAGTTTTCTGTCCGCAATCCATGTGGAAAGCTCCCACATCTTACTGATTTCTTTGGCAGGTGGTAGGTGTCTTGATTATATCTTGTATTGCAATGATGTTGAATAGTATGATGATGGTGACTCATTTTCATAGCCTGATGTAAGCATTTTCCATTTCATCACACGAGTCAGATCATCATTGCTCATACAATGTGTAGTTCGTTGAGTATCCCTCGATCACTTACTTTCCATGTTCGCTCATCTTCCATATTTTCTTGCCCTATGCAGAATGTGAGTCATTTGACCCTCATCATATGAAGTATTAGATGTATCAATCATTTTGACTGGGTCTTCCGCTCTCTAGCATGTGAGTATGTTTCAATTGTTAAGGATTCCAGCAACGTAATTCCTTGTATTTATCATTTTTGTTCGCAGAATGTGTGTTGATCACGACCTATCTGATGATAGTACTCCACTGACAAACAATTCTATTTAGCTCGTATGTCCAAGGATGGCGAATCTTCACCATTGTATAGTGATACTCATCTGATTCCAACCTCTGACAGTTTGTAAGTTACCTGAACATATCAGCATTGTCTACAATCTGGTTAATTATTCGCAACTGTCATGCCAACTAAATAGAACGTTTGTCTCTGTCATATTAATTTGGCACCTCATTATTCTGACATTCCTTTTCTGTAGAAGGCAATTAACTCGTTCTATGGTGTTGATTCTGATACTCACACTTCCAACCTATGGCTAGACCGACATCAGGCGAAGTGGCATTCTCCGCGTCCTTCAGCCTTTGGTCAGTTGGTTTTCTTTCGCATTGATTCCCAGCACTGTAAGAATGTGCAACAGGCTGCGAAGGGAACAATGTTTACTTCTACTGCGAACAGAATTGTTCAGACTGGCATCGGTTAGTTTCTCACTGCATGACCAGTTGTGGTCTTAATCACAACAATCAGCTACTATTATCGTCCTCGAGTACTCCGCCTTTCTCTCAAACGACTCGGAGGACTTGGAGTTCATAGAGTCTGCCGTGGAATACTACCTCAAATCTCCGACAGCTGTTGCAGTGGAGAAAAGAGCGAAAGAAATTTCTGGTCAAGGCTACGACGCAGAGGAACTAGAGAAGAAGATTCTTGAATTCACCCTTGAAAATCGCTTGTGTACGTCCCTCGCCTTGTAGTGAACCTGGAAGTCGGAGCTTACTGACAGCCTGCAGCAAAGGACTTGACAGCAAAGAAGTAGATTATGCTCGAGCCGAGTTTCCTGTTTTTCGATGCGCCTCTCTCATGCTATGCGCTCGTGTTATGTACGATACCAAGCACGCCAGCTTCAACTCCTGAGCGCTGAGCAGTGCAGACTGTGATGTTTCCTTATTTCCGATGCTCTTCCCCACGCTATGTACTAGACACGACACTCCAGTCTTAACTGTTGAACGCTGCAGATTGTATCGGGTTTCAACACCCATTTTTCTTATCTCACTTATGATATCGCGTTCCGTTGTGTTTTGTAGTTGCGCCCGTCAAATGATCGTTGTTCATTCTCATTTTCAATTCGAAAACTGGCTCGTATGCTTCAATGCTGAAGCGGAGGGGCATGACAGCTCACAACAGATGCTCGTCGGGACAGCATGCAGCCTGGGGGAGTAAGTTATATCATGAAAGTCTGGGAGACCGCGATAAATTTAGAACAGCATTATGTTATTGTCTCGTAGTTGAACATAATTCTATTCAAGTCTTGATGAAGGGGAAGATCTTGGACAGAAAACCAAGATGACAGAAAGTGACACGGACGTATCGAGGCATTAACAGCATCATGAAGCGTAGGTATGCTGTGGACACGACAAGGTAGCGCCTGAATAAGTTGAAGTCGGATGGGAAAAGTACCAAGGCGATAGAGGCTAGCAGGCACTGACGCACGAGGAAAAGGAAATGATGCCGACTGCGCTGTATGTATGCTTACAAGTTCAACGTTACAGCTACCTTCAAATCGATAGGCCAGAATCCATTTTTGTTCATTCACCGCTTTTGTTTAGTTGTGGAGCTGGCCAAACAACAGGGTCCTGCCTTAGGCTGCCTATTACGATACTTCGTCGGCAAGATACCCCAGAATGGCACTGGACCTGCGCAGCTTTCTCATTCGACACTGTCTTTGGACATTTTCGCTATGGCTGGAAATCGCCATCACATTCCAGCAGCCATAAAGCAATAATGTGTCACTATGTCTGCCCAAATGTCATCCAAGGCCGGTTGCTCGAGTGGAGCATGCAAGTACTAATGCTGAGCTCACTGTGCTGGCATGATCCGAAGTAACAGAGACAATGTTAAATATACCATGATGAGTTGGTGATAAATAGTCATACCGGTATTACCAGCAGTGAGCTCAGAAGGGTGTCAGACACAGCGTTAAACGAACCGCATACGATATCATAGAAGTTGCGCAGTCCAGTACCATTCTGGGGTATCTCACCCGACAAAGTATCGTAATAGGCGGGACCCTTTTGTTTGGCCAGCTCCACAACTAAACAAAAGCGGTGAATGAACAAAAATGGATTCTGGCCTATCGATTTGAAGGTAGCTGTAACATTCAGCGCTAGCGCTCAGCCAAGCTTGAGACTGAGTTAGTAACTTACACAAGCAAGTAACGTTAGAATAATTCTATAATTCTACACATAAACATTTGTGTCATAATAATCAAATTATTGTACTGCAATGTGAGCTTATATGGATGGCGAAACCAAAGATTCCTGCCTACGGAAGTCCACTGGGCTGGCTTCTGAACAACCGCCGCACGCCTGTGTGTCTTATAACATATGAAAATGGCCATGCAAGACGTCGCCAAAATCCAGATCCTGCCTCGTGGAACGGAGAGTGAGACTGGAATGTAACTACGAGCCATGCAGTAAGCACAGTAAACACAATAGAAACTAGCGCGTAATGTGACAGGGTTTCCGTGGCATCCTCGGTGATTTCCTTTACATTCATACCAAATACTGCCTGAAAGAAGGTCATCGAATCTATCGTCAAGAGATCAAAATTAGGCGTACCGCAACGAAGCTGGCAGGGAGGAAAATCATTGTCAAGTAGGAAATCTATCGAGGTATTTAGTATCGTCAAGCTAATTGATATGCTAACCTGCCTGTTTCATAGCGGACGAATCACGGACTGTTGCTATTGTCAGATCTTGCATCCGTCGACTATCAACAAAGTTCACGGTCGCTTTAGCCTGGACATTGAAGTTAATAGTGCTCGAGTCTAGCGGAGCAAACACACGAACGAGGTCTGTGATATTTGTCAACTGGAAGCCTAGCCTGTCAATTTCAGAAAGAAGGTTATCACATTCCTTGCGCATCAATCTATTCGTGTCCCTTCTTGCATGATCAGCAAATTTGGAGGACTCCAGAACGGGATTCGGCGTGTTCCTGATGAAGGTCACAGATTTGCGGAAATCCTCGAGAAGCGAAGCATAGTGGAGGAGTCGAGCCTGGATAGTGTGCAGCTCAGTTGTGAGGTTGTTGTCATTTGTCGATAGTCCGTTTATTTCCTGAATGACATAACTGAATAACTGAATGACACGAGCGACAAAGAAACGTACCAGCCAGTTCATGTGAGTATACAAATGGTCCAAAGATTCATCCCAGGCGTAAAGCGCATACCAAAGGATAGCCAAGAAGACTAATGATGGATCCTTAGACTGTTCGAATATCTTCTGCCAATACACGCTCTCTCCCACTTTCTGGACTAAATTTTTCAATCGCTCTGCGGTTGTCCTATTCCATTGAGCACTTGGGTGGTAAGATATGATAGTACTACCACCGGGGTCGGATGATCTTATCATGTGTAGAGCGAGCAGGTCTTCAAGAAGGTACTTTTCCGCCGGCGAGCAAACTAAACAAACATGAAGATACAACACCAAAAGTGGGGGGAAGACTCTACCAGAGCGAAGACGAAGCGACTCTTGCGTGTCTATAGCTTTTTCACCGCCTGGACAACTATTAAGTTATGTTTTCCTGGAGAGCTTAGCAGACGCACAGGAGATGTGCTTGTTTTGCGAGGACACGACGGGCTTGTCCCATGGTGCCGTGCGTACAAAGAGTAGTGTTACCGTAATGTCTGCGATACCTTAAAAGCGTGATCGGGTAAACCATGGAGAGCACTTACGATCTCCTTTTTTCTTGACAACTTCTTCTTGGTATCGAGAAGGGATCCAGTTTAAGGAAGATGTGAAAAAGCACGGTTCGATGTTGTACCTAATTGATGTTCAACCCAGAACACATATATAAAGCAATGAATCTGTAGTACCTTGTTCCCAGCATCTGGAGTACGGGATGTTTCATGTTGTCGACGAGCAACACCCGGAGACGAAGACCTGTTGGCTGTAGGGAAGACGGGTTAACTTGGCCCTCAACAAAGTACGACCATTCTTCACCTCTATCTGCAACTGATCCCAGAGCTGACTTAGAGCGTTTTCATCAACCTCAATAGCTGGTTCGGTGTCCCTAGCCGACTTGAATTTTCCGGATTCAAGCACATCGACATAATAGATCCTGCATTTTTCTCGAGGGTCCCTGGAACAATTCTCGACCATCTTACACCGTGCAACTCGATCGGCGACCCAGTTCCCGAACAAGTTTTGAGGATATCCCCTCCACTTCCATTGCTCCAGTGATTCTTTGGTTGACGGAACCAGTTCGGTTTCCAAAATAATGTCCGATTCCAAGTCCATCCATGGCCAAGGTCCAGACGGGGCAGCATGTCGATATCTGGAAAGACACCATCGACTCTGAACTCTAGGCTTACGAGCATGGAGTGGACTGTGCTCACATTGGTGCGGGTATCGTGGGAGGTTTACTGTTGTGCATTCCATGGCCGACGTTGCCCCAATGAAGTGGGAAACGAGTGCAAGGAGACTGTCTGCTAGTCATGGGTAAAGGTGAGGGAAAGAAGAGTCTCAGTCAATCCGGATGTGAGAAGGTAGGTCTTACTATATAATAATTTTGCGAAGATGCTAGTGCCGTCAGCTGAGATCAAAGAATGCTTCGTACAGAGTTCGCTTGCGAGTCGCGAAGTAGACTCATTACTCATTATGATTTACGGCACCGTTATCTTGGCATCTGTATAGTAAAGTTTAAAGGCCTTGATTACTAAGCTTGTGTTCGAACACAATGCGATCACCCAGCACTGACGCGGACTCGTACTGATTCACTGGTAGGTATCAGTTACGCGGCAATGTGGGTATGTACCAGTGCGATTTTTATGTATCGCAGGTGAGGAATATCATCGCTTATCCTTCGGTCGATGAACCCAAGAAGGAGGATTGAATTAGCAAGTCTCCAGGATCCACGGCACATGACATGATGACAGGACACTCCAAGTTCACGGTACATAGTCTCCCAGCTCGGTCTCCCGGAGTCTGAGAACCATGTCTCCCGAACCGCTAGTGCATATAGATTCTTTCGGTGTTAAAGTCACAACTCTCGGGCCGCTGGAGACTGCGTATCATCATAGCGTCCGAGTTGTCATTGGAACGACTTTGAACAACGGCCACCAAGCGACTTCCTGGTCTCCCGCAAGCAGACCTGAATCAATGAAAACTGTGCGCCTTTCTCCTTGCTCCGAGTCGATGCCTGTCATCCCTTTCCTTACTCATTATGCGCAAGATCACAAACGTCAGACCTAGGCCTTATGGATAAGCTTCGAAGATACAGGTAACTACTCTAAATCAGAATGGTGCAATGATATTACTGAACTCGTTATCCAGCGATAGTTTCAAAGTTCTGCCAACCTTCTCATCGATAGACTTCCTACAGCCGCTCAATCACCATGATGGTGAAATTGATCTTGTGCGTTTGATCCCCGTGGGATTCGACCTTGGGAATATCAAGGGAAGTTCGACAGTTGGCACCGGCCGGCACAGTCGATTATATTCTTAGCTGCAACCGCTTCCGGTTTAACTTTCTTGCCTCCGATAGTTCAGCTAGCTTGCCAAGCAATATTCCGCAGCATGCGTATTTCTGCCAGCACCCCCGCTCTACCCCCGCCATTACTCCCTACCTTTCAGCGCCTAGTATGTATTTGAAATAATCATATCAACTTGGGCAGTATTCGTCAAACGCCATGCTTCTCGGGGTGTTACGGGGAACAGCGAGAGCGCCAATCGTTGACGCCTTTTCGCACCTCCGAGTGCAAGTTAACTAATATTAACTCGGTTTATCTGTACAATTATCTAGCCACCGCATAGTGAAAACAATCTTGTCAGTCAGAGTGCGTAGAGATTTCGAACCCTCATCCGGATAATGCCGGTCTGGTCTGCTTCTGCTGCTGTAACCCACATTAATCAAGTTCTGTTATAGATCAAGCTCTCAAGATGCCTCACCAAAAATCAAATATGCAGCTTCAGAATTTGACAATTGTAATCGACACAATGACAAATTCCTGGAAAGCATGATACATCCACGATTCAATCGGTCGTATTACGTCTCCGCACAGACCATGCTACTGCCGCGTGTTTACAACTCTTTGAAGAAACGTCCATGTCGCCCGCAGAACCGCACGCTACTGGAGGATTGATTTCTTTTGTTGGTATTCCTCATGTGTCCATCGACGTAGGGAATCTTATTTTCGGCGATTCTACGACAAGTGGGACTTATTTACGACGATGGCTTTGATATGCTAACAATCTGCTTTTGCAGGCTTACAGCGATCATTTATTGTCATCAAGAATATAGGCGAAGGCTCCTTTGGGTCAGTCTCCTTATGTGACTGGCATGGAGAATTACCATATGAAGTGCCACCCTCTACGCCCAATATCAATGGTGTCACGAGGCCAGAATGGACAGGTATGCGTTTGGTGGCCGTAAAGAAACTCAAGCGAAGATTGCAACATGGTTGGGACGAGTGCCAGTCCCTCAAGGAACTCAAGGTTTAGTGAATCTTCTGGCACCCATAGGCGTCCTGTTAAATCGATCGTAGGCACTACATGCATTGACCCCCCATCCCTGTGTCGTCCCTCTCTTTGATGTCTTTCTCTCAAGTGAGACTTCGGAGCTGTACTTCGTTTTTGAAGCTATGGAATGCGACCTATACCGATTCACGAGAGCCCGCAAGGGGCGGCCATTGGCTGCTGGTCTTCTGTCCTGCATCTTTAAACAGATAGCAGCTGGACTGCACCACATTCACTCTTCGGGTTATTTCCATCGTGATATGAAACCTGAGAATATTCTCGTCGCTACCTCAGGGCTCTTACAGTCGCAACCAGATGAACAGAAAGATGTCGCTGTCATCTGCAAGATTGCAGATTTTGATTCTGCAAGGGAGATATCAAGCACTCCACCTTACACGGAGTATGTCTCAGGTCGGTGGTATCGTGCCCCTGAGGTGCTGCTCAAGCAGAGAGACTATTCTACGCCGGTGGACATGTGGGCCCTCGGGGCGATCATGGCCGAGCTGATAAACTTGAGGCCTATATTTCCTGGCACTGGAGAAGTCGATCAGATACACCGAATCATCAAAGTACTCGGCGACCCTGCAGATTACGCCGTGGACGAGCACGGAAGATCTTACGGAGGTGGTCCATGGCCCCTTGGCTTGGAATTAGCAAAGCGTCTTGCCTTCAAATTTCCTCAGGTCGGTATAATTATATATCCGAGTTTGCGGAGTATTTGACTCACTTGTGATGCCTCAGACCGAACCGAGAAATATGTATACGATGTTCGACAAGAGAACATCTCGCCAACTTGTCGACTGCATCTCTAGTCTCCTCAAGTTTGACCCCAGCTTGCGCCTTACTAGCCAACAGTGTCTTGCGCATGAGTATCTCGGGGAATGCCTGCCGGAAAATCTTCCTTGCATGGCTCCTGGACTAGACATCCACTCTCCACAACCCGTCAATAGCAAATGATTTACACAACGTCGGAGCCAACTGTTAGTGAGTCTCTCGTGATACATGCTATTTATGTTAATGCTCATCCCTTCATATTATATAAACCTTCAGGAATGAAATAGGCTTTGTAGTACACCGGAACAGTACATTTGATAGAGTTGTCTAAATTTGTGTGCTGTCAATACGCAGAAGGCGTTCAATACATTCCTTTCACTCATCTTTCAAAGCGCAGTGGTGACCCTGAAATATTGCAAGTTTCGAAGCCATCACGGAGGTACTTACTTCCGCACTATAGGGAATGATGTGAGCGAAAGAATCGCTTTATTCCCGAGATCTTTCCGTGAAACCAGTTGGATAAAAAAAAGTGTTCAGAGCCTCAGCGCAGAGCCCGATACACGACACTTGCGTCACGGTGTCAAGGCGTGTGTCATTTTTTGAGAATATCGATTGATTATAAAGAGCTCAGAGCTGCTCCCTCATATTATTCAGCCACACCTGGGTTTGCTGATGAGTCTGTGGCTACTATCAAGCCGCCCTTCATCCCCCTTCGCATTGTTCACAATCTCATCCTTGCCACCAGTAGACCCGGCAGGCCTTGTTTCGAATGAACGACTCGGTGTCCTCCGAGTTAGTAGATGCTCGCGGAGTTGGAAAACACATAGCAATCACATGGTACAGTACTATGCTTCGTCATCGTCATGCCAAGAGTCTAGACCTTCAAGCTTCAAGTTCAACATGTCCAGTCTCGAGAGCAAGTACATCAAAATCTCCAATCCTGCTCCACATGTGTTGTTGTTAGAGTTGAACAGGTCTGCAACATCCAAGCTCCCGAGTCTCTCAAATTTTAACAAAACTATCCAGACAGCCAGTCAACGCATTCAACACAGAGCAAGTCACAGCAGTTTCCACCGTAACTGCTAGTGCTTACCACATGATCATGCAGGTTCTGGAAAGAGTACGGACGTACATTCGACGCACTTTCGACGCATCCAGATGACATCCGCGCCGTCGTCCTCTCCTCCGCATTCCCCAAAGTATTCTCCGCAGGGATCGACTGTAAGCACCCCACCCACCGACACAGACCACCAACTAACCCCCAACAGTCCAAGGACTCATAAACCTCGGTTCCAACAACACCACAGACCCCGCACGCCGCGCCCTCCTCATCCGCGCCGACATCCTCGACATCCAACACGCAGTATCAGCGCCCGAGCGGTGCCCCATCCCCGTGATAGCAGCAACCCACGGGCTCGTGATCGGTCTGGGTATAGACCTCATCTCCGCATGCGACGTCCGATACACAGCATCAGACGCCAAGTTCTCCATCAAGGCTCGTTAACCGTTAGTCATAAGGCTGCTCGCTCGTTTGTCTGATGCAGGCTGCTTGCTGCGTATAGGAAGTCGATGTGGGGCTCGCGGCTGATGCTGGGACGTTGGCTTATTTGCAGAAGATTACGGGGAATAAGTCGTTGGTTTGTGAGCTTGCGTATACGGCGAGGATGTTCTCGAGCGAGGAGGCGGAGAAACTTGGTCTTGTTTCTAGGGTCATTCAGGGTGGGAGGGATGCGGTTGTGGCTGCGGCATTGCAATTGGCTAGAGATATCGCTTCGAAGAGTCCTGTTGCGGTGAGTGGGACAAAGCGTTTACTTCTGCACGCCAGGGATCATAGGTATGGGTGTCTGTTACCGCTTTTGGATTAACTCATTGTTTTGTGATAGCGTTGCTGATAATCTGGAGTACACGGCAACTTGGAATTCAGCTGCGCTTCAGGCTATGGTTAGTTCATTTACTATCTGCTTGTCACGCTTCGATTGATATAAAATACTATGCTAGGACTTGCAGCAGTCAGTTAAAGCGGGAATGGCGAAATCAAAGGAATCCCCGAAGTTCTTGCCATTAAAGCCCAAGCTCTAATTAACGTTATTTGAGTACGCTACCCTGAGCCTTCCCTGATCTCTTCCGCTAATGAGAATTTGAAATTTACATTGAGCATGATAGTAAATACAATGGGATTTTCAAGATACTACACGTGCATAGGCTAAAGCCTACACCTTGTTATATGTTGTTTTCTCCAGCTCACATCCTGTGGCCGAGGTTGACGTGGACAGACTTCACTGCGGTGTAACTGATAACATATCAGTATGTGTTAAGATACCATAGACGCAACACTCACTTAGCGAGGGCATACTCCCCAAGCTCACGACCAATACCGCTCTGCTTGAAACCGCCGAATGGTACGTTGGAGTGCAACGAGTTAACGCAGTTGATCCATGCAGTTCCAGCTTTGAGTTTGTGGGCGGTGTTGATAGCACGGTTCAGGTTTTGAGTGAAGACGGCAGCAGCAAGACCGTAGACTGTGTCATTTGCCTGCTTGATCACATCTTCCTCGTCCTTGAACTTGATGACAACACCAACAGGACCGAAAATCTCCTCTTGGACGATCTTCATCGATGGGTCGACGTTGGTGAAGATGGTGGGCTTGATGAAGTAACCCTCAGTTCCATGACGCTCGCCACCGATTTCAACCTTGGCACCAGCTGCCTTTCCGGATTCGATGTATGACATGATACGCTGGAACGTGTATTAGGCGGGAATAGTTACGGAAGCATCTGACGGCATACGTTAAATTGAATCTCTGAGACCTGAGGACCCTGGAAAGTGTCAGGGGCAAATGGATCGCCAACCTTGAGCGAGCGAGTTTTCTCCGTGAAGCGCTTGAGGAATTCGTCATAGATGCCTTCTTGTACGTAGATACGCGAACCTGCGCAACACGTCTGACCGTGGTTCCAGCTGGTGACATATGAGTGTAGTTTGCATGACAACACGTCGCTATACTCACAAGATACCGAATGCAGCCCAGTTGACGGCTTGTTCGAGGTCTGCATCGTCAAAGATGATGTTTGGACTCTTTCCACCGAGCTCAAGGGTGACGTTTTTGAGGTTGCTCTTCGCGGCAGACTCCATGATCTTGCGACCAACAAGGGTTGAGCCAGTGAAGGCGACCTTCTCTATCCTCATATGCGAGGAGATGGCATTACCGACAGTGTTTCCGTAACCAGAGATGACATTGACCACCCCGGGTGGGAAGCCAGCCTCGTTAATAAGGTGGCACATTCGGATAGCAGTCAAGGGTGTGAATTCTGACGGTTTGAGAATAATGGTGTTACCGCATGCGAGAGCAGGGCCAAGTTTCCATGCCATCATGAGCACTGCGAAGCGAATGAGGACATGACACTCGAAGCGGCTGATGTGTACGCACATGGGAAATTCCATGGGATGATTTGACCCTATCAGACGAAGATAAGAGGACAATCTGGGAGCTGATATACGTGTACTTACGACGACACCAATTGGTTCGTGACGAGTATAGGTGAGCTTGTCTTCGGTGGTCTGCCCGATTGTCAGCGAATGAGCGAGGTTGAGAGTTGAAAAGATTCAGACCTCTTGTACTTGACCAGTGACCTTATCAGCCCAACCAGCATAGTAGCGAATACAATCGATGGAACCAGCGACATCGACATTTCTTGCCCAATTGAAAGTCTTGCCTGAGGATTATTGGTTAATGATTCGGATGCCTACTGATTGGCCCGGATGCTAACCGTTGTCCAATGCCTCCAAAGCGGCAAGCTCGTCTGCATTTTTCTCCATGATGGCAACAAGCTTTGACATTAAAATGCTACGCTGAGCACCGGGGGCATGAAGACCCCAGGTGGTATCGAAGGCTGCATGAGCAGCGTCGACGGCAAGGTCGACATCCTTGGGGGTACCCTCGGACACGGATGTTATTACTTTTCCATTGGCTATTGATCGAGTTCATGTAAGATCGTGAATATCGACGTGAAGAGAACGTACTGGGATTGATGACACTGGAAGATTTGAGAGTCAGAAGCGATTGATCAGTGATAGGGGCGAATCATACTCAATGGTAGTTTTATCTGAACCATCCAGGAACTGGCCGTTAATGAAGAGACCGGTGCTGAAGGAAACTTTCCCCTTGAAAGCGGGTGTGTTGAATTCGTGAGTGAATGCAGAGGGCATGATGAATGGATGAATGCTTCGTACTCGGTTGAGGTGTATATATAGGAGCGGAGTGCCATTATGTATACAATTATGTAAATACTGTGGGGCCCAAACTTAATTCCAGAGTCACCTGAGTGTCCTTCGTGCATTCCATCCTCTCACGTTCCACTTGATAGTTTGTTCGTACCTTTCGCCTGATAGTTTGCTAGCTTGGCTTTGATTCTTTGTGGTAGCTGAGCGCTGAGCGCTGAGCTGCCATCGAGGTACTCAAGTACCTGAACGCGGACGGTCAACGTCACAGTATTCAATTGGGGGATACTAGTCCTTTCTTAGTTGCCAACGTCACCTGGTACCTATGTATTGATAGACCTTAGGCTGCGCACATGGCACCATTAAGGCAAGTATTGTCGCGTCATGAGCGGCATTTGCAAAATCTTCGCGGGCATCACCTATTGGTGTCTCTCCATTCTCTTTCGCCCGGTTCATACGACAAGTTCCTTCCCAACAAAGCCTCGCCAAGGTTCGACGGCGTCCTCTTATAGGTGACGTTATGGGTCTGTCGGTCTCCCGGGCCGAGGGACGAGGGACGAGATTCTCGAAATTTCCACAATATCAGCTGCATGCGAGACTTTGAGATCATCTGTGCTCGTTCGACCTATCTCACACTTGCATGTGTTTCATAGATATACGCATGACCCAAAAGATCCTCCACATTCACCTCCTTGCGTCGTTCTCCCACCTCAGCCAAATTTTTACTCACCCACCTTCATTAATCTCACGATTCTCACCAGCGTACGTGTTCTGAGAACTCATATAATTTACAGCTTTATATAAACTATCTTTATCTTGGTTTGGTCTCGTTCCTTCGTGATCCCCGCAACCTGGGATCTGGTCTCAGCACGTTCAGAGGCTCTGTCCCCTCTGCATCCGACTTTTCCCCCAAACACCGGACTCGGAACGCTTCGCTTCAGACTGCGCGTATAGATGCGGTCTGACGAAGCCAGACCTTCCACACCACACTCCCCTCACCGTCTTGCAAGTGTGCTAAAATTAGTATTGCACGTCATCCTCTTCTGCTAATTTTACCTGCTCTGTCAAACATCCACACGGTTATGGTATCGTACGATCCTTCGAACGAGAGCAATGTAGATAATCAGGAATAACTGCACACTCGATAACGTCGTCTCAGGAGAACACAAGAACCTTGCTTCTCAATATATAATCATACAAACAACACTCTACCATCGCCCATCACAAAGTCTCTCTCAAAGTAACGACTTTCTTGTCTATCGTTTCTATCCCTAATATCCTATCAGCCTCTGGTGACCCTGCAAGAGGAACATCCTTCCGTAGAGAGACCTGGACCGGCGAGACACCTTCATTGTAAGCCAATGCAAATACGACGTCCATATCTGGAAGAAATGTTGAACCGACAACAACAAAATACATCAGATACAGAGTTACCTTCCAACGAACGACCTGCAGTCTCCGGGAAGAAGAAATAGACAACTGGAATGATTAAAGCGTTGAGCGCAGCGAATACTGTTCAAACATTAGCTTCTCACGACGCGATATTTCACGACATACCGATGTAAGTGCCCCAGGATATATTGTTGAACGACGGGCCAGTGATCATCACGACTACGAAATTGAATATCCAATTCGAAGCTGTGTAACAAGGTGTCAGAACCCCAATGTGGATAGAAAAACAAACTAGATACATGTGCTCAGGGCATTGGCAGGCGCACGAATTTCCAACCCGACGATTTCGGCACACTGACGCAGCTACATGTGAGTTCCGTGTAAATTACAGCAAGCAAGCAGCTCACGTATAGCCACGTCATGCCCAACCACCCGATGGCAAAGAACGAGTTAAACACAAAAAGTAGCACGGCGCTCGTTACTTGTGCTCCAGTGCCTCGTACACTGCCGAGAACGGCGAGCAATATCATCGTTATGCACTGGCCCACAGCGCCAAAAAGCATGAGCTTTCGTCGCCCGATACGGTCTATGATGAAGATGGCTATCAAAGAGGCAAAGAAATACTCTGTTCCGTTGGCAGCCGCGATAAGACGTGAGGTAACATCCGACAGACCAAGGCGCTGAAATAGGATCGTCTAGAGTGCAACAGACATGAGGGATCAGCAAATTCAGAAAGGGGAAGTAAGACTCACAGCATAGCTAAAATGTAAAGTGCGCATCAGATTCCGAATCTATGTTGAAAGCAGATACTCAACTATGTAATCAGGTTGATGCCCGTAATTTGTTGGAAACACTGGTTGATCACTGCTAGACAAGTTCTCCGGAAATGTTGGCTCCGGCCGCCAACGAGGAGTTTCCTCAAAGGCGAACGCTTGGAGTTCTGTAGCGCATGTTTGCCTCCAATGCCGCTAGAGTTAACGTCCTCGATAGCAACTGCTTCCCGGATAGCATGATAAGTGCGTTGAACTTCAACATCGTCTGGAGATTTGTTCTCGAGCGCCGATATGACTGCTATGGCCTCTGCGTTTCGGTTTTGCTTTACAAGCCTACATCACTGTTATCAGCAACGTGCCAAATAGACGGATTGACATAATCACCATCTTGGTGATTCAGGAAGCTGAAAAATCTAGTCAGATAGGAGAGCGACAGTAACTATACAGTTGACCCACGAAACCGATTCCAAAGACCATGACCAGAGCCAAAACTATCTGAAGCGCGATGGGGACTCTCCACTGAGCAGAAGATCCGCTCGCCCAATAACTATCATATGCCTGTGAATCGGGTGGCAGGAAAGGAAGGAGGTAACGTACAGGCCAAAATCGATCCACTTGATGCGCGCCATCAATCACGCCAAGACGTCAGATTGGCAGGTTCACTTACATATCTGACAGACACATGACTTTAGGATACAGGCATAGCATGGCTACTCACGAGAGCATGACACCAAAAGTGATGAGAGACCCTTCAATCAATATCAGCGCGCCGCGTTTCGCAGCAGACGAGAGCTCTGCATGGTAACTGGGAACCGTGGAGGTCTGTCGAGGAACGCAAGATGCAGACGGAGGAATGAACTATAAACTGGGTACTGACGTTCAAGCCATTTCCAACGCCGGTAATTATCCGAGCGACCACTAATTGGGCATAGCTGTAGCTGGTCGTTTGGAGAATAGCGCCGATAATCATGATACATCCGCCCAGTGCAATTGTTTGGCGTCTTCCTAAACGATCTCCTACCCAAAGATTAGATAAAGCCCCCATGAGGCATCCAATTTCCTGTGCATGCAAACACATTGAGAACGATTTAACAACAGTGGCTTGTTGCTTACATATACAGCGACAACAAAGCTTTGCAGAGTAGCGTGGTTAGGGTGGCTGCTATCTACTACAACCTGGGGGAAGACCTTCTCGAACTAAGATCGATTAACAACGACACAACAACATTTTCGACTCGGATTGATGACATACCTGTCCAGCGGTCAGCAATGCAGACATAACCCCTTGGTCATAGCTACATGACGATAACGCAATTCGCTTAGTAGGTCATCCAAAAGCAGGTAGGCATCTGTACGAACCCAAACAACGTAAATCCAGTACCAGCAACGAATGCGATCGAAACGGTTAATTTACGCCCACGGAGGCGAGGGGCATACGAAGCAACTTCGGCATCAAAATTAGTCTCGTCATAGTGCTTCCTCTCTTCTCCTTCGAACGTGCTTGAGACTGGAAGTCGGCTTGTCGTTGTCATGATAATAGACACTAAGCGCCTTAAAATTGGAAGCAGAAACAATGGGCACCACAATGAGACTAGTCCTAATTTATAGGTTGAGTATGCTATGCCACAAATAGAAGTGGAGTACTACAAGTTACCTTGTGACCGAAACCTCTGATCATTTTGTAAATGTGATCACGGATAATTGATGAGGCTTATCATTGAAGGAAGTCCACTGAAGCTGGTGGTGTTGGAGACAAGTCTGCCGGAGTGCCACAATCAGTACAGCTCTTACTCAGCATTTGCGAGTTGGAAGGAACTGTTGAAAGGAAGACTAGAATCAGTAAATGGACTAGTAGTGGTGACGGTATTCAAGCGTAAGCCCGGGCCGATTTACATCATAATCCCACACTGTTCGTCTTGGCACGCGCCCAGGTGAGCACTTACTCGTCCCCGCACCTTTGTGCGGCATCCGATGGCTATTAGGCTGTTCTCTCGCCATTTGCAATTTCCTGTAGGCTGGTGATCGTAACCTTCGCATACTGCGTGTGCTTGAAGGAAACATTCGATCTCGACCAGCCATTGACCTCCCGCGCAGTCTTTACGAGTGTTGTCTTGGCGCAGATTCCCGCTGGCGCGAGCGTCGGGACATCGTTATCTGTACGAAAGGCGATAACCTCATCGAGTCGCACATAACGACGGTGCAGACCGGAAGCCGAATATGGAATACGCGAGCGTGTCGTATGCAGAAGAGGACACTAGTCCAAAGGCATGGCTAGAGACAATGGTTGATGACGAGTAGTCACTAGTCAATAATGAGGGAAGTTGCAAACGTCATAATAGTGTGCGTCTTCACCTTCCAGAACATATTGATATCCGTATTATACCAGTTGTATTTGTATGCCCGCCGCGCTTTCGCGTTTGTCACATCTTTGCCTTGGCAATGTTTTTCAAATGCCCTGACCAGCCTGAGATTACCGCGGCCTTGTCCACCACTGAGTGTGTTCCAGAATCGAAGTTGAGCTCAGATAACAAACCCCCGAACTTCTGAGGCAAGAACCGATGTCCGGGAATCGGGGATAGGCGTCCTACGCCGCTACAACAGGTAGGATTAACGAGAGCGCGCTCTCGCAAGTTGAGTATGTCCATTGTCAAGTCACATCTTTGATGGTTCTGATGCAATGCCGATGTGAGGCGCCCACTGGTGAACTATAATGTTGGACTAGAACGATGGGTAGCATCATGATGTGGCTCCCACTGAGGTTTACTTCACTGTTGGCGGCGAGCATAATTGTTGTACACGCTGTGACTCAGTGACTTCGATGACCAATTTTACGTCAATGATATCATAGACTTTGACCCGAACATCACGTCCTCGCACTCTACTTTCACATAAAAATTTAATCAACACTAGAAGCAACGGGCCCTTGGATATGTTCATCGACAAGACGCTGATCTTCAAGTTTTAATATTTGCGTAACGCTCTCGTACCAGATGTGAGTCCGAGTGGAGGACCGCAACTGTCAGAATTCATGAAGCTGTGTCCTTCAAAACGTCAATCCTTTGTCAAATTACCATTCCATCACGGAAACCGGGGAAGGATGGTGTCGATGAGTTATCATACGTAGTCCAAATTCAAGAACTGGTGTGCAGTTTCCTTCAATCTTACCGATTGAAGCATAGTATACTCACTTCAACAGTAGTCATTGATTCACCTGCGTTAAGACGTCACGGGCCACGGCTATCTCCTTGCGGGTTGCTGCAGGTCAGTGATAGCCGGACAGCCGCCGCATGCCGTTCATCAATTGACCGTGCCTATCATCGTACGTAATGAGGAACTTGGAAAGGAACTTACCAAGCGCGCCGGCGTCAACGTATTTGCACCATCTTCCTCTCAGTTCTATCTCTTCCTCCCCTTTACTTTTCCCATGTCCTCTACCAATCATGCTCGTTTCCCATTGAACAATATTCGTTGGGGCAACAATAGTCATGGAACTCCTGGAACTCATACAACACACAGCAGTAAACCCCCAAAAACACCTGCACCGATGTGAGTATCCATCGTATTCGGAACATGCTCGTGAGCCCAAAACACTTAATTTTGATGATTTCTTTGCAGATATCGGCATGCTGCCCCATCTGGACCTTGGCCATGGATGGACCTCGAGTCGGACACTAAGTTAGAGGCAGAGCCTACTTCACCAGCAAGAGAGTCAGTGGAACAATTGAAATGGAGGGGTTATCCTCAATCCTTGTTCGGTAACTGGGTCACCGATCGAATCTCACGGTGTAAGATGGTCGAAAATTGTTCCAAGGACCCTCGAGAAAAATGCAGGATCTATTATGTCGATGTACTTGGAACAGGATCATTCAAGCCGGCTCAGGATACCGGTCCACCCATTGATGTCGATGAACGCGCTTTAAATAAGCTTTGGGATCATTTGCAGATACAGGTAAGGAATAGGTATGAGTTATTGCAAGCGATTTGATCATATGTCGCTGCAGCCGACAGGCCTTCGTCTTAGGGTGTTGCTTGTCGACAACATGAAACACCCTGTGCTCCAGATGCTGGGAACAAGGTACTATACTCAAGTTTTTTCCAACATGTGTCCGAGGATGAATGTAAATAGGTACAACATCGAACCGTTCTTTTTCACGTCCTCGTTGAACTGGATCCCTTCTCGATACCAAGAAGAAGTTATCAAGAAAAAAGGAGATCGTAAGTGGTTTTCATGGTCTACCCGACAGCGCGTCAAACACACCATCAGACATTACGGTCACTCTTCTATTCGTACGCGCCGTATCATGGGAGGTGACTGCACCATCCTCGCAAAACAAGCACATTTCGGGTGCGAGTTCTATGCACCTATGCAAAATTTAACCTGATCGTTTTCCAGACAATGAGAGGGCTATAGACACACAAGAGTCACTTCGTCTTCGCTCTGGTGCAGTCCTCCCCCTAATTGATGTTATTATTATTCAAAAGTTTTTAGTTCGCCGCCCGTCAGCGGAAAAGTACCTTCTTCAAGACCTGCTCGCTCTGCATATGATAAGATCATCCGACCCTAGTGGCAGCACTATCATATCTTACCACCCAAATGCTCAGTGGGATAGGACAACTGCGGAGCGATTGAAAAATCTAGTCCACAAAGTAGGAGAGAGCGTGTATTGGCAGAAGATATTCGAACAGTCTAAGGATCCATCATTTGTCTTCTTGGCTATCCTTTGGTATGGGCTCTATGCCTGGGACGAATCCTTGGACCATCTGTACACTCACATGAACTGGCTGGTACGCATCTTTATCGTTTGTCTCGTTCAATCATTCAAGCTATGTCATTATGCAGGAAACAAACGTGCTGCTGACGAATGATAGCCATCTTACGACTGAGTTACACACTATCCAGGCTCAGCTACTTCATTATGCTTCACTTCTCGAGGATTTCCGCAAATCTGTGAATTTCGTCAGGAACACGCCGAATCCCGGTCTGGAGTCCTCCGAATTTACTGAACATTCAAGAAGGGACACGAATAAACTGATGCGCAAGGAATGCGATAACCTCCTTTCGGAAATTGACAGGCTAGGTTTCCAATTGAGAAATATCACAGACCTCGTTCGTATGTTTGCTCCGCTAGATTTGAGCACTATTAATTTCGATGTCCAGGCTAAAGCGACTGTGAACTTTGTCGATAGTCGACGGATGCAAGATCTGACGACAGCAACAGTTCGTGATTCGGCCTCAATGAAACAAGTAGGTTGGTATTTTAATTCGCTTGACGATACTAAATACCTCGATAGATTTCCTACCTAACAATGATTTTCCTCCCTGCCAGTTTCATCGCAGTATGTCCAATGTCATTCTCTCAGTGATGTATCTGATAACTTTCTTTCAGTCGGTATTTGGAATGAATGTCAGAGAAATTATCAGCGGTGCCACGGAAACTCTAGCCAATTATGTGACTGTTTCTGTTACATTTACTGTACTCACTGCATGGCTTGTAGTTGCATTTCAATCTCACTCGCCGTTTCACGAGCCGGGTGCTGGATTCTGGCGACGGCTTGCATGGCCGGTCACATACATCATGAGATCCACAGGCCTGCGGCAGTCGCTCCGAAGTCAGCCCGTTGTAGACATTTAGACGAACTCTTTTAACACTAAAAGATACATCTTCCCCTCTGTATCAAGTTGCACAGTATCATGGCTTAACGATTACGATTACGAGTATGGGACGAAATGTTGTGTTTTAGATGTAGACTTGTTTCCTACTTTCTATCTCTAGGAATCGGCGTTGCCTTGTAGAAGAGTTACTTTCTCTCCAGGTGTTCTGATTTCGTAGTCATTTTGGATGTATTTTATGGGTGCAAGTTCAAACGAAGGTCTCTCTACCTCTTCAAAAGTGTGCGTGCGTCACGGACTCACGCCGGTTCCAAGGTTTCGCCACAACATTTGTACCGCGCCGCACAAGCCCCACAAGTAAGGTTAGGTTAACAATTGACTCACTAAAGTAGCTAGTATAAATGCCTCTGTCAAAAAGTGGCCAAGTGATTTTTAAAATTCTGGTCAATCAATACTTATGAAGAGTTGTAGAGTCAATATTGGCAGCACTCTGCCAACAATAGCCCGGCCCCGGATCAGTGCCCTGATGTGCGGTGCCTGATACCTACCGTAATTGAAGAATCATTGGCAATTACTACTTATGGCCGCTGGCATACCACGCAAATATTCACAACATGATGCGCGTTGATACTTAACATGAATTTCGGACTTATCCATGTAACCCAACGTTGCATTTCCCCAGTTGTTCCCTGCTAATTACTGTTCTCTTGGTTCAAGTTATTGTCATGGGCAGTCGGCCAGTTGATCTCGGACTCCCTGTATTCTCCGGCCAGTTGGCACTGACCAAATCTGGTGTCACGTTATCCGACACTCCGCAAACAAATTTATGGCTCGAACGATCTCGTCTCGATGGAATGATGTTAGGCGGAGTGTCCTACGGTGCGTTTTTGATCAAAATACGACATTTCAGGAATTAATACACGTACTAGGCATATTCGCTCTCCTTACAGTACAAGCCGCGGCTGCTCTGATGCAACGTCCTCGATATGGTGGAAAAATCGCAAATAATCGCATCGTACTTCTTTTTTACATTTTCATCACGTTCGTGCTGGGGACGATAAGCTATGCTGCGGACGCGAGATATACAGAAATGATTTGGATAGACCTTCGCGATACACCTGGTGGTCCGGTCGAGCTAATCGAGAACGCACTGAAGTATCGCATAAACATTGTAGCACTTGCCGCGTAAGCTCCCTGCTCATCCCACCTTCAGGCCTCTAGTATTGACATCTAGTCCTAGTTATTTTATCATGGGCTGGTGTATGCAAGCTTGCTTGTAAGCTGGATAGTTCGCCATTTAAACTGGCGCAAACCTGATGCTTGAGATACTAGCTTCATCGATGTTTTATAATTTGGTGTCGGGAAAGATCGGTGATGGTCCCAATGATCACCTTCTTCATTGCCATGATTGGTGCAGTATACCATTTACCAAGCGAGAGTCATCACTGACATCTTCAGCAGCAGTGTCTGTTCTCATCCTGATCCAGGCGAGCACCGGGACCAAATTTTTCAAGATGAACACCATGCTTCTCTACTTCTGCATGGAAGTAGGGTTCACTCTAATTTATACGATTCTTGTGACGAATCGTTTACTCACCATGCGAAGCCGGATGAAGCAGGCCGTGGCCCAATATAATTCTAGCACCTATGATACCGTCGTGCTCATGCTCATCGAGTCCGCCATGCTATACTCTGTTTTCTGCGTGATTCTTATAGTTTCCATTGCGTCGAATTCTGACGGCGTCTCCAATCTATTCAACTTTTCCATTACCAGTGTTCAGGTAAGCAGACAAAAGTCTATGTAGCATGCGTCTCTGATACTAACTTGAACATGTGGAATCTAGGGCATTTCTCAACTGCTCATCATCATCCGTGTAGCACGGGGACGGGCAATCACACGCGAGTGGTCGACCCGCGTTACTGCAACATCTGCAGCGCCTACGTCTATAGTATTTTTATCAGATATAACAGATGGAGTCAACATGGAGCGAATGGACACTCCAGAGCAGGATGGCGTACCATTGTACTCTGTTCAATCGGCGAAGGCAGCCAAAGCTGAAGCGTGTATAGCATGACCTTGACCTGGTGTAAAGCTAGTTTATTTATGTATTGTACTTCAACTTCATTTATATTTGCTACTAGAGCTTATAACCTATCGAAAGTCTTTGCTATTACGATAGGGATCACCCGTCATTATGCACAATTTCATGGACAATTGACTCCTCGTCAGCTCAGAAGCAGAATTTCGAATTACCCATCTTGCGACTCGACGGAGCCTCTTTGATATTTCATCACCCCCCTTCTCCCAATTCTGCACCGCCGTTAGCATTCAAGCGTTCATTTTTTACAGATATGAGTGTCTGAAGATGAATAAGGCCATGACTCACGCAAAGGATACTATTAATAGTGTTGGACACGATCAAACATTGAGCGGATAGCTACAGAGCACTGGCAGGACGTGTTCTTCTTCGGTATACGTAAATGTGCCGTAAAGGTATGCGTGAAGTTTGTGTGAATTTATAGTCTGTATGAGTCGAAGAAGTCGAAATCAATACATTCATGCAGGCTTGTTTCAGATATCGATGTCATTGTCCGCCTCCACTCATGAATTCATGATCCGCACGCTACATGTACATACCTGTCCAATAAATTCAGTTTATTCATCAATTACCCGCACTCCGGGCCCCGGCGTAAGCGACCGCCGACTACGTACCGGCCATCTCTAGTAAACATGCGGGTTATCAAGTTCGTGTCACCAGCCAACACCCGTCGTCGTCAGCTCAATGACAGGCATCTTCGACCTTGTCTTCCTCATCAGATATGTCAGCGCTCGTGTATGAGAATATCGGCATGTCAGGCAGAGGGGAGGGTTATGCTTACCTGCTGCATCCGCTGTTATAGCATGATACGCAGAAGGGAGCAGCAGAGGGAAAATATGCGGCGTGGATTGGGAGTATCATTTCGGATGGTGCCCACAGCTGATGTCTTCCGCCACGCATCTTTTCCCGTGTCCATTTCATAAAGTGGACTCAACAGTCCATCCGTCCGGCTTACGAAGGCAGTCGCAGGATGGCCCAACTGCAAAGCGATACGCTGATCGCCAACACTGTTCGATTTCTTGTGTCAGTATCATAACTCGACCCCATCGAAAGATCAGGATTTTTGTCCATGTCTTGATTTGTACACGAGAATGCTGATACTGGGCGACGTCGGACGTTATCATAATGGCCGTCGGTCGCAGCAAGCTCAGATCTCACACGGAATTCAGCTTGTTAGACTGATTAGAAAGGTTGAAGGTTCCGAATTCTTGTTATAGGAAAGGTATCTGGTTTTCTCCCATATCAGACCAGTGTTGATGACGTGCTTTTACTAACAGACTGGCGTTGACCAGTCATCACTGATCAACCACGTATTTGGAGCGGACGAAACGGCGGAAAACACGGTGAGCTGAACGCGACGCTTCAACTAGCACAACTACTCATACTGCCAATAGATCATTGCGCGCGATAAGCCAGGCGAAGCCAGCATCGACCATGAGTTCATCTCACCGCAGAACGACAGGTATGTTCTCCACGATAGCATAGGTTTTGAACCAGGGGAAAAAGACAACCTGAGAATAGTCCAAGATTCATTGACCATCGGAGGGACATGTCTCCACAACATCAGTTGCATGCTGTTTGGTAGAGATTCTATTTCAAGCACTCCGTTATGGTGGACTGACAAAATACATGGAAGGCTTTGTTTTCAAATACCCCGTGCAAGTGCACATTTGCTAGAGACGGGAGCAGAGGAATTCCTCACATTGAAACGTGATGGAACGCTGGGAAACAGTAAGTAAATCGATGACTATACCTTTAGCGACAAATTCATACAAGAACTCGCAAAGAACAAAGCAGAAGCCGAGGTACTCTAGTGTGTACCAATACCCTGACGGGTTCATGCGTGCCTCTGAAATGTAACATTGCAGCCGAAGATTGTTATAGGGAGACCCTTGCCCACCTGATCCAGATAACTGAAAACTGCGTCGGTCAGCATTCTACGCCCGAGGCTGTGATGATGACCTCCATCGCTCGGCGAGTACATCCTATACTCAAAATAAAAGCATTAATTAAGTGAGTCTTACTTGCTTCATTCTTATCTCATGATTTACGCAGTGTCAGGGCTGGTAAGAAAAGTCTGTCCCAGTTTCGCGTTCATGATACAACCTAAATTTTCATGTCTTGCAGGATATCGTCAAGCGCTTGTGTCATGCCCAACGTTCAAGAACCGCAAGATGTGAGATGGTCTATATGTGCTTCACACTGACATCGTCGATGTGTGGAACTTCCGCGACCCTCATAAGGTGATGGCTATCTTATTTGTCGTCGTTGCATCCGATCTAACGTGATTTGTACGTAGTACTTGCACAGCCAAGTGTTCAGCGCAATGATGATGAACATGGTCGATAAGATAGACGTTGGACCGACAGCTGATCCCACCAAGACCGCGTAAGCTGGTCTTTTATGTTACAGATAAATTTCATCTCAATGAATATTTGCACCAATCGCAGCAAGTGCCGTACTTGTTGTATGGTTTACGATATATACCAAACATCGTACGGAGAGGTGTTGTTAAAAGGAAAGCCAGCTATGTCGAAGATCCTGTCACGCTACAACATTGATTCAGAGACCTTTGAGCATGAGTGACGAAAATGGGCCGTACCTGAGCTTGTGTACAACCATGATTGTTTGCAATTTATCACGATGCTTCATGTCTATCAGTCATGTCAGAAACCTGAGCTAAGTATTTAGGTCTCTGAGGCTAGCTTCATCTTTATCTTATTTTCAAAATAGTGAAGAGTAGATATCGGAAGTATCGATGAGATTCACGAGAATGAACACCAACTTCTCAATTTCGTCGCTGCGCAGGGTCACTGCGGGGTCAAATGATGAAGCGATGAAGAGGTTGGGTTATACTAGATGGTCCCACGAGTCCGTGTGTCCCAAGAGTCCGCGCATTGACTCTAGCACACGCAATTCTGCACAGAATCCTTATCCATGATAGATCTGGATTCGACCAAACATAATACACACTGCCATATATTTTTTTTGAAGAAAATCGAAGTAGATCTTGTTCCATGGGCAACTTATCAGTGCGAGAGGCATAGAAGGCTCACTCTAAAGGTCAGATCTCCACATATAATTCTGGAATATTGTGAGATGGTTATATACATGATTAGAGAATACTAAAACAAATTTATTCGGGGCACATGCTTGTCAGGATCATCTGCGATGAAGAAATAAGCCCCAGACGTGACAATCTGCCCAAAGCGTTACATAGAGACTGTGTAATCAAAACTCCGCAATGCCGAAATGCTTTACACATGCACAACTTCACAACATTTAAACGGTGCGAATTCTGCGGAGCGTGAAAAGGCATCGCGGCAGACGTGTGACATAGTGTGACGAAGTGCGCGAACTCTAGGGAAAATGCACTTTTCTGCGCGGTAACTCTCCGCTGGACTCAACACGTCAATTTTCGAAAAAAAAACTAGCAGACGTTGTACTTTCGATGTCACGCTATCGAACTGTCAAAGAATTAATTTTGTTTGTTTGTGCGATGTGGAGTAATAACCGTTTTGCCAAAAATGCGCGAACTCCCGTGGACATCTAGTAATACAATGTTTATAATTGAACACACCTGCAGGTTCTACCGAATTTTCTGCCATCTCATTGCAATAGCTATAGCAATTCTGCCAAATCGATGAGAATTGTGCTCATAAGTATATGCAGGATATGAAAGCTGGCCGTCGTCCTATAGTGTTTCTTCATTCTCAGAGATATCGTTCGAGATCTCCCTCTCAGAATATTCCATAACACCTCGCACAGAAAATGCGTTTCTCCCTCGTCGTCGTCGTGTTCGACCCGGGGTCAAACTTGCATCACAGATCTCGATTGCTGCACTACTGACTTGGCCTGTTATGATGATGGCATGAGTATGAGCAGGTCGCTGTGCAACCAGGATTCAACCACATGACTCACCTGCACGCCTTAGGGCGATTGCTACTGCGAGTACTAGTCAATCGAAAATCGAGCTGGCAGCCCGAGCAGCACGTCGCGACAGTGAGTCACGTTTCTGCTTTCGCTTTGGTATCATGATTGATGGTACATACCTAGTCGCTTGTCGTTGTGTAGCATTCATGTGGCTTGAGGGCGGTCGATTACAGAGCGGTTGACCTGCGTTGCTGTGGCATCTACATCTATAACATTCTAGGGGACTGTGTTAGACACGATCAAACATTGGGTGGGTAACTATGCTAGAGCAGGGATAGGTACCTGGGCTGTTTGCTCTCAGTATTCTGAACTGTCCCAACCTCTCCTCGCCTAGTCTTGCGCAAGCCCAGCTGATGCGCTGAATAGTTCCTCGTTACAAGAATGATGCTTGTAATCTTGTAATATTGAGTTCGTCTTGTTATACTCTGGCCTCGCTATTTTGTCGTTGCGCAGGGTCACTGCATATTCAAATGATGAAGTGATGACTGAGAGATTGGGTCACGACACAATGTTTGTAATTCAACACACCTGCAGGTTCTGCCAAAATTTCTGCCATCTTAGCAACAACAATTGGGCCAAATCGATCAGATACGTGTCCGTCAATATAAAAGCTGGCCGTCCTCCTATAATGATTCTTCATCCTCAGAGATATCATCCGAGATCCCCCTCAGAATATTCCATAACATCTCGCACAGAAAATGTGTTTCTCCCTCCTCGCCGTTGTTGTTGCTTTGACAGCATCTATGTCTGTCAGTGCATGTGGGAACACGGGTCAATATTGCACTATAAGTTCTGATTGCTGCGATGACATGATTTGTTACGATTATGGAGTGAGTATGAGCAGGTCGCTGTGCAACTAGGATTCAACCACAAGACTGACCTGTGCGCCTTAGAGCGGTCGTAACTGCCAGGGATAGTCGGTCGAAGGGTCGAGCGCTCAACCGGAAGCCAGAGCGGGGCACCGCGACAGTGAGTTATGTTTCTGCTTTCGCTTTAGTATCATGGTTCATGGTGCAATATCTAGTTCGCCAACCAGCACTCTGTTGTTTTAGACAAATTTTAGTACTGCTCGAGCAATGTGGGTGTTTGAATTTATCTGAAAATGATCGGCTGTGCCTAGTCTTGCTTGCGGTCCACTGAGCTTGAGTTTGAGTGGTTGTCGAAAGTTCGAAAGACTCGGTATACCTAGTCGCTTGTCGTTGTGCAGCATTCATGTAGGAGAATCACAGAGTGGTCGACCTGTGTTGTTGCAGCACGCCATCTACATCTATAGCATTCTCGGGGACTGTGTTGGACACGATCAAACATTGAGCGGATAGCTATATGAGAGCAGGACGGTGTTCTTCTCCTTCGGTAAATGTGTATGCTTGAAGTTCGTGTGAATTTATGGTCTGTATACATACCGCGAAGTTCCGGACGTACTATCATTCCCTGTACACGGCCAAACGTGGTTTTTGCTTTACCTAACATTTGACGGAAGTTCAATTGTGTACCTCAGTCCGGTCGCAATTAAGCACGCAAGGAACCAATTAAAAATATATAGACCAATGGTCCTAGCGATACAATTTTTTGCCTGTATTAAGAACCAGTGTTTTGAAGGGCCTAAGAAAGGTCTGGCAAACAGTGATAGCACCCGCAAGTGATGTAGACATGTCACTGTAATATAAACCTTAATGTGATGCTCAGCTCATGAGGTCAACAAGTCATTGCTCGAATATCTGGCGAACATCAACACTGAGGTCTAGGTGACCACTATAGTAGATCTAATGCAGATTGCTTGGTTGTTGTGATTTCAGCTCAGTGCTGAGACCCGCTCAGTAATAGTAAGCTCAAGCATTGCATTGCAAATTTTGAAACAGATTGATTTTTGGCCAGAAGGATGGGAGAAAATAATACATGCATTGTCCTATTCTATGCGTAAATAAGGTCGACACAAAATACATGGGTATGAGGTACATGGATGAATGTAGGAATCAATATTCCTGAAAGAGAGGAAGCGGGTATAGCATAGTTGCGAGATCATGAAATTTTCTCCACACACTGTTATGCTGACCGTTGGTCGGCGTGTGCGAACTAGGATAGGTCTTCTTAGCGACGGCTCGAGTGAGCCTACTGAAGCTAAGGGTGGTTCTCGGCTTGACGGAACGTCAAGGGTTCCTCCGGTGATCTCAGTAAGATGGCGCTCGTCGAGATACAGGGCTAGCGGATACGGCTAAGAAGCGGGGACCGACTTAGAAGTGCGGTCTTAGGCAGCTGAGCTGGGAGGCTTAGCTGAACAAGTTCTGGGATGAACCTAGTAGATTAAAGTAAAGTCTAAGTACAATAATCTGTCTACTTATATGTGCTACATGTAAGTGTTCAAGCTCAGTCAGTAATCTATAGTATATCTAGGATCTATGATAACAAGACGTGAGGGTCAGATAAGGTACATGAGGCTTAACCTCTGATCAAGCATGCAGCGCCAAGTGCGACTGCGCATAAGTACATGAGGCGCCAAGGGCACTCCGGATCTTCATGAAGCGACATGTGGTATACATGCGCTGATCTAGGGTGACCATGAGGCGTACAGCCTCCATGGATCAGGTACAAGGCCATCTAGGCCAGGGGTGGTGTCACAGCAGTCCAGACCACTGTCTTTCTAAGTGCAGGCGGCGTGCCGCCGCGTCGGGAGTCTAGCAGAGCGGGGGGCTGGCATAGGCAGAGCTGGGGCTCCAGTAGGTGTTACGGATGCCTGTAACACACACCAGTCCGGACGTCGTCGGGCGATCACTCACTGCCTGAACCAAAGTCAGACATCCAATAGGTGATAAACTCGCCCTCCATGCCAATCTTTGGGTCCCACAGTGGCCATTCTCGGTGCAGAAATCCAGGAAATGCTGCAACAAATGCCATCCAAAAAAATTCACGGCCCCACAACCACACATCTGAACGTGTCAAAGAAATATTGTTCACAAGCCAATCTTGAATGGTATCGGCAAGCACTGCCCAAGTCCGACCATTGAGGTGATTGAAGCTGGGTGCAAGAGGAAAGAAGGGAAAGCTGCCCTACATATAATGTTATCATTGACGTATCTGTGTGGGCAGTCCAATTACCTCTGGTAGACTATTCAATGATGGGCGGACCGCTCAAAGCAACATGTAGGCTGATACATTCTACAATGGGTGAAATTTGACTGGCATATGCTTCAGGAATATGGATAGAGACTTTTAGTGGCTGAAATTTTTTGTGAGATGGAAGACGACGCAAAAAAAACATTGACTGACAATAAATGTGGGTGGGTTTTGCAACTGTGACTGTATGTTTCCGACAAAGCGGATAGATAAGCAAAGAGAGGCAAGACTAAGTCCATTTTCATCGTATACCGTATCGACATGGAGAGTATCCGTGCTGGCTCTTGTAAGAGACATGGTTGCCAGAGGTTTGAAGGTGTGTTGAAACAATGTTGCAAGTTGCTGTTGGTCATCATGTGAGTTCAAGTTCTGCTTCATCACAATCAACGATCGATCAATCCAAATTCTGCCACCGGATCACTCATGCCCTTGACCTCACTGGACCTCACCAGCATGCTGAACATGTGTAGATGCTCATATAAGAGCATATGAATACTCTTGTGCGGGCACCTATCCATGTTCATTTTCTCAATCATTCAAGTCAAACAGTAAAACGTTAGAGCCTCACCAATGCAGCCGAAGAAGAAAACTGTAGACTTGGATCCTTTTGGTCAGTCTTATGTCAAAGCCTTCAAATGTAAACTAATTTTATTTGCAGTGTATGCACAAGCCAGCGAGACGGGCCATGTTATATGCAAGGTGTGCCCAAAGCTAAGGGATACCATCCTGACAATGCGCCAATGTCACATTGCTGCCCATGACTGAACAAAGAAGCACCAACGGAATCTCTCACATGCACTGCACCGTAGCCATGCAACCCCTCCACCCGGTTTTCAGCCCAACATCGACTTCAACATGCTTGAGCCATCCGACCTGACCTTACACGATGAACCTTCTTGGGGCCAGCCACCTTCTGATCCTATGTCTGAAAATGTGACACCTCCACTGACAGATACTATAAATGACGATGCGGAGGATGACGAGTCTTACTTCCCGATCAAGGAGCTGTGGCATGGCACAGCGTCAGCATGCACATTTTTGCATGTGGACTACTATGAAGAGATGCAGGCAGCTCTTCAGCGAGGAGAGTCGCTGTTTTCCTGTCCCTTACCCCCCAGCTCTGATGAGCTGGGTATGGAGACAGATGATATTGACATGAACCTTGATGATGGTCTCGAGCCGGACAATCATGGAATAGACCTTTCAGGTACGTACAGTCTGTTTTACATTCACACATTCCATTATTAATGCTACGGCCAGGTGTATCCCCAGAAACTGATGGCCCAGCTTCAAACTCGGAGGTTCCTCTGGATGCACCGACTTTTCCATGGGCGACAACATCTGTAAGTTCTGTCATTCTCCCAATAGCTACACTCACATTAACTCTAAAAGCAGGAATTTATCACGCATCTTCTCTTTAGCTCACCCCATCTTCGATTCTCCGAAGCACAAAGAAGGCCATTCTGAATTGGGCAACTGCGCTCGGGGCAACAGGTGTCCCCTCACTTCATAGTCTCCGGAAGGCACAGGATAGGATCAAGGAACTCGTTGGAAACCCGACTGAGAAAGTTACTGCGGCCTCTGGCAATATTTTTTATATCAACTCGGTAGGCAAGGCCATCACAAAAGTAAGTCTTGGAACTAGTATCGTCAATGCGCGTTGGCTCACTTGTTGATCTTAGGATTATTCCAATCCACTCACGCAACTGACTAAGTGGGACTACCCCGAGGATGGTCAAGGTCGAATGTCGCAGATTCACCATGGCGAGAAAATGCTTCATGGTCTTCCCGACAATCTTGCAACACCGAGTGTTCATGTTGACGGGAACATATTCTTTGTCGATGAGCTCCTCCAACAAATGTCGAAAGACTATTTTATTCCTAAGAAGTTCTTTCAGGCGCAGGTATCTGCTGACCATGACGCTGAAATATTGTCTTTGGGACATTCTGTCACTTGGACAGAGGTAAGATCATTCTAATCATGTGACTTTGACTCATCCAGCATTGTATACAGGAGGGATTTTCAGTTGATCCTGAACAGGTCATCACACCAGTATCAACGTTCTCGCGCACCTTCAAGGATATTCAAGCTTGCTCTAAGGAGTTTTCATGCGGCTTTACAGGTGAGCTCGTATCATGCTCATCTTGATATTACTTGATGCACTATCTCAAGATTCGTCTTCTTCGCATGCCCATCTCATGCCAAATCCCCTTCGGGAGAAATCAGGTGGCCGCATGGTCTTAAGCGTCCCGCTCATCGTCTTCATGGATGATGTATCGGGAAATATCTCAAAGCAGTGGAATAAACACCACGTCGTATATATGTCGAATGCTGCCATGCCCTGTGAAATGCTTGAAAAAGAATTTTGCATCTGATTTGTGTCGTCATCACCCCACGCGACTCCCTTGGAGCTCATGCGAGCTGTGACGCAATCTATTCAGTATGTATGCTATTATATCAACTACTTGTGTCTGATGGGGATCATGCGCTCAGAAAGGCTGCAGATAACGGTGTTATTGCGTGGGATTGTAAATACCACGAAGAAGTCATGCTCATCCCTCACAGTATCTTCACGGCAGGCCGAAGAATGCAGCCATGGCGGGCTGAGGTGCAATTTTTTTGCCGGACGTGCAAAGTTGGTGGCATGACTGTAGACAAGAAGTCTGATGCGGGTTACTGTAGTATATTCAAGGTTCATCCAGACATTCTGTGTGTTTCTAAACTAATGTACTTATAGTCCGCTGAACTTCGAACACCAGAGGAAACGCTGGCGCAGGTAAAAGAGCAGGTCGAGCTTGCAAAACTGCCTGGTGGAACCACCAAAATTCAGAGTGCTGTGGCATCAACAGGGACCCAATGTAGAGACTCATGCCTCTCATTGTGCAATATGGCAGTTTTCACTGGGGAGTACATGGCACGAACTTGTAGCATCACTCTGTGTGCTACCTGCAGCTATCTCTATATGAGGCGCAGCTTTCCCGCGCAACGCGCGCCATGCGCGCGTACCTTTCCTGCGCTTCACGATGTATATGCGCGCGCGCTTTCCCGCGCTGTAGCGCCCTATAGCGCCAGCCATCCGGAAGCATCCATCCACTGTCCACCAAGTTCCCTAGTGCGTATATTTCCATTTCTCACATTTGCATATCGTTCCATCTTTATTTTTATCATGGACCCTTACTTACATATATCTTTACATACCTTACTCGGTAGCGCTTCGGCTCCGCATGACAGCGCTTAGGCGCCATACTTAAGCGCCAGCAGTACATACTTAAAAAAAACTTACTCTCCCACCAGAACGACAGAGGACTTACTGGTTACTACCCACTGTTCACCTAGCAGAACATAGTAGAAATCTATTTGTTTACACCTCGCATCTCTCTTCTCTTGTCTTACATCATATCATCACTTAAGCAAACTCACTCTTACTCTCTCTCGTATCTGTATACACGCGCACACTTTCCCACGCTTCGCGCCATACACGCGCGCATTCCCGCGCCTTGCGCACACCTGCGCTTTCTCGCGCTTCGCATTGGCCAACCAGTAGCGCTTTCAGCGCATACCTCTAGATCCTTGCTGCACTCGCTTCCCCTTTAGGGTCGAACGCACTTGTCGTCTCAAGTATAGCAGACTAGGCAACGCACGACCTTACAACAATTATAGATACAGTCAGGAGCATTGTTCGTGCCTCGCTGTATCGTTGAACCTTCACCGAGATGCAGCTACATCGGCGATCATAAATTGCCTTCTTGAGCTTGGAAAACAGCTTCGCAAACGTGAGGCCGGGAAGCCTCCCATTTCTGAAGCAGATGTTTGTGTACAGCTTGACCGTGAGCTTGAGGCTGCGCTAAATGGTTATTCGCTTGATGATCATATCAACCCACTTCTTGGTATGCCAAGTGTCAATGTTCATCAAGACACGCCCACGGAAATCCTACATACTGTCCTTCTCGGTGTCGTCAAGTACTTCTGGGGCCAGACAGTATGGATACTCGATAAAAATCACTTGCTCAATACATTCCAGATGCGACTGGAATCTGTCAACAAGGAAGGCTTGAATTCACCGACTCTTGGAGCAGAGTACATCTGCTGTTTCAAAGGAGGTTTGATTGGCAAGCATTTTAAGAGCCTTGCACAGGTAATGCCATACCTGATCTACGACCTTGTTCCACGCTCAGTTCTCGATGGTTGGACTGTGATTGGCAAGCTCGTGGTGCTTCTCTGGCACACGGTAATTGAGAATACTGAAGATTACCTGGTGCATCACACTCTCATCTTCAAAAGTAGTTATTGTCTCATTCATATTTTAAGGCCAATCTATCATGGACGATCGATGACTTTCTCAGTATCAGCGCTAAATGTGCACCCAGTATCCTCATCACGAAGGCAAAGTTCCACTTCCTCCTCCACCTTCCAGCTTTCATACAGCACTTTGGGCTGGCGATTCTGTTCTCAACTGAGCGCTTCGAGTCATTTAACCATATTTTCCATCTATCATCAATCTACAGCAACCGTCAAGCTCCCAGTTGTGATACTTGTCATACCTTTGGTGGCTTTGATGTTGTCAAGCACATCATAACTGGAGGTTTCTGGTGTGACCTGAAGACACGGAAATGGGTGCATGCTGGTAACAACATCACTGCGTACATGGCCACACACCCTGAACAACGCCGCTTGATAGGCTTACCCACCACAAATGAAAAACCAGTCGGTAAGTAATGTTTCAATCACACTCAAACCACCTGTTAATGTCCTGGTAGGATTAGTTCATTTGCCAACTCACAAGGATGCGGGGGGCAAAGTCCCACCAGTTGAATGGTGTTCGACACAGACCACACTTCTTCCTCCTGGAAAGCATCAATTCCCTGTCGCCTCGCTTTTTTACAAGTGTGATTCCTTCATAGTGGCAGATCACAGCAGTGCGCCGCTGGGGAGCCATGTCATCATGAGGCATAATCAGATGTGTTTGGATGAGGTAAGCAATGATATATTGCAAAGCGGCATCTTACTAAGTGTTGCTTCTCTGTTCTAGCTCTCTATCGGCAAAGTCATTGAAATACTCGTGCCACACCAAGGACGCATCACAACACATGTCGTCATTCAGTGTCTCGAATTCTCGTCAGCTGAACTACACCCTCAATTACATGTGCTGTGCCTCAGATTTCCGGACATTGACGATATTGCTGTCCTTACACCCAATGTAAGTCTTATTTTCATTGCTCTTTGTGCGCATACTGAGAGTTTACATAAGGAAATATTGTGTGTTGTCAACATTCAACATGACTGCGCATCGTCTGGAGCAAACTGTGGCATCCGGAATGTGCAAGAGCGGCAGGAGCACATCATCACAATGAGACTCCAGCAGCTCGTTTATCATGCACCTACTAACACCTACTTCCTCAATACCCACGCGCTTCACAATTACCAACACATCTCAGCTCTACTTCCACCGGATATACGCGCCCAGATCAGCATGCCATGTATATCGGATCACCAGGCTGTACGTCTCCATGCTGCAGCACTCGTGCGCCAAAAGAAGGCATCGGACAGTGCTAATCCCATCGACCCAGAGAAAGCGAGGGAGAATGACCCACCCCTGGCCTTTGATCATAGCGCAAGCAAAGCCACGTGAATGAAAGGCAAGGGTAAAGTAGTGCTGAAGAAGAAGCTTGTGACTGGCCCAGATCTGGGACCCTCTGATCTTGCATCTCAATTGCAATGCCCGCAGCAGGTCTATAGCACCCCGCCAGCTGGTGCTATGTTACAAAATGAAGCCTCGTTTTCATGATCTGACATCCTCGCTTATTTGCCCTCAGGAACTCTACAGCCGCATGGCTACTGGCAGATGCACGTGGGCCCTTCTGAACCAGCTCGTCTGCAACATCAAGGGCATGCTCCACCAACCGATAACTTTACTCACACTTCATATCCACCTCAAGATTTTAGTCAATTATCTGTCGTGCAGCACATGCCCCCCCACCTGCCCGCTGCAAGTGGTATTCCAGGTCATTTTCTTCATAATTTCCGCACTTATGATGGACAATAGACATTTTAATATTTACTTTCAATACAAACTACAAACTACATCGATTACTATAAGTATGTCTGTTGTTGTGTCTCGTTCCTTTGCCCTGCGCTGAGTTGATCCTCACTAAATGGCTCATCCAAGTCTGTTGACACAATTCAGACTCCTCCAAGCACCAGCTGCTGCCCTGCATGGTTCTTCCGCTCCAGTCGCTGGTCTTGTGAATGCCAGGGAAAATACTCCCACGACAGACTTGGTGGCCGACTGCAGGGCCACAAGTTTGAGTCCCCCCACAACTCCAGCAAGACGCCCATGAAGTGATTCAGCAGACAATGATATTGACAGTGAACATAAAAGAAAATGGCTCAAACAATTTGCTACCGATGCTTGCAAGGCCCATGGCCTGCCTGACAATGCTTTGGATGACTTTCTCAATGTAAGTCACTAATATAATGATCTCTAAACATTGACTGACCAGTCCAATGCCAGGTCAAGTCCTGTCAAGGAGATGTTCTTAAATTTGATGGCAACCCTGCTCGCAATGCAAAGGGCCGCCAAACGATCTGCAAGTCAGGACTTTATTGCTTCGGATGATTTCAAGGTAACTGCCCGAACTTTCGTGTGATTCATGGCTCATCGTGGTTCAAGGGTATCATGAAAGATAGATTACGTGCATGTTTGCTATCACCAAACCTGACAGGATATGTCCTTGAGCTTGCAGACAATGTCATTGTGAGCATGGACCTTGTGTACGCTGCTCAGTATACTAATTCACACAACTCAAGGCCTATGCAAAGAAACACCCTACGACTTTCAAAATTCCTGATGGAACTTTCGAGGATTCAGAGATGTCGGACGTGGTGACTACATTCATCGAGGAGAATTTGACCGCACAGCGGGGGAGCATGAAGCAAAAAGTACTCAACATTTTTAATGAGATTTTTCGCACTCACATGTTTCAAAGATCAATCATAGCCTCAAAACCAAGGCAAATATATCTGTCCTCGCGAAGTCTCTAGCATCAATGGGTCACGAAGTTACAGTGGCACACTGGGCGCACTTTGCCTTTCTGGTAAGCACGAGCCTCCTACTCCTGTTTTGTTCTTACCACTTCCTGACAATGTGCCATTGAACAGCGCAGTACCTTTGTCAGCTTCCAGACCGTCGTTGAGCAGGCTAAGGCCACATCGGCAGCTCAGGACAGCACTGTTGCTGTCATGGAGAACAGGGACTCTGAAGTTATTGACTCCCCCGAGGCCCCAGGTCCAGGTCCAGCCACAAGTGAGAATGAAGAACCTGATGGAGTCACAGTCGCCGATACGATAGAGAAGGCACGAACTGGGTATCAACCGAATATTGGGAATTTGTCGACCTTCTCCTTCGTGATGTCAGGCAGGAAGCTCATGCCATTGGGAAGACACCATTGGAACATGAAAAGATAGTCGAGACGTAATCGTTTTTTCTCCTTTTTCACGTCAATTATTGACAATCATTCAAGGTTTTTCACGTCATGTCTCCAAGATGACATGAAGCGATATGTGTCTACTCACTCCCTTATTCCAACTTTCGACAAAGTAACTGTTCACTGGCAGAAAGCAATTCATACTGGGCTCATTTGGTAGTGTCACCGTCTGTCTATGTATTACTATAGCCTTTGTTCCATTCAGTAGCATCTAATGCATTTATTTGTGACATTCTTTCTATGGTGTGATTATCAACACCAGCACCTGACGCAAGCAATCATACTTCCCCGTCTAACTATCAAATGTGTATCTCATATACGCATTCTCAAATATCTGTTGCGCGCCTATAAAATGTCAGAACTACCATCTACTCATGGATTGATTTGCACTAATATAACCATACAGCTGCCAATCTGAGACCTCTCACAGACCTCTGGTTCCGGTCAATCAAATCACTTGCTCATCGTATGTGTTATATTTCATCACAATGTGCTGCTAACATTATTCCTGTCAATGATGTAGCATTCTGTTTACAGGTATGTTATGCGCACAAAAGTAAGGGTAAGATTCATATTTTGCAGTATGTATGTGTAATATTTGATGAAAATGCTTAGAATTACCACATCCAGTCCCCTGTTAAGACACAAACCATCCCAAAGGTCTCACAGACCCTCCTGAGAACTAACCGTGTAATGTGTAACATTTTCATAAAATCTTTTCTAGCCCCTCGACCACATCACTTTTTCTTTTGAAAATTTTACCTATCATAGATTTATATCTCTTCTACATGGATCTGATTTTTACTGATTTTTAGAATAATGTAGTGTGATGTCGGAGCAAGTCCGAGAAAACTCAGGGTCACCCTCCAATCTGCACAATTTTGGTCACTGGCCTGTCACGCCTCGGCATAGTAGCGGCACAATCGACTTTCACTCTCAGAAGTCTTCCATGTGTCGGATTGCATTGGAAAGGCTCGAAAACGCAGATACTATTATTGACTGAGAGTATCTATTAAATACTAACAATAATAATTACTCTGAATGTAGTATTGGTGCCCTCCTGCATACACATCCTCAGTCCACACCATGCTGCCAACTCGAAAATCTGTATTGCCGTGACTCACTGGTGCAAAATAAGGGTGCCAAGTATGTGTATGTGGAGACTTGAGAGTGAGGCTGAAGTGCAGGAATGTGTTGCCTTCCTATGGTGTGAGAGAATGATACAACCAGAAGGTAGATGCTGTGTGTGCCGAGGAGGAGATTGAATTATTTGTGCACCCCCCCTGTCTGGTGTCACGTTTTCAGACTTGTTGTTGATTACACCACTGTAGCACCTTAGTGTGGGAGAGTAACTATTATTGAATTGGTTTTATGAGATCCCAAGAAGGTGCCCTTTGTGTCCCACATAAATTTTTATGAGTACCTGTGCAGGATCTTTGGGATCTGGGTGATTTGTGTTGGACAAAGGTTGCAAATTGCCACAATTTCATCTCTTGCAACTGCAACATTCAAGAATATTTTATTCTACTTGTGTGAAACATCATTTATAGGTATCCTGCATATGCCTGAATTTTTTCGAAGCCAGTTGAGCATGATGTTGAATTGTTATAACATTTTGCAAATTAGGAACCGTGGACATATTACAGGGAATGATAGTACATACCGAGCAGGAGTCATTTAAAATCGATATATTAATATTCATAAATATGTCTTTTCTCGGCGTGTCTCAGATGTTGATGACTCAGACGATGTCCAGCTCCCAGACAAATATGACCAGATCAACACTGGTCTCATTCCAGCATTATGTAATCAATAAGCAGCAACTCATTTGAAATTTATCATATCAGGCGCTTTGAAGGGGCAGCCCCCAACTTTGAATTTGAATGACCTCCCGCACACTTCATTCCATCATCGTCAGCCTCTACTCATGAATTCATAATGCTATTCATCATCCGCACGCTACATACCTGTCCAATAAATTCAGTTTATTCATCAATTACCCGAACTCTGGCGTAAGTGACTACGTACCGGCCATCTGGGCACGCAATCCCACTGGTCCAAAGGTCCTTGCCTCCGGTCCCCTTTTACAAATCATATCTCAGCTCCTTCAAGGAGAAAGGCTACCCACAGCACCAACAGTCCACATAAGCCTTTGCATCCATGGGATGGTACAAGCACCCTACATTCGCCTTCCCAGCATCCACCCGCAGGACTTCACCACGAGTGGTCCGCGCTAATGCATGCATCCACGTGGAATGGACCCAACTTCATAGCAAAAGTTAGTAAACATGGGGCTTATCAAGCTCATGTCACCAGCCAACACCCGCTGCCATCAGCTTGATGACAGGCATCTTCGACCTTGTCTTCCTCATCAGATATGTCAGCGCTCGTGTATGAGAATATCGGCATGTCAGGCAGAGGGGAGGTTTATACTTACCTGCTGCATCCGCTGTTTATAGCATGATATGCAGAAAGGAGCAGCAGAGGGAAAGAATATGGCGTGGATTGGGAGTATCATTTCGGATGGTGCCCACAGCTGATGCCTTCCGCCACGCATCTTTTCCCATGTTCATTTCATAAAGTGGACTCAACAGTCCCTCCATCCGACTTACCAAGGTAGTCACAGGATGGCCCAACTGCAAATCGATACGCTGATCGCCAACACTGTTCGATTTCTTGTATCAGTATCATAACTCGACCCCATCGATTTTTGTCCGTGTCTTGATTTGTATATGGGGATGCTGACATTTGGCGACGTCGGACATCATCATAATGGCCGTCGGTCGCAGCAAGCTCCGACCTCACACGGGATTCAGCTCATTGGACTGATCAGAGAGGCGAGTATTTTCTCATGGTCCTCTGTAGATGCTCTCTCGCACGTTGATAAGATACGGATGAAAAGGCTACAGGTTACATTGAAGACCATGGTATAAGCGTCATCCAAGGCTGCAAATTTCTCCTTAGACCTAATACAGACATCTTGTAAGTCAATTTCTCCTTTATTTCACAATGGCATCATCTCAGTCCCCCGAAAAGATGCATTTAGATTTCAGAGGATAATGCATGCGGTCGATGAAATTATTGTTTAGTGAAAACGAGAATGATGCAGTTCTAACCGTAGGCTCCAGGGATGCACAGAGCGCACGGATGATAGATCATGATATCCACCCTTGACTCATAATCCAGAGCCATAGTAAACTGCACAGTCTTTCAAAGAATGAAACTTTCAACGCGCGTCTGCTGCTTGATTTCGAAGGCTATTATCTATCCAATAGTCAGTCTTAGCTACCAACTGGTGTCACTGATGTTAACAAGAATGTCCCATATCATGTAATGCTGAAATGATAATAAATTAGATCTTGTGTTAAAAATAACGACACAAGTTGAGATAGGGTGTGGAGCAGAATCATACGTAGAGCATACCCGACCTCAATGCACTTGAATTGGACAAAGAGAACTATCAAGCCAATAGATCTCACCACCATCTCAGCTGGGGGAGACTCATGTGCTTCAAACACCCATACACCATACCAGAGAAAGTGCTATATTTCATGATCATGCAACCACTTCGTACAATTCCACCTCCTGAAACTACCTCAACAGACCACTCAAGAAACATACTGAGACACATTAGCTCGACATCGGAATACCATCTGCATTGTGTTGCACTGCTTGAGGTTGAGGTCTTGCTGAAGACGACAGATCAGCGGAATTGCTGCCACAAAATAACATCTAAACATACGCAGACGATACTCTAAAGCAATTTTAAAAATTGTGTTGACCAACTCCATCTTTTGGGAGTCACGAATGGATTGTTTTCCTGTCTGGAAGTGTCCAAACAATCACTTAACTTTCGAAGTAGACGAGCATCCTTGGAATGCATGGACAGCTACACTCACACCTTCCCTGACAGCAGCTGCTTGCGGAGATGGCATGTACTGCTCCAGAGTGACATAAAGCAGGGATCAGAATTCTGCCTGTCCTGAAGATAAAGCTGCTGGTCCAAAATATGGAAAGAGTGCTCGAAGATAATAACAGCAGCTAGATGGTCAATGATAAGGAGATTCATCATGACGTAGCATCAAAATTCACCAGAAATGAGCTGAACAACACTCTCCAAGGGTGATGAGCCAGAGGACTGACAGATTCGCAACATGAGAAATGTGGACAATCTGCCACCGATTGGACATACCACAGAGAGTAATTTGGACTGTATCACTACACCGTGATCGCTGTTAAGTATTTCCTATTGATGGGTCAGCATGGATGGGGGTCGAAGGAGGATCGACAGACTCACATTCTGCGAACGGTGGGTAACGACTTGGATCAGCATGGCTCCTGCTCGAATGAGGATCGATGGACTCACATCCTGCGAATGGTGGGCAATGACTTGGATCAGCATGGCACCTGCTCAAATGAGGATCGATGGACTCACATACTGCGAATGGTGGGCAACGACTTGGATCAGCATGGCTCCTGCTCGAATGAGGATTGACGGACTCACATTCTGCGAACGGTGGGCAACAACTTGGATCAGCATGGCTCCTGCTCGAATGAGGATTGACGGACTCACTTCCTGCAAACGGTGGGCAACGACTTGGATCAGCATGGCTCTTGCTTGAACAAGGATCGACGGACTCACTCTCTGCGAATGGTGGGCAACGACTTGGATCAGTATGGCTCTTGCTCGAATGAGGATCGAAGGACTCACCAACTGCAAATGGTGACATGCACAAAACCTGTTTTGTACATGAACATGGCAAATATCTGGCTTATAATACCTTTCATAATAGCCTATGGGTCTACCCAGAATTTTCTATGTATCATCCATATTTTATTTGAGTATTCTTGGGCTCAAATCTGCTCAGTACTACTTAACGGTTTAAAATAATACTTATCCTTCTGAAAGATTGCCTTCGAACTTGTAATTTGTCAATTAGTCAGCAGTTTCTCACACCTTCTAGAATTTTCTCACACATTTTCACATATTCTAGGGTATGTTTTGTGTCATGTTCTGACATATTCACATACACGGGTTTTTCATTTTTACGGTACTGAGAGGAAAGTTTGAAAGACTTCAAACTTCATTACATAATCAGTCTCATGTGACTTGGTGGCACATTATGACACACATGCAATACTTCATTATGGCAAATATGCAAGACCAACACTATGGTATTTAACAAGTTAACATCAGACTGTGAGAATCTCAACAAAGTTTGAACACAGCTGAGAGTACAGCATTCAGGCAGTGCAGAGGTAGTGTACATAGCTTTGTAGCACAGGTTAGCATAGCCACAGAGCACAGCCACTAATGTTGATTTGAAAGATTCTGGAATATTCTATCAGACAACACTGGAGTTTGGTGGAACAGTCTGGAAAATTCTATGACATTCTTTGAAACCTTAATAGTAGATTAGTAATCAGTAGCATAGCCACTAGTAGAGTAGTATATAAGGGGCCCATTTTCCCCTCTAATAAAGAGAGCTCCAAGCCAAGTACAGAGAGCCCATTTCCATATTATCTAAGCTTGAGTGTGAATAAGTGAGTGAGGAATAAGAAGAGTGTTCATATAGCTCTTTTTAAACTCTCACCTCCAAGATACTAAGTGACATACTGAGTGAAATATTAAGTTATTTCATTCCACTTTTTGACACTGTTTCCCACGACATACAGAAGCATATTTGAGGCCAACATTGAGCCATACTTTTTACACTAGCTGGTACACGGTTATCAGTCATCTAGTGCAGATATATTCCAGTTCTCTTTTAGACACAGGAAATTGATTCTGTGGGGAGAATATACATATTTTCATCAGCAAGGGAAGACAAATAAGACTAACAGTCAGTCACTAATATTAAGAACTTGGCCCACTTAAGCTTAAGTCTGTCCTGTGTCACACTCATCATATAGTGCTTGAGCAGCAGAGAGTAGGTTTTGAAGCCACATATTAGTTTGGGCTGATCCGTGTTAGAGGCTTAGTTTGATCTCCAATTGGTTTGTGAAGATAGGAAGTATCATTATAGCTCTAAGAATCATTGCATAGTCATACATCTGTATTCGTTGAAGTCATAGCACTGCATCGCACCAGTTATTGACTTTCTTTAGGATCATAGCACTGCATCAAGCCAGTTATTGATTCTGTTCCCCCTTTAGTCACTGTGTACTTCCTTTGAGAACTCAACACACTTTTCCCACGAACAACCACGTTATCGACCATTGGTATTTGTCTGAACCGTTGACCGTGGTAGGATACTGAAAATTGGTGATTTTACTGTTTTCACATCCTAGTAAGACAACGGTGGGCAATGACTTGGATCAGCATGGCTCCTGCTCAAATGAGGATTGACGGACTCACATTCTGCGAACGGTGGGCAATGACTTGGATCAGCATGGCTCCTGCTCAAACGAGGATTGACGGACTCACTTCCTGCGAACGGTGGGCAACAACTTGGATCAGCATGGCTCTTGCTCGAACAAGGATCGACGGACATACTGCCTACAAGCAAACACTCAACATAAATGAGAGCAACCTTTGAACTTTCCAATACTCTTACCCAAATATGAGGAAACCAGGCACCCAAGGTCCCTACTAACTTCTTGTAGCCTTCAGTCATACTCTTTGCAGAGTCAAGATGTTTTGGGAGTGTTCTGGACAATATCAGTTGTAACACCTGCGGCAGGTGAATTAGACCATGAGTAGTTACCTCTCAATTGCATATCTCATGGAGATCTCCAAGTGGGTCTGCTGGGTTGAGACGAATAATTGCTCCAGCATTTCATTGTTCAAAGTTCCAGCCGTGCGTTCAATCAGCGCCCCACAATCTGCATTATCCTCATTCATATCTGATGGATCAACGGTTGTCATGTATCGCAACTCAACTATAAATCAACTTACTAGGAAGGCATACATGACCTTTCGGAGGCCATTGGACACTCTTGAGAAACTTCAATTGTGGTCTGTCTGGAAATGTTTCTTCGGTGCGTTTCGGCGCCAGTTCTCAAGCGTCTTTCAGAGATTTTCCTTCCTTTCTCAGTTGTGAGTATGCTACATCGTAGAGGGCATCGAACTTGGTGAACACTACAATCACTGGAACTGAGCATCGTGATTCTGCGCATCAGTCTAATGTCGACGAGGGTGGGATGCGAAAGCTTACCGCTTCCTGTGTCGCACTGGGAGAAGAATTTGTTTTCGCCTGCAGTGAATGACCTGTGTGCTTCGTCCATTGGGATGCAGTACCTATGTTGAAACCGTGAGATAGCCTATGTCGCGAATGACCGATTGCAATTACCAAATGGCATGGAGTCAATTTGTTAATTTGGTTTCCTTGGAATGGTCAGCGATAAATGCCTTGACCTTCTCAAATTCATCTTTGCTGCCTGCCTCAAACCCATGTGAATCATGAAAAACGAAGCCTGGGTTGCTTCAAAACACCATTTCATTTTTGATATTGTGCATTCCACGCTGAGAGCACATCAGTTCATGTCATCGACTAAGAGCACAACGCACCTCTCTGGATGCCACTAAGACTGCAAGATTGATCTGATGTCAATGTGTCAGTACCATCTTTCTGCCTAGTAGCAATGTGATGGGCCCACCTTTTCCCCAGCGCTGTTGTATATTTCTGGGTTGTCCCGTGTGTTGCAAACTCGCCGTAGGATGGTAGTTTTCCCTGCATTGGCTCTTCCTACAACGAGGATTCGAAAGCAACCGATTTTCTCTCTGATCTTTGAAGTATCCATGGGGGAAGGTGAACTTGAAGGTGACTGACAGAGAAGCAGTGTTGTAGCCTTATACTAGTAATCATTGCAGTGTGTGAACCCGGCAAAATACCCAACCCGAAGCCAGCCTATCTAGAATCAGTGGGCAGTGGGCAATATTACTATTGGTATCATAGCTGTGTACCTTGAGGCAGCTGCATGTAAGGGCATCAGCCATATTTGAAATAGTGTATCACAATCACCACATATCTATCTCGTTATTTGACTAGGTCAAAATCGTAACAAACTCATTGAACGACAGCTTTGGAGTCGTAGTACTACTATGTCACCCTTTCGAACTTCGAACCACTTCGGCCCAAAGCTCTCAAAAACAATGTACATGCATTACCTCACTTATAGCAGAGGTTAAGACCTCTAGCACCGCTTGGTAAGGTATTTTCTGCGGTCAAGCATCTTGTCATTGTGCCCATCGCGCGTCTATTACTGCCGCACACCATGCCCAGCCTGCAGTCACGGTCTTTTGCTGCCTACCAGGCTACCACACCTAACCTCCAACTCAACTTTATCAAAGCTGGTGTTGCCTTGAAGCTTCAAGGCCTCACACTGACTCTGACCCCCGCACCAGAGCGTGACCTCCCCTGCCACTTCCTGCTTTCGCCAGTCGCACTGGGAAAACGACGGAATGCTTATGTAGCCTTATTTCACTTAGTGGATAGCACTGGATGGAATGCAATTTATGGATACAAATAACACTCTCTAAGTAAGAGAGACAACACACAATTGGACAAGACACAAGACAAAAACATGTCCAAAAATAGAGACGTGTCTCTATGCTTTTTAAAGCTCATCCAACTTCAACAAAGGATTTTGAAACAGACAGCGAGTGTTAGGATGATGGTGGTTGATACGGGTGGTGTTCCGGCGCAAGTTCGTATTTTGGAACACCTGCGATGATCATGCTGATAAGATACGAGCAGTACAATCCTCCATACCTGGGGGAGATGCAGTTGAGGCCGGAAACATCAATGTTGAATAACTTGGTGACAGTGTGTCGGCACTGGCAGTAGGATGAGTTTGGCAAAGGCAGGCTTTCGCAAAGAACAATGGTGACCATATGAGAGCATAGGCGCTAAAAGCTCACTCTCAATCACTGACGAAAGACAAAGGCAGTGAAGACGATGGACGCGTAGTGTTTGGTGCGGTAGGGCGCACGCTGCCGCATTGAGAGCTAGATGAGCAAGGATGACGGGTATTCTGGACAAGTAAAGAGATAGGTAATGAACAACCCGAGTTGTAGGTTGAGTTGATTGAGTTTTAGGTGATCCCTTCCATGCAGACGAATCATTGTTGGTGTTGGTGAGTGCCAGAAAGTTGACTTGATGTTTTGAACCACCGCTGTTGCTAATCAGAAGCAAATTTGCAGCTGACGGGGTTTTCGAGGTCTTGTCATTATGTTGATCGCAGAAGTTGAACAGCGCTTGAGAACCCCAGAACAGCTGGGACTCCGGATCACACCACTCCTATGTCTTCTCTACAGGTCCCTGTTCTTTTTTTCAAATACCCCGTGCAAGTGCACATTCGTTAGAGATGGGAATAGAGCAATACCTCACATTGAAATGCGATGGAACACTGGTAAACAGTAAGTGAATCAACGACTATACCTTTGTTACATTGGAGCTTACACTTTGTCAAAGTTCTTGTCATGGTCGTTCTTACTAAATACAATATACTCGTCGATCGCATGGAGTGAACTCTAGATGAAGCCTCTCTCGATGTATTTAGCGACAAAGTTATTGAAGAACTCACCAAGAACAAAGCAGAAGCCGAGGTGCTCTAGTATTCCCCACACTACGATTTCTAGTGTGTACCAATACCCTGACAAGTCCATATGTGCCTCTGAAATGTAATATTGCAGGCGAAGAATGCTATAGGGAGACCCATACCTGCCTGATCCAGATAACTGAAAACTGCGTCAGTCAGCATTCTACGCCCAAAGCTGCGATGATAACCTCCATCGCTCAGTGAATGCATCCTGGGACTGGACTCAATAGGGGTATTAATTAAGTGAGTCTTGCTTGCTTCATTCTTTCTCGGACTTACGCAGTGTCAGGGTTGGCAAGAAAAGTCTGTCCCAGTTTCACGTTCATGATTCAACCTAAATATTCATGTCTTGCAGGATATTGGCAAGCACTTGCGTCATGCCCAACGTTCAAGAACTGCAAGATGTGGGATGGTCTATGTGTGGAACTTCCGCGACCCTCATAAGGTGATGGCTATCTTATTCATTGTCGTTGCATCCGACCTAACGTGATTTGTGTGTAGTACTTGCACAGCCAAGAGTTCAGTGCAATGATGATGAACATGGCCGATAAGATAGAAGTTGGACCGTCAGCTGGTCTTCTATGTTACAGATAAATTTCATCTCATTGAATATTTGCACCAATCACAGCAAGTGCCGTACTTGCTGTATAGGTTTATGATATGTACCAAACATTGTACGCACCACTATGTGAAAAAACATCAGCACTTCTTTATCAGTCACGCAGTGCTTCAGCGCTTCAATCGCATGTTTTGTATGTGATATGTTGTCATACCTGCTTTAATTGCATGACGTGTAACTCCAAGGTTTTGAACAAGACCTACTATACCTGCAGGGGCAACATTATGCCACGATCTTGTCGATCCTAATTTTCGGGCAGCCTGAGATTTGTCAACATTGATTTTTTATGAAGATGAATACTAAATTGGGTGGAGAATGTTAAAGTTATTATGGTGAGCAAAATCATCGAGCTCTGTAAGGAATGTGCACACGGTCGTGAGGTGGGGACACTTTATGACATTGAGGTTTACTGCCGAGGAGTAGTAAGCATGCATGACACGAGTATCTGTGACACCTACTTGCATCATCAGTGATTTGATGAGACCTTGATATTGTAGCTGTGCGAACTGTAGAAGGATATAATTCTGCTCCTGCTAAATATGATCATTCATACTGTTAAAACTTTGAGTTGTAAATACATAGCCATCAAGGCCTGCAAATTCAGAGTAGCATGAGCAGTGCATGACAATGTGATGACATTCCTGCATTGCAGCCGACGAGGGGTGGTAGCATACTGGTGGTGATCATTTTGAACATTGTCTTTTGCTTTGCATTATGACCTCATCCAAGACATTCTCGTGGGAGGTGCCTTTAGCACTCGTCGACAAATGCAGAATAGTGTGGGACTTCATAACAAGGTCGTGCCCTACGGCAATGAAGATCGACATAGGACGACAGTGTACTCACATCATACATATTGGATACCTTCATTTTTCGTCATGTTAGTTTAGAATTAAAAGATCATTTAAGACCTTCCTGTGGGGGGTGCCTTTGGCACTTGTCAACATATGTAGAAGAGCATTACATTTTGTGACAAAAATCTAATATGGTGTCATCGCAGCAGGCAAGGTTCAACAGCACACTCATCTCAATTTCATGGATCGCTCTGATTTTGCCCGATTTATATTTCGATTTAAGATGCTATTCAAGACCTTTTCATATGAAGTGCCCTTTGGGACCAGTCAACAAACCCAGGATAGCATTAGACTCAGCAACAAAATTGTGAATGCCATCATTGTAGCAAGTCAGCACGACCTTTTGGACTGTTTTTAAGCTGGTCAAGCTTTTTTGGGACCTTTCCAAGTGAACTGTTAACAGCAAACTTAAGAATCAAATACATTCACTAGTATCCTACCAGAAAATTGAGATACAAAGAAACAAGAGAACCCAGAGTAAAGTAAGGTCAAATTGTTGCACATATGCCTGAACATCCAGAGGTCATCTGAAAACAAAAAGCTCTAGCACCTACTGAGCTTGAATGCCATGAATTAGAAGTACAGATATTCGTCATGATCTTCTGTGTCCCATTCATCTGCGCCCTCTACTCCTTTGTCTTCGTCATAGTTTGCGTCTTCATCTTCATCTTGGTCTTGGTCCTGATCAGCGTCTTTATCTTCTTCCTCGTCATCATCACATTCCCCCCTTGCTCCATCATCGTCATCATCACCACCATCACCATTACCCATATCTCTTCCATCCTCGTAGGACGGAATACGGCTCTCCCAATCCCCGTCGTAGTCATTCTGGTCTTCCTCTGACATTGGGTCATCCCCGGATCCTTCGTCCGCGCAAGCCTTCATTATCTCCTGCAAGAACTTTGGATGTCCAATTCCATGGTATGTGTACCGCATGAACATGTCTCTGTCCACGAATCTGAGCGGTCCATAGTTTGAGTGAGGACGACAGGATAGGATGCTGTACTTACATGCCAACATAGTAAGCTTCCCAGTCATCTAATTCACTGCACTGATGTGTGAATGACTTTCCATGATGAAGGGAGGTAGTTCCGCAGCCAGAAGCAAAAGCTAGGATCAGGTGTGCACCCTGGATGGCCTGACCAGGGTCCAGAAAACCAAAGGCATCACGGTCAGATTCCTCGACGAATGCAACCTTCAGAAGCCGAGCGCAGCTCATCCCTGATCGATGGTCACTCAAAGGTGCCAACCATCTCACAAAAAGAACCTCAATTTGGTGTTTTTTGACTTGACCTTCAACATTAAGCCATGCATTCATGTGATAGATGCCCAGAACTCAGGCATACCAGTATACATGTTGAGGCTTTGTTTCGCCAGATAATACCATGACATCGCAGTGAGTCCGAGGATTGACAGTGTCATACTCTCGTCTAAGATCGTAAGTCGTGTAATGGACCTGTGGGTTGAATGATGGTAAGCCAGCAAATGTCACAACATGTGTCAAGTACCTGCATAGTTTGCACGGAGTATAGCCTATTGTCTGAAATTATGACCGAATTCCACTCCTCATCTGTGAACGCATGGTCACAGTAGCTGACATCTAACTTTCGAAGTCGATACAGCACATGGTCCTTGAGTTTCGGTACAAATTCCTGTACCTCATGACCAAGATGAACTATGAGAGGATGCCACCACCTACTGCCATAGCTGGATCATCCTCATGATCTCATAGGAATCTGAGAATGTCCAACGGGTTGTTGCAGCTAAGTTTACATATGTAGTGGTGATCTTGAAGTCCTGTAGGCAAGTCGACTGGTGCCCCCTGGCTAGCATATGAACTGCAACCTTCTTCTGCAACTCACTGAAGAACGTGATGATGATACTCATGCCTGGCAAGTTGCGCTGGGGTATCTAGTTTATTGGTCAGTAGATAGAACACTTTTAGCGCTCTATGGGCCAATTCTCCCTGGCCCAAAATCAGATTGAGATGACAAGAAGTAAGTGGCAGAGCACGTACGATTTGTGAAGTGAAGGAGTCTATGGTCCCAAAAAGCTGGATAGACTGTAAATAGTCTCCCATGGCATGAAATTTGTAAGTATTCAAATTAAACTTCTTGGCCTTTCGGCCACCACTTCCTACACCTGAATTATTAGAACCGGTGTAGGGATTCATTTCTGGCTGGGCTTGCAGAGACTGTTTTTACCTTAGTGTTATGTTTGCACTTTTGTAGCTTACATAATCAAGTTACCTTTTCACCAGTTACCAGTATGAGTCTGAGTATTCAGCAAGTTCCTATCATATTTCCTCTTCTCTGAGCCTTGAGCCTGGTCCAGAAACCCTTTAGGGTCGAATAGCAGCTAGGTTCTGCAAGACCCAACATTGTTTAGACTCACCATCTGAATTGTTGTACCTTCACCAGAGTGTTCACAGGCAGCCTTCTCTTTTGGTAACTCTAAGGTGGTGAAAGAAGTGCAGGTAACATCCTGGAACTTGCGCAATTGACTAGAGAGGTGCTTGAAGGTCTTATCCAAAGTGGACAAGGTTGTTTCCGAATGCATCCTTAGTCTGGCAAGGGCATGCCATTGGGAAAACTTGTACAAAAGTGATTGTACGACCACATTGTGGTCCTCCAGGAATAGCCCTTCAAAGACCGGCATAGCGCACTGAGATAGAAGTCAACTAAATATGTGGCAACTGAATCAAGAGGACAAACCTGCAAAATGTCTTCGAAGTCTCTCACTGTGAGCCGTTTCATTTCTGAGGTATTATTGGCGAATTTGCGTATGACCCCATTGCCATAGGACGGGACTTGGCGAAATTTACATTTGATACCATTACTTTTAAATAGGTTGGGAGAATGTCATATAACAAACCTGTCATCAAAAGTTGCAACTAGCCGTTCACCGCCTGGGAGTGCGTAGAGTAGACGTATGAGATAGGTGAACAGCGCTTTCCATGTGCCTAGCTCGATTTCATGCATGAAATCAACGACGAGCATGCGAAAGGTGTCAAATCCCAGGGGTCCGAGTTTTTCCGCAAACACATTCTAGCTCAAAGTCAGGTACTGATGAAAGCAATTGATTCCAAAGGCACTCACCATGGTAGGCACCCATGACCCTTCTCCAAGCGTTGCCTGCACCTTTGAGCCATCAACAGTATGTCCTGATCCATAGATGAATCCACGAGCTCTCGTTACACTATCCAGACAGTAGGTCCTGAGGTTAGATACATGGCCTTGTATGTCCTTAAACAGGCCCATAAGGTCGAATGAGGCTTTTGGTGTGAGACAGCGTGGACATGGACAAGAGCCCATGTCCTTTATTGTCGCTATCAAAACCCTGGAACATTGATTAGTATTTAAACAATGAGACAAAAAAGACAAGCGCACTTTTCTGGATAGTCAGCAGAGTAAGTGAATATGCGGGGAAATACCCTTCTTAATATGCCATCGGGACACTGAAGTACAATCCCATGACGGTATGCTTCAAGGAAGTCGGTATCTAGTAGATGTTTCCAACATGCATGGAACAAGTCCCGCCGACAATGTGTGTGAAGGGCCGCCATACCGCTTTTTGATATCCGAGGTAAGCTGTTTATGACGTCTTTGACACTATCCGGAAGCTAAAATATAGTGTGAGAGATGTACAACGCCGAAGGCTGTTAACCTACTGAAGATAAAAATCCAACCAAATGACATGCACCAGATTTGGGTGCTGAACGCGCATACTTGGTTAAATTACCGAAGTAGAAATAAACGGGCCAAGCCTTGGCTGTTCCGAAGGTCGCCAGATGAGTTGCATCAGAAAAGAACATAAGTCTGGTGATGACGTGTTCGAGTGAGCAGTCGGGTTCCTTTGGCGCCTCTGCAAGTCATCCTGGGCCGCTAACCAGGAATCAGAGGTATAGAGCTCGTCGAATATGCGCTCTTGATGGCCGTCCAGAGGATCTCTCCACAGACGCTTGAAGGGCAGCAGGTGGAACACGTTGGCCTGGATGTCAGCAAATGCAGAACGAATCACTCCTACGAGCAGCCTGTAATGAAATCCTGGAATGTTAAATGTCCTGGATGGCTTGTCCTTGGACTTTGTAGGTATGTCAAGGGTAATACTTGTCTCTAACCAGTCATCCGGAAAGATGACAGTCCCCTTTCCTCCGTTATTGTCCAAAGTGTGCAAGCTCTTCTTGACCGAAAACCCATCCAGGTCCCTCGGATTGAAGTCCTTCGCCTGAATCACGTCTTTAATGAGGCGTGATACTTCAGCCTCTGATTTATGATGACTGCCGGTGTTCATCCACACCATAAGGCGGTAAACAGTCATGTTAGGGAAGGGATGTGGTGGTGCGGGAGATGATTCGGGCTCTAAGGCATTGTCAGTTCTTGGACTCGAAGTAGCCAGTAACGAAGAAGAGATGTATTTATCAGGCTCAAATGAGGGACACCTAGGATATTGCCGACAGAGTCCAATTGTGTTGAAAGCGGTTTGAAGAGAATCATGCAGAGTTAAAAGGACTCTTCGAATCCTGCTGCAAGGAGCACTCTGAGTCTCAGAAAACAGACCATTTTTCCCCAAAGAATCTGAGAGGTTGGTATCTTCATCAGGGGGTAGAAGATTGTGGAAATCTCTTGGGACTGGCCTGAGCTTGCGTTGCAAAGGGCGTTGACCTGTGACTGCTAGTGATTGATGAGTGCTATGATGATAGATACAAAGTGACAGGAAGGTACACACCTGGGGCATCATGGTCTCGCTCATCAGTATCCTCCATTGCAACATCCAAGACGTCAGAGTCGAAGATCAATGAGTAAGTTGCCGTACTGACATGAGCAGTGTTGGCTGGGTTGGTAGGCTGATGTAGGGTGCCAAACACCCTTTGTTTGCAATGAGCTATAGGTTTCAAACAACCGGCGTTCTTGGTAAATCGGATTGGTCTGAGCTGCTACGGGTTGGAGGAGAGTGAGTGATGTAAGTGTGTTGTAGCGACCTACGAGATTAGTGACTTACCCTACTAGGAGCACCACTACTGTGACTAGTCATGAGTTGTAAGGACCTTTGCAAAGTTTGAGCGGATTCCTGTGCCCGGTTTCGCCTTCTCTCGGTAGCTAATGTGCTTTCCTTGCGGTAATGCTTGCAGATAGAACAATGCCTGCTAAGTCCACAAAAATCTGTATCTCTCTCCCAAGAACAACGCGGTGCACTGCAGAACACCATTGACAGGATGAAAATAACAAACAGAATCCAAGATGATCGTGAGAGACGCATTACCAGTTGTGATCATAAGAGTAGTAGTACTACCTATTCAATTCGTATAAACAAGCTTACTGTTATGTCTCCTTGTTGGGCATTGCCATATATATATATATCATCATAGCACTTGCTCGTACGAAGCCATACCATACTTGTGTATGCAGCCAGTTTGCTATGAGGCCTCAAGAAAACTTGAAAGGGATAAGACACAAGCAAAACTTGAATTTTCAAGTCCAGGACGACGAGATATAAATGATGCTGTACTTTAGGTGACATCATACAAGATAAGCGAGTTGGTAAAATAAAATAAGCTAGGAAGTCACAGAAAGATGCAGCCTCATCAAATCACCCCTATGCCACCCACCCTACAGGTTTATATTCCGGCATTAGACAACTTGCCTTCGTAACTCTCTGCGCCCATGCATCTTCCTTGCACTTCAAGAGTAACAGGAGTTGAGTGTACTGGCAGACACGAGTCCGCGCTGCAAGGTAGCTTGAATACACACTGTCAATGCTTAATTTGGTAAATAGGGTATCCTGCTCATCGTCTTCTATGTTGATTCCGACAAGTGCCATCTGAAACAGACTCAGTGCTCACTGCTAAGCAAAACCATGGGATTCTTGTACCATATATGTCTGCTTCTCTCGTTTTTGCTCAGCACTTTCAATGTTTGAAATTTGAATATCAACTTTGGGGCAGTCGTTTATGCTGACGTGAAGAAAGTCTTGGGCGCTTTGTGATAATGATGGCATTGATGATGGCATTTTGATAAGTTTAAGTAGAAACATTTCAATCAAGATCTATTTAAATATTTAAATGAGATTTTGATTGGAGCATTCGGTGTTCTAAATTTCCACTTACAATACAAATTGATACTGTAAATTACTGCTACTGCTGTCCGGGGTCGTGTCCTTCTCAGCTGGGTGTTGCGTGACATAGTAACGATGGCAGCTTGCATAAGCAGATTTTCTTTTCTGCCCTTTGTAAGGGTCCAAAAACAATACTCTGGGGGGACGAGTGAGGATGGTGTTTAAATCAATCCGATTTCGGGTCTGCGCAGGGCCAGAGTGTGCTGCATTTGCCAATACACGAGGGAAGACAATTTCATATAATGAATGAGTGGAAAAGGAACCAATCTGCGAAGCACTAGTAAAGTCTGGGCATGAGGAGGAATTCACTGTCAAGACTAGCAGCAATCACCTTGGTGGATTGAAAGTGTATCTTCTCTGCAGGCGTGAAGCAATTCATCCGAAGAAGATAACTTGCTCAAGATAGATTGATGCTGGGTGTAGGTAGTGCCCTGCAACTGTGTGTCCTTCAGTAAAAATTCAATTGGAGTATTGAAACTGGCTAAGTCACCGCTCAACAAAATATGATGCTTGGGATCCCATCTCGATCCAAGCATCTACCTGTGAGATGCGAGAGGTGCTTACACAGGACATCAACAGTTGGGGTAAAAAGGACAGGCTGACGGGAACGCAAAGAGAAATAAGTTGCATCCAAGGTCGAAGTGTCTCCTGCGGGAACAAGTCAGCCAAGAACAGTAGAACCAATGGACACCTTTGGCGAAGACAAGGGTATGGTGCGCGCTAGTTGGGTGAGATCATCTAGAAAGGACAAGAAACCCTGCAGCACGTCAGGGCGATCCCAAATGGTGATGTGCTGTGTATCCATAGCCATCAGGTGAAGAGAAGAATTGTAATCATTCTGATAGTCCTTGTTCAGCTTTTCTTGAAGGTGACTAGTGTGTAATCACCTCACCTTGATTTCGAAATCAGAAATGAAGTTGGTTCTACTCAAGCCAACACAAACGACACTCCAAAGGAGTTTTGTGTCAGGAAAGCCTAAAGCAGACTGTTCGACATGAACATGAGCACACTGTTGGCTCCTACCACGCTGCCGTGACGATCCCAGAGCGAAAGCTGGTCACCTCAAGACTGTGATCGGCATTATCTGCGAAAGTACTACGGCCACTGAGTTCCGTTAATGAGCCTGAGACATGCGCGAGGAATATCAAAGCTTGAAAGAGGAAGAGAGAGATGCTGGAAATGACAGTGTTGTGCTAGGTAATGATAGAAGCGAAGTGGCAGCTCCCTGGAACTCGACCAGAGAAATACAAATTTCATTGAGCTCAACTTCAAAACCTCGGCATGAAAAACTTCGAGGATTGAAGCCAAAAGCAAATGGCCAGATGGTGAATGAATGTGATGGAGAGCCTGAGCTTCAAGTTTCTAACAAACGTGTCAATGAAACAACTTGAAGAGCATCATGATAGCTTGAGCATTTACCTCGGACAAGTAGAACAAGGGTGCTCGGCAAGTGATAGGGATTAAAAGCACTGCATCTCCCTATAAGATACTACAGGCGATAGGCCTGGTGGGTAGTATGATAATCTGTTCAGGCTGCGGTAGTCGCAGGATCTAAGTGTGAAAAAATTGAGACTCAGAGCTGTGCCAAATGGTGCAAAGTTTGAGTGGGAAAGCAGTCGGTGGATTGAGAAGAAATAGCTGTCATATGTATCAGGAGATGCGAATCAGCAACATATGGTAAGGTTCATCATACTGTCTGAGATCTGAGACAGTCTAAAAGTCAACTTCAAAACGGTGTGGGAAAATAGCACTCACAGTGCCCAGTAAACGTGGACCGCTTCCGGTGAGAGCATTCAACATCATCATCATGAAGCACGAAGTTCAAGTTCAACTTGCTCCAGTACCTCACCTAACAAGCCTTTGACAACGCTGCTGAGCTTGACGTGAATCGCACCTGCCGCAGCATTTGACAGCGTCCAAGGACCAGTGTTGACTCCGTGACATACTAGCCTTATGATCATGATGTCCCTCCCACCTCACTTAATACATTCTTTACCCCTCCAAGCCATTCCCTGACGTTTCTACTTCCTGTATTATTCTTAGTCATACTTGCGGCCATGCCTTGTCATGTAGCCCAGATTTTGTGAAACTGGTTCAACCATGATCAACCCTGTGTGAATCCTGTGCGCCAGTCAATCACTGCCAGTGAGTACACCATGTCAGTGGCTGCTAACATCAAGTCAGCTCCAGGCGTACCCAATCCATCTCGCTTGTCATGCATCACATCATGATGTCCTCCAGCTGCTAGAGCCCATTTGGCAGGTAAGCAGGGTCTGTTCAGTCACAGTGACCTCAGAAGTCCAGAACAATTTCAAGATATAGAGCTTATCATTATTGAATTTAAATAGGGTGCTGCAAGGTTCAGACTGGCAAAAATAATATGTAATCTATACTGCCGACTCGTGCTAGGCAGGTATAAATGTCCTCAAGGCATTCAATGCACTAGCAGTATGGTGTTTATCTTAACAGTTCATTTAGATCACTGTTACCACCTGGACCTTGAGGCCTTCCAAGTAATTCTAGCTGTATTCGAGTTGGAGCCATGCCTGCAGGTAAGTTTTTCCAGATAATTTTATACCAGATGATCAACCTGCACCGCTTCAACTAGAGCGCGCCCACCTTCAACAGGTTTATGGCTCAGTGGATATGCCCTTTATCGAAATTGCACCTTTAAAAGCATCAAGTCAATTGAAGATCCAGAGGAAGAAGAGACAAGAATACAGCAAGGGCGCCTACATGAGCAACTCAGACGACACTAGCTCTTTTCTTCATTACAAGCCGCCCACACTGCCCCCAAACTCCACCCAACCGTTCTTTCTGCCGCAACCATCTGACTCACTACCAAAACTTCCCCAATTACCACCACCACCACCACCACCAGCATCTCCATTGCCACCTCCATTGCCACCAATGTCGCTTGAAGTTCTGCCAACGCCTATATCACTTCCAGAATCTCTTGAAGTCCTGCTCACACCATTATTCATGCCACCATCTCCAGTCATGCATACCATAACTGCCTCAGCCTTGGTGTCTGTGTCAGATGCAAGTCGCCGTGACTATGGTCAAGTCATCCATAACGTAGAGTCGGAGGATGAGTCGGTAGTAAAGGAGGGACTTGAAGTTGATGCAAAGTGGGATGTCACCCACGAGCACCTTTGGGCCAATTGGACTAGTTGCCTAGATGATTAGCTGCTCATTCACTACAGCTACTAGTACTGCATCTGAGAGTCACCAAAAGCTAGGGAACATGCTAGTTACGCCGGACTCTTCTCAGAGCTTTCACTGATGCATGTTCAAAAGCTTTGACACGTCCAAATTAGGGAAGTCTAGTCTTGGTTTCATTGGCTGTGATTTAGTCATGTGACCGCTTGTGAGGTCAATGTAAATGCACTTACTTCACGTGATTGTAACTGAGTGTAACACTGCACAGTGCAAATACGCGAGTAGTTGCTGATATGACAAATGTTATACTTCATTTCTTCAATTCTAATTGACAGAAAATGTACTACCAATGTAACTGAGTAGCCTCCTGACCAATAGATCTTACAATTTTTGTCTTAGTCCACACTGGTCAGGTGATCAACCTAGGTGACTGGCATTTGCCGATTTCCGAACGATCAATATCATTTAGTTATCTCTTCCGTAGCTTCCATGCCTGACCTCACCGCGCCACACCCAAACCAAACACTCAGCATTCATCCCTTAGCATCTCATATCATGCCTATTGCAGTTGCTCGAGCTGACAAGACCTCTTATTATAGCTCTTTTGGTACAAATTCGTCCAAGCACTACAAGACTAGCACCACATCAAAGGCAACACCTGTGCTCACTGAATGGGAACCCAAGCCCAATTCAACCAAACCAGCACCTGTACTTCCACCTCCATCCATGAAAAATGGGGCTCGTAACGTTACATGCATCAGAAGACCCCTACCCTCGGAGGAGGGCATACAAGATAAAAATTCAGTCGAAGATATTCCTGACAATAGCGCGCGCCCATTGTGTGATGATGTTCTTCGCCAGTCCTTCCATTCTGACCTCCTTACTCCAAGTATGTTCCATGATAAGTGAGGTGTTTGGGGTTATGTTCTGATTAGATTGAAGCTGCAAGGGAAGTCTTGAGATATTTAATTCTACCATCTCATAGTCAAAGCCTCATGGTAAGTTATCCAGTGAGCCCGGCGCTAATGTGCTTACCAAATACGATAGGAATTTCCTGGCGTAGGACTGCGAGAATTCAAATTGATCGAACATGCGGTAGGGGAGACGGGCCGAATCTCGAGGAAACCCAGGTGAGTTGAACAATTGTCTGTTTTGAGTAATGCTAAATCGGACAGGCTTTCTTACGACTACAACAAACGCCTACTCATCGTCGACATGCCCAGTATCCTCCACAAGAGGTTCTTTGATCATTTGAAGGACGCCATGGCTGCCTACTTTCTTTTCCTACCCTACGATCGCGAGCTCATCTCCCCATTCCTCTCCATGAACTATTCACTGAAGCTGAGAGATCAAGTAGTCACACCTGATCTGACCATGACCATCACTGCGGTGGAGAACGCTCCAAAGTAGTCCTCGTTCCATGTGTAGGTGAATGCGCCTTATCTGAGAACAGGGCGCATGTCTTCACCAAAGTGGAGGATGAAATTATTGCGCATCCAGAAGCCGTATTAGCAATCATAGTCATTATCCGCGAAGCGATCAACTACCAGTGTCCTAAGGACATCTCAACCGCATCAATTTCACTCCGTAATGGTCGCAACAACCCCAAACCACTTCCTCTCACCGATTTCCTTGCCTTACGTTCTATGCCACGAGGGTTCAACCAGCCAATCAGGATCGCTGATCACGACTGGGCTTATTTGGCTTCTGTAGAATATTTTATGTGGGTGAAAGGTGTTAACCAGGCTCGAATCGACGTGCACAACACTAATCCGCAGTTCATGGCCCACAGCGTAAGTTATTGCGATCATCATTGTGGTGTCGAATCCAACTGACAAAACATTATGCAGATGTTGGGGTCTGTCTTGCAGATGGACGCCATAAGTGCTATGCTTCAAAGGGGGATGGATAAGGTTAGGGACATGATGGCCCGTTTCTCAAGAACTCTCAATATTGCCGGGGATTTCTCCACATTGGAAGAAGCTGAGGTTAGGTTGCCCCTGAACTGGAGCATTAGCGCAAAGTTCGCCCTCACCGCGGCTGATCTTACCGCTCATGAGCGCTATGAATCCTGGCATGACGTGCGATTCAAAGGTGCCAAACGCACGAAGCAGAACCACAATCCACCTTATAGTCCTTCGGAGTCAGATCATGATGGTGGCTCATCGGAGTCAGCTACTCCTCCTCCTCCTCGTACATGCTCCCGCCGCACTTCTCGTACTCTTTGCAAGTGTGTGAGCACTTCCCAGCCTCCCCCGCGCAAATCGAGGAGAACTAAGGGAAAAGCTCGGAATACTGATGTATGACTCAGAAGTTAGCACCTTGATTGACATCATTTCCGGCAAATTTTTGAGAACACCGAGTGGGCATGGTTGAAATTTTCATGTGTACTATTACGTTTCTCGCTTGGTTGTTATGTGGTATTCCGTTGCACCTGCAGATACCATCAATTACTAGTTGTACTACTACTGGCTCACTGTTAGATTACCACATGCAATGAACTGTAACTTTATGAATGAAGAATGAGCGTCAGCTTTACATACGTCTTAAGTCTGACTGGCCGCATCCGTTTTTCATTCAAAATTTTATCCAACTATGACCTTTAAATTAGCAACTGGGGCTGGATACCTCCAAAGTCTAAAACAACATCGGAATATTTCAAGCGTCTGTAGGGTCCTGGAGAAAAAATTAACTACGGTGAGTACTCATGTTGGGTGACACATACTCTTGCTCCAGCATGTGGGAGGCATGATGCGGTTGCCTGTGGACGTGAGCTGCTGGGTCCAAGTAGGTTAATTAGACTGGCTTACATCTCTTCGACCTTCTGGATAGTGACTAGTCCTGCCACGTTTTCATCACCGGTGGATGTGACAGTGCTGATGTTGTGCAGTTTGGGAGTGTGCAAACATCTAGTTCATAGGGTACATCCAAGTTGCGAACTCTGCCAAAGGCCGTGAGTTTGAGTCAACATGTGGATGAGGCGAAAATACATACAATTTATGCAAGGATAATGGAAAAGACAGAGGCTCAGGCATATGGTTCTATGATGATGGGACCTTGCCAGAGAGACTTGGGAGTCACCCATTTACTATCATAGCAGGAGGTTCATTTTCTTAAAGACAGACCGAGTTGACGAGCGAGTGAACTGACCGAGACATTCATGAAATTAATATGATAGTAATATAAATTTAGTAAGATGCTGTGTCACGAGTCTCAGGACTGTGTGGGAACGACTTTGAAGTTGAGTTGGCGGCAATCTGAGTAGACTCTGGACCTGTTCAACCTCATGCCACTCACCCCATCGCTATCATTGCCTAATCTGACGAGACTAGGTCTCAAGGCAACTGAGATTCTTTGGAACCTTGTCCACTTTGTGGAGCCAGAAGCTGGTAATTAATAGTTGTCAGATATTACTTGTTGATGTCCTTTTGATGTGTTATCTAGCGTGCGCGTGTTGTGTGGCGTACATGTGACATATTTGTATGCTGTCTGAACTCTATTTTGAGCCGCTGTACCTCATTACCAGTTCGGCTCACGCCCTGGCACTGCACCTGCAGAGGAGAAGTGTTCTGCCGGTCAGTGCAACACGTTCATTAATGTTAGCGTATGTTGAGCTGTGAACTTTCCCATGGATGCAAGTGAACTGAATGCGTTCAGTTCCAGAAGTCCTGCCCGCAGTGTTCTGCCGGTCAGTGCACGTTCATTAAAGTTAGTGTACGTTGAGCTGTGAACTTTCCCATGGATGCAAGTGAACTGAACGTGTTCAGTTCCAGAAGTCCTGCCTGTAGTGTTATGCCGGTCAGTGCACATTCATTAAAGGAGGGTGCCCTGTTACTGTTCCGATGTAGATCGGCTCCCAGAAGCTTCAAGGTGACGTTCTTTAGTTATCCATGGACTCCAGCAACTCCTCCCAAAGTATTCCTAAGCCGAGTAAATCTTAGTAAGTCTCTCGGTTGCGGTCTTATCTTCCATATTGTCATCCCTTCATCAGATACGTGCTAGCCAGGTTTCCTCGAGGCTTGTTGTTCTCGTCGCTGATCCCGTTTTGCTCAATGATCGCAAGCATTCAGTCTTGCCGGACGCTGAAGACGGGCTTGAAGAGCTTTGCAAGAGCTTTGTTGGTGAAATTGACCCACCTGAAAGTGAGTGGCTTAATTTCATTTGTGAATTTATCTTCAACCTCACATCGTCTTAACAATTCAACAGCTGGACCAACTGTCTTAATGACAATGAACATCACTTTATTTCACCTTCTCATCGACACGATTCTGCACAGTACACAGATATCTTCTTGGATTCTTTCGCATCCGTCTTCTGGCTCAAGAAGCGCGGTCTCATACCTGGTCTTGCATTCTCCAACGAGCTCATCAGTCATGATGAAGGTATGCAAACCGATTTTGCTTGCTCTTCATTACGCCATCTTATGCTGACCGTTTCTCTAGATGCTCTTCCTGTTGGCCTCATTGGCATAAATGCCAAGCTCATGTGCCAGTACATTGAGTTTGTCGCAGACTGTTTGTTGGTGTCGTTAGGCAACGATAAGGTGCACAATGCCACAAATGGTTACTGTGGCACTCCTGGTTCAGCATTAAAACTGTCGCAGCGAGGTAGCGCTGTTCGTAATGTTCCATCTTATCGTCGTCAAGTTCCAGGTAAGCCTTTGAAAAAACTTTAAATATTGTTAATACATTACAGGTACTAATTCTATCATTTTAGCTGTGAATATGCGTCAACAATGAATCACCCACTATCTCCGCAGACAGCCTGGCCCTCTCGTCAATGAGCTCGCAAGTCTGGCACTGACTGAACAGAAAGTACTGCATTCGCTGGCTGACGGCAATGGTATCACCAAGTACGAGCATATTGGATTATTAGAACTATGTGAAGGCTGTCAGAGAATGTTTGCAGCCAGCGCATTGCGGGCGCACATCCTCACCTGCCCGCAGAGTTGAAGCTTATATAGTCTCTGGTATGGTTTCCTAATTTTTTACCTTAGTACATGTCAAACACCGGTGACCGAGTCCTGGTATGTTATATAATTTGATGCTTGCACGTACCTTGTCTGTGAAAGCTTCTGGGAGCCGATCTATGTCGGAACAGTAACAGGGCACTCATCACTCGTCCTGCCTCAGTATTACCCTCGGATAAACCTTTTGTAGGTTATCTGAGGATTAAGTGTGCGACGCATTTTTTATGGTATCTATTTACTACAATGTGTACGTTTTGTTTTTTTACAGGCCGTTCGTCTCCGCTGTTCAATTCAACAGAGCCGACTTGAGGCGTAGCGACCTTTTCAGAACCTTCAAGTTTGATGGTATCTATTATTTTATGTAAGTTTTAGAAGCTAACCATTATGAACGACTCTATCCGAAGAGCCGGAACAGACTCCAGAGCAGAATCCAAACTCACAAATATTACCCTGGTATTCTTGCAGCTCACTGAATCTACACAATTGCTCCATTTGTACCTCAGGTAAACTCAGCTTGAGTTCATATTTTACCAGTTTCTGATGAGCCTTGTTTCATTGATCAGAGATATTGGAGTGACACATTGTTGGTATCATTGTGAGTGCCCAGTCACGGTGTTCACCATAAATCATTGTTGTTTGATTCACCTTTAAGTATTCTGTGTCATACGTAGCTCAAGCCCTCGCAACCGTACAATGGAACCGACTTTCTTATCATGTTGGCCAAAAGCCAGTGATTTTGACTTGTCTATTTGTTATATCGGCCTATTTGAACTTCCAAAGACCTTCGGGGGCTTGATACTGAGGTTTGTGCATCATACTCTGATTGAAAGTTTTTTTTGATTGTTTAGTCATGTATTGTGTGGAGTGCTGAATGGCAACAGCGGTCATGGATGACCAGAAATACGGTCGCCAAGTGGGGTCCCACATGTTTTGTGCACCCCGTTCTTACGTACTTCGCTGCATCGATACGGTGAGTCAAACAGAACTTACTTCCACTTAATTTGATCGATGTATACTAGAATACAAACTTGAACTATTGGCAATGGGCTGGTATGTTAGGTAGTTGTTTGATTGTCGAGAGTAGTTGACACCGTTGGCAGATGTCTTTAGTCAATCGCTAGTTCTTTGGCCATTTCGACCTGTTGTCTGCTATGATCATTGGTGTCATACGACCCTTCTTCAAGTCAATTGAGCAATCTGGGCACACTAGTACATTATGTACTACATTTTGAGAGGCAAAACTTGCTTAGACACAAATTGTAGTTGCACTCCCCGTCATATCCACATTAGGCATTGCCCTATAAGTTTCAATGTTTAGCGAGTGGGTATATAATGGTCTAGGTAAGTTTTCCGAGTCTCTCAGTTCCCTCCATATTTTTTTTCATTACCTTCACCATTGCTCACTTGTTGCTCTTTATTTTTCACTTCACACATGTTGACCTCCCTCACATCTACCATGTCTGTGTCAGGGGCTGACAATCAGGTTGGGTCGCAAGCCCTCTCACTTCCAGACCTTTCTGGGGTAGTCCCTACCTCTACAGAAGCAAGAGCAAAGTGTCGCATCGCTGCATTGGAAGAGGAGCTGGAAAGCATGAGGCAAGAGAGAGGAATCAAGCAGAGGTTTGATATGTACCACTTTGCTTGCTCCGTGCTTGTTGCTTACTGATCCTAACAGAAAGACAACTTACTATGTTGCTCAAGGTAGAGCGATTCATCGGATGGTCATGCTCTATACCAGCTTGGAAGACTTGATCGCCGAGAATGATTGCAGATACGAGGAGGGGAGCCCAGAGGATAATACCACAGAGTACGCCATTTGCCTTTCTGTTTTATACTTCATAGCTCATTTCTATTGTTCAGACAAGATCGCCTGCAGTGTGGGTACATTGTACTCGCGCAGGTTCTGCCATGGCTACATGCAAAACTTGGACAACTTGATATCGACGAATGTCAAGATATGCTGAAACAGGTATGTATTCTCAGTTCCAAAGCTTTCTGCCCTGCATACTGATGACACTAGCTCAAAAGAGGAGCGGATGCGGCCCGTGGTGATGATACATCCACTCTCAAAGACCTCGTCGCTTCCTGGGTCAATCAAGATTTTCGACCATCTTCTCTACTGAAGTCCGATGACAAGCAGATGCGCGGCTTTGTACACAACATTTGTGGGAAGTTACTCTGCCCTTTGGAGTGGGACTGGGGTGATAATAGGTGAGTGTCGGCCTTTGTCAGCTATTAGATGACCCTGATGATTTGACAGGGTGAAAGCTGGGATCCGTGACAGAATGGTAGATTACATTGTATCGGAAAACTCTTGGCCACTATTTGTGTACGAGAAATACATGGTCAACTATGGCAACCTCGAGCAAGGCCTCTTCAAGTCCAAGATTCTGGTTCAAGTGAGTTGCCTGGGCAATAGTGGTGACCATACTGATGATTACCGGGTTAGGCTTTCAAGGCTATATTCACATCTCCCTCTTCCGCAAGAGAGGCTGACGGTGACGGTGACGGAGCTGACATCCTCAAAAACAACAGGCGTGCCCGGTGACAATTAAATCAGGCCAAGGTTAAAACTTGTGTGGCCTCCATTATCAACATGAGGAAGGTCACTTCTCGCTCCATCGCCTACGTCATGTGCCAAGTAAGTAGAGATCGTTACCCACCATCCAAACCTGACATGCAATCCTTTATGGCAGGTTCGTTTCGCGCTGTCCAACATCTCATCTTGGCGCACCATTGATGGTGACTTTGACTATGAAGCATTCTGGAACAACGTGGTAGACTTTTTCAAAGATGTCCCAGGACCTGTCGCACAATGTAGGGTGAACCAACTTCTCGAATGGTGGTCCAGGTATATTCTGCCTTGAGGCGTACATAAGAGATATCTGACATTATTATTTAGGAAGGTTTTTGGAAACAACCATCGTCAGGACCTAACACCAGAAGTCATATCTCATATGTCTGTTACTGCACTCGCCCAACAGAGAAAGGAGCTGGAGGATGCTATTTTCGACTCGGAATAATTCAATCTTTGTTTTACCTTCTGCCATTGTAGTATATACCTCGTACAATAATAATGCAATTATAATGTCACATTCCACCGCTCGAAATATTGACTGAGAAGTGTTCAGCATGCCATCTACTATCAAACTTGCTCTTCGTTCCAATCCAGCCAAATTATAGGGACCATACTATGTAACCGACTGTATCTATGATGGTGACAACTAACATGCAAAGTTCGACTAGTAAAAACTACCTGGTGGATGAAATCATCCGCAATCTCCAAGTCAACAGCATCAGTTGACAGTTCCAAACTGTCAGGGCACATTGGTTCCGTCATGGAGCTGTAGCGGACATAGGAAATCAAAATACATTTAATGGACAATAGAGTTAACCTACGAAGTTCCTCTTATGATGATGATCTGTTCTCCTCATGAAAATTTACCACTCGTCCATGACACCGACAGCATGAGTAAAGGCTGAGAATGACTTGCCAAATGAGCCATTAGCAATACCTCACTGACTCCCTGCAAAACCACCATCTTGTTATTCAGGTTCGGAGGGACAAATTATTATTGTACACACAATTTGTTGCGACGTGTGTATTGGTGGAACAGAGGAATATTTTTTATTGCTATTATTAGTCTGTGCTGAGGCTGATCAGAATAAACCGACTTGCCCTGGGAAGGCAATTCCAGCACCATGGGCCTTCGAGTCGATTGCTGGCAGGCTTCCTGGCAAAAGATCTTCCTGTTCCTGTTTAGGGTTGGCGCGAACTTGACAGTCTTGGGCTTAAGGTTTAGCATCTGCTGTGTCTTCGAGACGGGCTTGTGTCATATCAATCATATGATGTATGTAAAAGTGTTGCAGTAGCGCATTGGCATCTGTTTCACAACCAATTTGCTAAAATTTTGAGATTAGATGTAGTGTCTCATATCGAAAATGCACTCTATAGTTGCTCTAACGCGCGACATCTTGAATGACCTTCCAATGCTGATCACTGAATCACATATATTCAAACTAAGAATCTTCTCTGGTAACTGTCATATTAAGTGACATGTATTTTGATGTACTAATACCTTCCGCTGTTCCTGCACCCGCCAAATGCACCAGTTGAATTGAAACTTGTGGAATGCTGTTTTGATGGGGGACATGTGACTTTCGTAATTTATAGTGGAAGATTCGGCAGCATGGCAATATTTTGTTCAATTCAACAATCCATAACCACTAGCTTAGTAAGATTAACCCACGTCCTCACTGTGAAAATCGGACATCACCGGTAATAGTATCTGGTATTATACGTTGACTGCTCTCTTGAAAGCAGCACCGGAAGTGCATCATTCACCATATACTGTATAGACACGCACTTAGGTTTGGCCCTATTTAGGTGTGACCAAATGAGCATTAGGTTTGAAGGTTCGCAGGGGGGGTGTGACGTGTGACATGCTGTGATTAGGTTCGTTTGGTAAGCAACCAACATTAGGCAGACACTATCCTTTGTATACATGTGCAGTGCTACGTGCTGATCCTCATGCTCAACCTGGAAGTGCTCGCTCTACAAACATTGTCTCTAATTTTATTTCTGCCTGGCAACACAATATCTTCTGATCCTAGTGATATTTCTATGGATACCGTTCTGGAGCACATCACATTGGGTGAAGCATCTGTCCCTCATGGCTATAGCGCTGATGAATCAGGTAATTTGCTGCTAGACAACGAGTTGGAGAGCTATGAGCAAGTGGTGGATGGCATGGAGCTTCAATCCATGGTGAATGGGTCTGAGGAGGTTGAGGCTGAGGGCCGTGGTAAGCGCAGACGTGTCGCAAACACTCATCAGGAAATTGGCCATGAGATGATTTGAATAGATATTTCTGGCAAAATCAAACCAAATATTGACATATTATATCCAAATACATAGTATTCTATAAGCACCAGCACAATGGTGCTGGATGACAAGCGATTGCAAGAAAACTCTAATATTGATGAAGACATGTATGCCTCGTACATATGATACTTTGTAGATAAATTATTGAAACAGGTCCAGCATCACGTCATAAAAATGGCCACCTGCTGCATTAAACTCACTTGATGATGGCTGTTTGCAATGAGTTCCCCCAGTCTTTAGAACATCGTTCTGAACACTGAATTTATTATTATAAAGTCATCGTGCCAATATAACTCATGCTGCCGCGGCCGTCAAACGTCAATGCGTCAAATTCCATTGTAGTGTTACGTTGTACAACAGAAAAAATGTACAGATGATTAAAACACGTAGCAGTAGTACACGAGAAAAGAAACAATTTGTACGAAACATGATTAAAACAACATGATGACTTAGTGGCGTCTCCTTCTCTTGGAGCTTGCAGGTGGAACGTACTCAGCATCATTGACCTCATCGACAGTACATTTCAGGAGATTCTCGTGCCACTTACGATACCTCCTGAACCCCATTTGCTTGGCGGCTGTCTCAAAACCGTCCATGCAAGTGCCCCAATTGATCACTGTGTTTGGAACGGCCCATTTCTTTAGAGGTTTGATTAAGGCGCTGGAAAGACCATGTCAATTTCTAAAACTATTGACAGATGGATAGTACTTACGTGAGAGGGTCGTTACTGCCCGGAGGATGCTCCCCCTCCAGATGCTGGACCGTTGAGTCACGAATTCTTCCAAGGGTGCGCTTGAGTAAACGCTGGACATTTTCAAGGCCAGCAGCGTCTTGTTGCGGGAAGAGCACCTGCCAGTGTCACGTTAAAATAAGTCAGAATTGTACTCATATGCTACGTACCGCGGTTGCATAATATTGTGCACCATGGTTGGTGATTTTCAGCTGCCTGTTAGGGGGACGGAGCCATGTCGTAACAGTTACTTTGAGGGGATGCAGCCAGGTATGCGAGAAAGACACGATTCCGCTACCACTTGCACTCCCACCAACCTCTCTAATGCGCACAACCTTCTTCCTATCCAACTCCTGCTCGAGAGCCCACTCGTCGCTTGGCAATATGGATGGTTCTGCCTCAGTGATGTGGAAGTGCATGGCTCCCTCGATGTGGGGGTTCTTATTAGCAGCGAGTTGCATCTTGGCCTCCACCGCTTCGGAAGTTTGAGAGAATGACACCTTGAAAAGCCATAGCGGATGAAATTCCGCATCCCTCGTCTCACGTTGAATGAGCATGTCGGGGATGCCGAGATTGCGTTTGTCTTCATCGTCCTCGTTGTCTTTGCCCTTTTCGACCATCGTGTTTATATGAATGCGGAGGGCGGTACTGAGTCCTGATGGAAGGGGTAATGATGATATGATGTTGCCCATTGTGGTGCACAGGGGCACCGAAATAGATTCGTGGATTGGGGTCGGCAGATTGACGAGTAGTTGTTGGAGACAAGGGATGTATGATGGTCTGAGGAGAACGCTCCGTCAGATCAGATGAGAGAAAGAGAGAAAGCTTACTTGCGAATCAGATTGTCATCAGATTCAATTGCATCTAAAATATAATGATAATCACTCTCTGAGACGTCTGAAAACACCTGGTAGCACGGCAATCAGCCTGAGAAAGATAAGAATAATGATGGCTTCTCATACCTCATGTTCAGGGCCCCTCGCCACCCTTCTGAATGGCGGCGATAACGTGCTGGCGGAAATCTGTACACCTCAGGAAAAACTCCCATGCCACTTCAATCAGACGTGACTCACCATCCTTTGAGTCGAACACCGGTGGCTTCAGAGGCTTTGACTTTAACAAGAGGTGAAGTTTCAGCTCCAGGCTTGAGACTGACTCTGAAGTCCCAGAAGGGCTACTTCTCAACAGACTTGCTGAGGATGTGGAGCATCGCTTGAATGTACTAGCATCTGGGAAGGACCCTTTGCTACTAGCGCGTTCGAGTTGTCCAGGTGGTGTAATGGGCTGAGAATACCATGAAGGATTGAGCCCATAAAAATGGCCCTGCCTATTCTTTGAGCCTGGCTGGAAGGAATTGAGAGGTTTAGCAGACATAGCTTGGCTTCCAGGTTGCTTGTTCATTCAAGTTCTCACTTTATAAGCAAAAGCAGTGGTGTCAACCGGTTTAGCTGAAGTGGTTCAAGCCGGTGTTTGCCATAGGCTGATTTGGAGAATGGTATTTTGACTGTTGCTCGGATGCATGTCTGATTTCAGATACTGTGGGGTGTGCATCTCGCTGATATTGACACAAATACAATCTTGCTATTCCAATGTCCATGCCTCGAAACATTAGATACATGGAATCTAAGTGTAGTATGTATGCGTAGAGCCTGATAACAATGTCCATGAGTGGTATTTGACAAGGAAGGATGGGAATGATATCACGAAGATGGAAGCGGTTCAAAGTCGGAAGGAAGGCAAAACACATCTGTGAATGACCTGTAGCAGTAGAAGCCTTTATTATTTGGCAAACCATGCCGCCCTGGGACATCATTGAGTGATGTGACAATGATGGCTTTAACGTCTTCCATTCCTCTTGTCTTCTTGACCTTCCTATTCGACTTGGGACTGTTAAGAACATGCTCAAGTGTCGGATCCGAAGGGCTTGGCTTCAGCTCGTGCACTGCACCCCTTACCCGAGTACGTGCCCCTAACTTCCGAGGGCTGTTGGACGATGTCCGGAGGTTGTCGGACGAGTCCGGAGTCCGATGTCCGATGCGCGGGAATTCCGGTGGACGTTCGGGAACGAGGGATAAGACTAATCCGGACGATGTCCGAACTAGAAAGGAAACAGCGGAGGACTACCAGAGGTAGAGGCGGAGGTGAGAAGTCTATAGGAATCAATCCTAAGACTAGCGGAGGACGACGAGAGGAGAAACTCAAGTTAAACGGAGAAGGGAATGAGCAGAGTCTAAGATAATATTCGAACTAAGGAAGTACAAAGATTCTACAGGGTTTATATACTACTGAGGACTTAACAGAGAATCAGTCTGCGCAGTCCGAAGCTATGCGAGGCTGTGGACGGAGCATATAGAAAAGTCAAACACTAGTCTATCGGAAAATAGTAAATGAAGACGGAGATGAAGACATAGGAAAATAAAGGCGGAAATGAAACAAGGTACAGAAAATGAGTATAGTCTAACTGGAGAAGGAACGTACAAAGGGATAAGGCACGGAAGTTAGACGCAGGTCGGATCCGGATGATGGGTAGAAGTCAGCCGGATCCGGAAGTCCGGAAATGATGTGTGTGATTGGTCCAGGTCCGGAACGCGGGATATGACAGGGACATTTCTTCTTGGGGTTTATATTAAGTATGTGCTCATTCCTGAATGCGGGTCATAGTGAGTAATATTGAGCGATATACGAAGGACACTGACGTTATGAAAGGCAGACTCATTATTGTCTCCGTGAACTTGGGAAAGTCATCTGGATTTGCATACATGGGGGCGAGCGCGGACATAATGACTTCATTCATGACCTCATGCCTCTTATATGAAGAGACGCTTTCTTTGTTTGGTCCTTCTCTTAAAACAAGGAGCATCGTATGGTAAATCTGAGTTGGTGTCACCGCTTGAGAAAGATCAAAGAAAGAAAAGGATGCACTATTGTCAGCAAGTTTCCAATGGTATCTTGAGCCAAGCATCCAATTGATGCACAGAGTTCTTTGGGAAACAAATCCACTATTCTTGCAGGGCGTTTTCCGTCAGCCAACCCATCGAATGGGGCAAAAAGCGCTGCCCATAACAGTTCCCTGAAGAGTTGATGGACTACAAGTTTGGCAAGAGCTTCTTGTACCTGAACGATGAAAGGTTGAGTTAAAGACGTTCTAGTGTCCAATCTATCACTTACAGCTTTGTTATGCCCAAAGTTCAATATTGAAAGAAATTGCTTTATTGTAATCTTTATCTCGTGCTTTGCACAAAAGCCTGTAATAGGTGACATGACGCCTTTGACAACTTTCCTTAGCTCAGAACTTGTGTTGGTGACTAGTGAAAGTAACTGTTCAAATGTGTTAGGAGGAAGCGAAGGTAATGAATAGATATGACACACATGGGTGCGGATAATCGGCCATCCAACCTCTTTACCGTTGCTCAATATCATTACTTAATTGAATTGTAAGATAATGATGAGTGAAACATCGAAAACACAAGCACTTACATGGCTGTCTGTGTATGTCTTCCCATCGATTTGGAGGGCAGTTAGGAAGCTGCAAGTAATGACCCGCCATTCATTCGTGTCAGAGATGTTAAACGGGTTCCCGTGCATTCTGACCCAGAGACTACCCAATATCAGGGCCCTCGTGAGCTCGATAACACGATACCAGTAGCACAGCTTTTTCCCCAACACACGAAGTATTTTTTGCTTGTCACCCGACTCGATCTGCCCCCACAAATATTCCGAATCTCTCCATTTCAAATCCGGATGAAGAGAAAGATTTGCATTTATGGGGGTTGGTTCGCTGGTGACAACCTCACCCGGTTGCTCTAAAGGGCCGAGTTCTCCAAGGTCACTGGGGAGAAGATTGAGAACTGGCCAGTTAGTGTCGCCATAGTCGAGAAGGTGCATCATGGTTGTTGATTGAACGGCAAAAGGGGCATGTGGCACAGGGCCCAGTAAGGTATCCAACAGGTATGCATCGTCCGTGACAGTCGAAGGGGCTGGGAGAGGTAGCTGGTCGGTGATGGTGGGATGAGTGGAGGGCATGAAGTGCCCGGATGTTGATGCCACGGGCTCATTAACAGGACAGTGCGATAGCTCATGCATAAAGGGATTGCTTTTGAAGGTGGCATTGGTAGGTTGTGGGAATTCCTTTAGAGATAGTGGCGGGTTGAAATCAATCGATGCTTGCACGAGCTGGGCGAGCTACTGAAGCGCAGTAAAATTAGGGAAATGTAAACATTACAGTAAGAGCAACACTTTCGAACCACATCCGGCCTGGTTTCCCTAGGATATTGGGCCTACCATATGGGGTCTTGACAAGAAAATCCAAGTCACCAGGCTAGATTCCGTTCAGAAAACGAACAGGAAAACATGTAAAAATCTTACTGTTGCTTCAAATAATGGGTGATTGTGGTCAACGTTGAAATTATCGGGGATGGTCAGCACCCCAACAACATAGAGTACATCGAGCCAAGGACGTTGTTCCATGACGGATTCATCACACTACAAACCAATACCATTAGATGACAGATGTAAGAGACAAAGTCTTACATATAAAGCAGATACTTGGCCATGCATAGCAATGTATCCAACAACAACGAACCAACGGCCCTGGAACCCCGCAAAGGGATGCTGAAAGCACAAGTTAAACCAAGATGGTGTCTGACAGATGATCACAAACCTCCTCGTGCTAGAGGACACATCAACGACCGTCTACCATATGCAGCCTACTGTAACTTACATCAAGACAAAGACCTTCTTGGATTCGTGGTCATAGAGGTAGGCGTAGATCATGATTGACTCGTCTTCTGATGGTGGCGTTAACAATAATAGATTGTATCATATGGCAAGGACTCACCTTGCGCTGTCTAGGATTGAGTTCTGCGGAGAAAGGGAGAGTCGCGGGGATTTAATAGGTGAGGACTGACCAGCTTTGGTTGTTAGTGGGGGCCATCAGTCAGCGATGGCCAAGAATCAGCGAGGCCAGCACTAAGTGATGGCCAAAACCTAGTATTACTGATGGCCAGGACTCGAGATCGGTGATGGCCACGACCTATTGATCGCCATGATTCAGGTAGGAAATGATTCTGCGCCCATCCGACGCGCTGGGGTAGATTGTATGTAATTTAATTCTCATAATCAAACATATAATCGGTGTACCATTTGTCTAGCGCGTCTATGAGCATCTCTGTGCTTCCATTACATCCCTGCTCGAAGGGGATCAGTTCTTCGATGCCAACGTGGTCTTCATCCTCTTCATCGGCCTCGCCATTGGCTGCTTGTCGCCAGTGGGCGTTTGCCAGGAGGTTTTGTTCGTTTCCCATATTTTCATCTCCGGTCTGGTCGGCAGGGAGCGCATCTGAGCTAGGTTTTGCTAATACCCCTACTTTGTGTGAATACACATGTCCCACACCAAGTCCATAGTGGAATCACATAAGGGAGTCGCGATCAACAAAACTAGTAAAATCATGGTATCAGTAAACATAGTCAAATGTATAGGATCACTCACCTGTTCACATAGTATTCATGCCAGTCATGCTTATCTCCTGCCAGAGGGGAAATGCCTTCACCCGGATTGCGCTCGCCTCGAGAGAAAGCAGGTATAATATGACATCCCCTGAGCACAGCTCCTGGGTCCACAAAGCCAAATGCGTCGGGATTCGATAAGGGTAAGAAACGAACGTGGCCCAGAGTATGCGTTTCCCAGTCATGGCGTTGTACGGGTTGGTACCACCTAACAAAGAGAAATTCAACTCGGTGAGATTCATAGACGTTCCCGGCCCGAACAGCATTAACGTGGTGAATGCCTAGAACCTTGGCATACTAGTAATTGCCATCGAGGTTATCATCATGATCATGTCGGAGGAGCATGATGTTGCAATGAGGAGTTTTGGGGTTTATGACATCTTGAGATCTTCACACATTGTATGATGTGAAGTTAAATCGTGCAAGATTGTGGTGGTAAATTCTATTACATTTGAACAAAATTGAATTGCAGTCATTATCGGTATGGGTGGGGTTCTCTGCAGAAGATCCGAAAGTCCCAGCATTAAAGCGATCCAGAATATGGGTTTTCAAGCGTGGCAGGAAGTCCTTGGTCACACCTCAGAATGATGTGAATTTCAAAAAGAAATGAATTACCTTCATAGCAAGGTCTCTCGCGTTATTGCGGAGGTAATGACCTAACTCATCAAAAACTTTCTCACTTTGACCGATATGATGGTGCAGGTAAGGATCGCTTGCGGCTTCGTTAGACTCCGCAATAGGAGCCGGTTTTTGTTGCCGTTCTTTGATACAGCATAATTGTGTTTGACGGCGCTCAATTTGTGTCAGCTGGTGAACAAAGCCCTGTCGGTCAGTTCAACAGTATCTGCCTTTTGGTGTACGATGCTCTAACTCTCCCTGATGGTAGTTGAGTTGGAGAGCGAGCAGGCGATAAATTGAGACTTACAGGTTCTGTACTGTATGAATCCATAGTACCGAAGCGACGGATAGAGGCCACATAATCACCTAGAGCATGAAACTTGTAGGTATTAAGATTGAACGACCTCTTCTTCCTCGACTATCTTGGTAACTGTGCATCCAGTGGTTGCTCTGGGCTCGCCTTTTGTTTACCTTTAGTGTTGGTCCCTGCCTTAGGCTGTTGAGCTGTAGCCCCTTCCTCCTTACCATTTGCCCCGCCTTTCTCTACCCGTCTGCCCGCTTCCTTCGCTTGCCGACGAGTTCTCACATCGGCTTCACGATCAAGCTCCTGAGTATTGTATGCATTGCACACCTCCACCTTGAACTGGCGGAACTGTTCGCCAAGTTTGGTTGTTTGCTGGTCAAGAATATGCAAAGTGAGATCAGAGTGCATCCGAAGTTTAGCAAGACCATGCCAGTGCGCCATGGTGAAAAGCAGATTGATGACAATTTTGTTGTGAGGATCGGGGAGAAGGCCTTCAAATACCGGGATAGAACACTTCTATAGAGTGAGGTCATAAGGTCTCATGAGAATCATGCAAAAAGCATACCTGTAGAAGATCCTCGAAGTTGTGCATGGCCATGTTTGACATATCAGACGTGTTTGCAGAGAACCGCCTGATAGTCGCAGATCCAAATGGGGGGACCTTTCTATACCTGTCAGAAGTGAGTATGAGTATGCCGGTCAATCTTCACATAAGTGTCAGGCACCTTCTATCAAGTTCGTGAATCAGGTCTTTATTCAAAGCGAAAAGGATTCTCAGTAAGTGAAGTAAGAGCATGCGCCAAACCCCAAGTTCAAACTCATGCAAGAGGTCGACGACGAGTGCAGCAAACACGTTGAATCCAAATGCACCAAGACTGTCGGATAAAATGTTCTATTAAAGAGTAAGTCGAGGCAGTAAAGAGGCTGATGCTCATCTCACCGAGGATGGTACCCATGAATCAGGCTTGAGCAGTGACTCAACTCGAGTACTATCTACACCGTAATTCTTGTTGTAGATAAGGTCGTGTGCAGTGGTAACCAGTGGACTCCTCGAGGCATTGGACCGTGCCAACCTTGATCGTTGCTGCCTGTCCCCACTGGTTCCCAGATTGTGAACCTGTGCGGCCGGTACGAGACACCTTGGGCAAGGACATCCTCCTAGCTGCCGAATTGTTGCAACAAGAACCCTGACTTTTGTGAGCTTCGATTTCCTGTGAATAACATCTATGACTTACTTTTCAGGATAATCTGCAGAATAGGTAAATATTTGCGGGTAGAACCTACATTTGATACCATCACAGCAGAGTATTACAATCCCGTGCTCGTAGGCCTCTAAGAATTCATCGTCAAGTAATACCTTCCATTGGGCTTGAAATAATTCACGTTGACAATGTGTTGTACATTCGCGTCCAACTCCCTTGCCATTGGTGTAGATTCCTGCAAAATCCTTGAACAAGTCTGGAAGCTGCAAAGGGATTGATGAGCTTAATGAAGAGGATTCATAAGGGTTGCTGCACCTTTTGAAAGTAGGCGACATGGTTACTCAGATGACAAGACGGTTTGCAACGGCAATATTTCGATTCATTTCCAAAGTACATGTACACTGGCCATAGCCTCGTGTTACCAAATGTCATCAGGTGCGTGGCATCCGACCAAAACATGAGTGTGACAACTACGCAGGGTAAATTGCACCCTGCCTCTCCAGGAGACTCCTGAAGCTCATGGTGCATGTCCATGAAGGCTGGTGAAGTGTACAATTCACCTTGGATATTCACTTCACGGGGAAGATGGGGAGCGCTCCATTGTAGTTTGTAGGGCTCGTAGTGGAAATATTCATCATCACGAGCATTCGCGAGTTTTTCTCGAATGACAGAGACGATAGACCTATGGTAAAGATCCGCTGCCGGGTAAGGTCGAGCATCCGGCTGGGCTGTGGTTCGAGAAAAGGGCACCTGGATGGTCACTTTGGTTTTGCACCAACCCGCATCCTCATCCTCCCATTCATCACCCCCCTCATCACGAGTACTCGAACCTAATTTCGAGTTAATCCTATCCCATGGTATATTCTGCACACTGTCAAGATTAAAATCTGAGCAACTGATAATATCGACCAGTTGTTTAAAGTCCTGTTGGGATTTCTGCGAGGTACCATTCCAATACCAGTTACCAAGCTCAAACGAGGACCGGTTAGGGTATGGATGAAATGCGAGGTCGTGAGGTGTGGTGGGGGAGTCTGAATTCACTGGGGCGACAGCTGCAACAGAGCTTATGTCTTGGAGTGTCACGACTTCTTCCAGGTCGTGAGAAGGGGGTTCGGATGAAAAAAACTGTCGTACTAGTCCGAAGACATTCTTAGCTGTATGGAAAGGAGGAGCTGGACACGATGTACGAGCGCCGATGGACATGTCAGTGGGTGTTGCTGGTGGGTCAGGATCTGCAGGGTAGGCAGAGGGGATAGTCGGTGGAGGTTGCGGGAGTACGTCCTCGTACTGTCTATACCATAGTGGCATGGGAACATCAACACGCCGGCTCCTCCGTTGTGCCAGTGATAGACCCTGGTCTTCATTGATCTCGATATGTGCAGCACCAAAATTGGTGTTGGATGCTGTGGTAAGTACATTTTCTTGTGACGAAAAACCTGCACATGAAACCTCGCTTGGAACTATTGAATCAATGTTGGAAGGCTCTGTAATGGGTCCATCGTTCGAAGACACAGTGCTGACACGGACATATGGTCTACCACTACCATCCACTCGGGACTGTTTTGTGGTACCTAAAAAGTCTTTTGCCTTGGATAAGGCGGAAAACAGTCGCTTCTTGCCTTGTGTGCATGAGCGTTGGTGCTTGGTATAAGCGCTCTCCTGCGTAAAGTGACGCAAACAGGTGCACCTGAAAGGACTTGAATTTGTCAACGGATCTGGCAGGTTCATGAAAAGGACGAGGGTGCCGTTGAACTCAATGGTGAAAGGCCGGAGGAAAGAAAATGGGATTTCGGTAGCATGTTAAATACAAACTTTGGCGCTAGCGATGGCCAACATGATATCGCCATGATAGTTAAAAAATTCCCATAGGCCTGGCTCTGGCCACAGGCTAAAGGTGGGAAGCTGGCGCACTTGATGGCGCCAAGAAAGGCTGAGTGAGCCATGTTATAGTTAGTGACGGCCTGATACTATATAAGCAGAGGGAAAAATACCACCTTGCTGCACCAGACTACCCAATGGAACCTCCATCATCCCCTTCCTCTAACATTACTGCCCCACCTGACTATCGTAAAACCTCTCGAAGACTGGCCAAACTGATTGTGGAGGCCATGACCTGCCGTTTCGCTCTCCTGCACTACGACAGCACCTCGAAGTCTATGATTAAATGGTATTGGTAAGTCTTTAATTCTGTGCAAATTCTAGGCATGACAAAACAATGCACAGGCCTGTCGATAGTGATGGAAAGAAGATTCCACCGTCCCATCTAGAGAAGTACCGCAACGGACATGATTTTAAATATCTGTGCTGTCTATGTGCCGATGGCGGTGGAAAAGGGGTATACGTAGAGACAGCAGTGTACTCTTGGTGGAATGAGATTGACAAGAAGATTGACTGGACTGCAAGATGTGCATCGGATACATGTGGATACCGAGGTAAGTGTCATCCATGCCCAAGAAGCACCCAAACTCACCATTTCACAGTGAAAATCAATGTCTACTTCCAACTATTGTCTCTAGGTACCTTCCAATACCCGCAAAGAGGTATGAGCTTGCTTTGCTGCAACACCACAGCTTCATTGACGGATGACTTAGACACAGAACAACGAATCTTACCTATTAGACTTGAGTGGGACCGCAGAGAGCAAGCAGAATTGCTGGACAGGCTTGACTGTGCTGATGGCGAAGGAGTTTCGTGTTTTATTCAAACACTGCAAAAAATGCGAGCGAGTCGGAGTAAGGCCAGTGATGAACCGCCATATCTGTTCGGGAGGAGTACAAAAGAACCACCGTTATCGATAGAAATTAGTTAGTGCTGTAACCAAGTGTCGTGTTTACCAATATGAATGTCAATAACGGGTGACTTCCCGTAGGCAAAATAATGCGGACTATCATCAAACCCGAAAAAGTTACGTAATCAGATATCTCCCAGTGACTTTGTGAAACATTGGTATCATACACCCATTCCTCGTGTCGAACAACGATCTCTTGATGCTGGAGGTGCCCTTGGCCTCATATTGCACTACCTAAACTCTACAATGCATCAAATTAGCCTGCAACAGACTTTTACACTCATCCAAACAACAGTTTCATGGTACCTTTCATTTGGCTTGCACATACACCTCCAGTGCGTGTCATGATCATACAATGCTCATCCTTGGTAGGACTACACTCAGTTGTAGTTGCACACTGGGCACATATGAAGCGGTCCGAAGTTTCTTAGGTAAGTTCTATGCTTGTAAAAGGCCAATGGGATTTCTTTGTTCAAACATAACACTTATGCTTTTTTCACCATCATAGTCCCTTCGGGTCCAACTATCTCGCATCATTGAAATGTTTGCATTGGTTGCTAGTCAACTATATTTCTGGTTATCTTATTTTTGATTCAAGCTGGCCTCGATAAAATCATTCTTTTGGCCTCAGTGCTTTTCACCAGGCAGTAAGATCAGTCATCACCCGCAACTTTAACATTAACAACATATTTTTAGTGTATCTCGGCCCTTAGATATTGGTATGTTCCGTTTACTGTGAAAATTACGACATCTTCCGCTAAAACGAATTCCCGCTCAGCAACAATTATACCTACTCCGCCATTGGATCAGACTTTCGATGTCTTCCCAGTCCAAGATGACTCTGTGATGACCCTGATAAGTCCTTTCACTTCGGTATGTTACTCAACGTATCTTTTGGCATAGGCACCATTTTGGGTGAGCCTTAAATACAAGGACATCATTCATAGGCACCTAATCGTAATTGACGCAGTCATTACCAACCAATTATAAGTGAGCTTCGCGGTCTGTTTGTTGTCGTGATGAATGTCTCAAAGTTCAATGATCGGCTTCTCTCTGTGTGTGACAAGGTGAAGGTATGGGTACTCATGCACTAAGTCATGCGGCACTAAGTTTATCGAAATTAGCCAAAACAATCGTTTCTCGCCATACATATTTCGAAATGTCATTTTCCATTGATCATCGCTAGTAGCCTTATATTCTTGACTGGAATTCAGATCCAACTCACACAGGAACTCCTGATCTGGCCAAGGTTTGAATTTCTGATTTGAGTACGGTTTTCGATTTCGTTCACTAGGGGACTCCGACTACTTGTCTGCCACCGGTCGAAACGAGTCAAAATGCCGTCCTGACATGCCGGCCTGTCGAAAAACCAGACTCTCTGGACTACTTTGGAATTTCAAATGCTAGGTCTCCAATGGCTAAATGAAAGCTTTGCATACATAGGTATTCTGTGGGAACAGCTTCACCAATCTCAATCATATGCTGAGGGTATCATCTGCTATATATAGTCCAACCATAGCCACATGAGGCTGCATACTTGTTTTTTTGAAGGGTGACGGCCAGATAAATTTAGAAGCGGCCAGATAATTATATGATGGCCAACATTTGCATTTGACAGTGAGCGCCGATGAGGTGTATTTGTAATGGTAGTGTCCAACTTCGATGATTTCTAGCACTACAAATAGTACCACATAGTATATCAACAAGTTCAGTTCAAGCACTCACTTGTATATTACCAACCATGACAACCTGTATCTCACCAGAACTGTTCGATTATTCAAGTGATCGTACAAGCATTTCTCAGCTGTCTAGAATACTAGGCAATAAATTCATGGATGCCTACATAGGACTCGGAGCAAATCAGAAGGTTAGTAGATAATTTTACGTCTTTTGTATTCTGATTTGTTTTCTTTTCATATAGCTCCAGACTGAATTATATATACTGTCTTACTTACTCAAAGATCGTGTTTATCCTGATGATCTTTGGCACCTAGTCGGGGAGCGCAGTATAGAGGCGAAGCAAGAAGAAATCTTGGGCAGGCACCAAACCATCTGTCATGAGAGTGATGCAGGGAGGCACGCGGCTGTAGAACGCTTTCTCATTGAAGAGAGGAGGAAACATTGCAATATGGAGGTGTCTTTATACTCGCAGGCTATCGGAATGTTGGAGCAACTCCGAATGCGTGAGCTTCCTAACCCTTGAAATGCAAAGACGAGGTTCTAACCTTTCCATTATTAAATAGTACATATCAGAGCGCCAGCCAAGCACGAGATCAGGACTCCCTCAGCAACCTCGAGGCATGCGGCTGCATTTTTGCCCTGTGTACCTTTACCCTGTGCACCTTTGGCTTGCTCGATTGTTACGCGAGACATATGTGACACTTGGTCAACGAGTAATGACGCATACCTCAACAAGGCTGTGAGACATTTTGGCAGCTCTTGTCCACCCCATGTTCCCCATCAGGAAAGGTCAGCATCCGTCATTTTAATGGTCAGTACTGCATTTTTCTGTTTGGTCGTGTCTAACCATCTCTCTACAGCGCATCAGACCTTCATTGCCCCTACTGAGCACATGGATTACCGTCAAAACACAAGAAGCCTTTACGATGCATTCCGAACGGAGCTGCGCATGCAGGCAGAGCTGATGACGAAGTCCGTTGCTACTAGGCGTAGCAATGCCTACCTATGTAATCTTGGGCTGGATCTACTTATTCTGCAGGCTAAGATGTGCCGTGCCAAAGCTGAGATTCAGCTCTATACCCTGGCAATTCAAAACACCTTTGAATTTACCTCCTCTGATCGCAGTGAGCACAGACTGATCGGGTTCTCCCCTACAGCTGATGTCTTTGCAGGTTCACAAACACCCCGGGACCAAACTATACCACAACCTCCACTCCCCGAAGAACTGAACTGCTACGATGAGGACATTGACAACATTGACAACATTGACAACATTGACGACTATGATGGCAATGGCACAGACGACTGTGACGGTGATGGCACAGACAACGATGACTCTGAAGTTTGCTAACACTATAATTGTACTGCACACGGTTCAGACTCTTTTGGATTATCTACTTTTGGCCCTCCTAGGAGGGCTCTAGCCATCTTTCATTCAGACCATTTGCTAACTGTTGTATCACCGATGCCCACTCTAAAACAATTACTTCATTGACGGATATTGAGGGCAAAGCCTTGGTTGTGTAGTAAATGAACTCGATTGAGTATGATAGTAATTGCTCCGAGTCGTAAGTCATGGTACAAAACCACTCCTAGACATACAGCTTTAACTGTTCCATATAAAAGGAGTGGGTCATCTTGCCGCCAATCATCCAACTAGGTTCAACATGTTCTCTATACCACCATAATGTTGCAGGACATCGTGGCAGTGCTACCAAACTGTCTTTATTCTCAGTCCTCAATTTCACTAAAAAACGGTGTGCCTGTCTCGCGACTTTCTGAGCCTCACACCTTAACTTTGTATTCAGGCTGCTTATGATCAGTTTATTCAAAAGCATGTGACAATCTGACATACTTTGGGCAGGAGAAGAAGCGTTCCATGCGATCTGCCGAGGTGAACAAGTGCTGACACCGTGTGGTGCATATTCCTTCAACACCATCACTCAATAGTTTTCCTCCAACCAGCGCAGTCGGTACTTTTGGTACAGCCCTTCCAGCCTTAATTTCCCAGAGCACTTCATCTCCGTCAGCTGCAGTTGCTCTTTGAGACTGGCGATGGAGTCCGTCTTGTATTTTTCATCATCATTCACTGGCAGAAGTGGAGCCTCGTCGTTGAGTGCTGAGGGGTCGTTGCTATCAACATTTGCCTCACTAGTCTACAGTGAGCTATTAGAATGGTCGATAATGTTGACTGACCTTACACTAGCAAGTTCTACGCTACTTTCGTCAATGTCGCCTAGCACTAACTCAATTCTAAACAAAGGCATCAGTACCCCCCGCCCCCTAGTAGCAGGTGGATGCATCAGGCTCACCGCAGATTAAAGTTGATGTTACGTCCTTGCACTTCGAAATTCTGACCCTGGGGTTGTGGCATGTCGAATCAAGCGGATGTTTTCTGTATCAGCAGGCTGCAATGAGAATATGCAAGGTTATTGCAAAGTCAAGGGAATTATATACTGATGCTCTGTCGTTCTAGCCATCAAATTTCAAGCTTGCCACCTTGGTATGAGGTCCGTATGCAGCGACCAATGGGCGAGCTGGATATACCCTGGCCAACTGTTTAGCTGCTATTCATGGTGGCTGCTGTTTTGGCCACGCCTCATGGCCACGTGTTGCCGTCATTCATCGTGGCTACCAATTAGCTGCCATTCCTCTGGCCATCCCTTTGGTTGTGGCCACTGCGTTGGCCGCCAGTTTCCATCGATATTATGTAGCGCAACGCTGGGGATAAAAGCTGCTTGCAGCATCCACGAAGCCTAGCCTACTCATTGTTCTTCCCCAGCTTTCATGACCACCAAAGGCACCATCCCCAACATTCCAAGCAAACGCGGTTCCTCAGCCCTCCAAATGGGGCCTCAGAAAAAAGTGTAAGCCATTTTCATCGTCAACCACATGTTCTGTAGTCTCACCCCATCTTGCAGTTCCTCATCCGATCCGCTTGTCTCCCATGGACGCCACTTTGGTCGAATGGTCTTTGCACTCTGTAATTATCCTTCCTTACTCACCAACGGTATCCTGAGACTAGAACAGTTGGAGGATAGTCCGTTGGAGGATTTCTCTGCTGAGTAAGAGATATGAATCCCTGGACTCGCATGTTAGCTGATATGCTTCGCAGAGAGCGGCGGGAACATCATGTCTTTGAGCAACTGTTAGACTCATATCCTGGACTCCTTGAGCGATTAAAAGATGGATCTGAGGAGCAAATCCTCCATGTTGGAGAGCTGGTGCATCTGTTTTTGCATGACCCGAGTTCATGCTTACAATTGATCTACAGATTGGCAAAGGAGCCACAGGTGCTAGAGGTGACAACACCAAGACACTGAAGTCGGCAGTACTTGATTGGATCTCCCCCAAGGGAGAAGCAATACAGCCTCCATTACATTGAAACTCCAAAATTGACCGTGGTTTCAACCATGAACTCACCGGGTCTCTCCTCTGTCCTGCTGGGTTGGATTGGAACGACCCTCGGTATGTTTCAGTTTTCTGGTATCTGTGCAGTCCTGAATATTTGTCACGTTTGTTTGTAACAGGACGAAAGAGAACCTGCGAAGTGGCGAAATGCTGGTGTGTGGAGACCAATGGCCTATCTTTTTGTATGCCAACCACGTTTATGACCCTGAAGATCCATGGTGCGGTCTTCTTAGGAGCCGCTTGCTAATATATGTGAGTGTGCGCTCATATTTTCGTATATTCCGTTCACTACACGGTAATTCATCAGGCCTACAAACATGTTTTCACATCTCCAAGTTCGGTCGACAGGGAGCCGAAAGCTACGTGTTCCGGAAATGCTCGCCTCCATGGCATGAATTCAGTCACAATAGCTTCCCTTGCTTATATCGCAACTCAGGTTCATCGAGCAATCACACTTCTGTGGCAGGATGATTTTGATGTAAGGCTGAAGGTGCAATTTGCTCTAAGCTCATCCTCAGTGTTCTTGTGGACCGACACATCCACAGACTCGGAAACATTTTATCATAGCCTACTCGATCTCTTGGAAGACCCCGAGGAATGTCAGGAGGTTGATGAGCTACTGATTTGGTGGAACCGGTATTTTTAATCATCCTTCACCATGTCGCTAAGGCTCATTGCTACTTATGCAGCCAAGTTCTTCCTGCCTCCTCTGCTGCCAAGAGACCTATCAGTGCTAACAGCGCCCTATCCAAGATCCGACAACAACGCATTGCCCTCAAACAAGCTACAAATACTCACATTGTCTCCTCATAGTTATTTTGACACTTTAACATATCTATCCATACTTAATAGAATGATACCCTACTTTGAATTTTATCACACCACAGACAAAATTGCAGGAAAAAAATGTGCTATAGTCTGTTCATTTTAGCTCGTTGTCGCATCCATCCACCCTGCCATGTTATGTAAGATGAGATCAGGAGCCAACATCATGCTTGTGAATGAAAATGATAAGCAAGCATTGTAATATTCTATGTGACTACGTCGTTCGGGGGTTAGGTGTCAATTCACTGTCACTCATAGCCTGAAGTGTGCGCTTAGCAGGCTCGGGCATCGCAGACTAGTGTTACAACTGCGTACCTAATGTCAACACCGGGTGAGTTGTTGTCAATGGTGCAATGAATAGCTCTGTTTGTATAACCCGAGCATGCAGGCGCAGCTCAGTAGTGCGCTGCGGGCACTTGACACCTTTGAGGTGTAGGTAGCGTTGGTCCAACACAGTCCAGCCACATAAATATTTACTTGAGGCTAGCATTTGTTCAGTGATCGGGGAGTATAAAATGATAAACCAATCGTGCATACCATTATAAATCTCACCGAGGCTAGGGAAAAATGATAGTGAACTGTCGCATGTCGCCTAAATCGTGTATGTGGCAGAACCGAGCTTAACATACTAGTATCACAACTACATACCTGTTGTCAGCATTGAGGGAGTGGTTGTCAATGGTGAAATCGCAAGCTCTTCCTACATAACGCAGGCATACAGGCACAGCTTGGTATTGCACTGTGGGCACTTGGTACCCTTGGCCCGTAGGCAGCGTTGGTCCAACGCAGTCCGGCCATATATATATTTACCTAAGGCTAACATTTGTTCAGTGATTGCAAATGAAGTAAAAATAGCCGACGGTTGCATGCCACGACCAGCAGGGGGCGGAATTGTAGCGTATTGCCAGTGATCTTCAAGTAGGCAGCCTGTTGGCTTATCCGGCATCTCGGCGATAAGTTGCAATTAGACTGTCACAATTATGCATTTGGCAGATTCCATCAAAGTAAGTCCAGGTATTCAAAAGTTTCTCATGTGGGGTACAATTCTGATAGTTTTTATGCGAATTTTATGCTAGATAAAGCTTTCTAAGGATTTATTTTTTTCGGGTCGGTTACCTGATGCTCAGTACAAGGACTTTTGGCTGCACTAGTTATTTTTTTATGTTTTTACTCCATGTCACAAATTAGGTTCGATTCGCCAGGCGTGTGACGGTGTGACGAACCTAAGTGCGTATCTATACAGTATATTGGTGATGAAGGTGATGTTAGCTAGACGCAGGACTCCGCATCAACGTAATCAGCAACAAGAGTTGCAGCTTTTGTACTGGGCGATTTTTTTTACTTGATTGTCCCGTGATGGAAGAACTTCGTGCCAATGGTTGGTGGCGACTTGTGCAGTATCCTGACACTTATAGACCTGTGTTTCACTTTATTGGCTCGAGTTACAGCTTTCCGTCACATGACAATTCAAGTAGAAGACAGTACATTAGGCATGGGAGGACTTGGTTGGCCGGCTTGGAAATTCATCGTTCCTATGTAAGGTCAAACATCTCTATGTAACTCTCACCGCCACCTTTATGAAGATTGTTGTGATTTTTAACCATATATAGTCAATTATGGTATTATAATATGTTCATCGATTCACTGATGATAATGCTCAATCTTATCGAGAATTTGATTCTCCGTGTCGACTTTCTGAATAAGAGCATTCAGCTGTGCTCATGGTGTCCTCAACTCCTAGAGTTGATGAACGTGTAAGACGAGTTGCCGCTGTTGAGAGTTGTATTAGCCCTCATAATAACCCATCGTCACCCATGGCATGAGGAGCAAGGTTGTTGATGCTGGGAAAAGGGTAAGTGTATGTCCCTCCCTCTTGCCATATCTACTTCTCACACTCACTCAAACCGCACTCGACCTCCAATCCCAAGACCCACCGTCCTACATCCGCGGCTGAATGCACGCATGCCAGCATCGTGCGCAGCCCACCCCCTTCCCCCTCTCCATACTTCAAAACTCAAAACATTCATTCACGACCACCTCCTCTACATGGACCCTGCACGCGTTTTTCCCACCTTGCCCAGCACGGCCAGTTCCAGAGTTGCGGCCCCAGCCCTGTCGCATACCCTTCCCGATCCAACAGTTCAGCTACCGCAGCAGTACATTGCATGTTGATATCAAGGTCCCGATTATGTTGAGTTGGGTGGAGGATGTTGAAGCCGTGGAAGAAGGGGAGCTGGAGAAAGCGCGAATGGAGAAGGAGGAGGAGAGGTTACTTTGGAGGGGGTTGACTACGGGGATTCATCAGAGGCTGGGTGGTGCAAGTATGTCCTTGATGGTGTAGTCATCTTCTTTCTTTTCCTTTTCGTTGCGTTGCTAGGTGTGAACGGCTGGTCGACTCGGTCCAAGAGGCTGGTGACAAGTAATTTGGTCCAGTTCAAGTCTACGATGTATCCTGAATGGTGCGTGTCCTTTCTTGTCGTGTTTTAATTCTTCTCAACGTTTTCTTTCCTCCCTTTTTCCACCCCACAAAATCCCTCGCCCAATCCAAAATCAATAACCCCAACCAAAAAGGTTTACCCACCGCATCGCTCCCTGGGTGCATTACATCCCCATCCAAACTGACTACTCTGACCTGTATGACGCGTTCCTCCTCTTTTGCGGACTCGAGCGGGCACGGTGCACATGAAGACCTTGCACAGAAGATTGCGAGGGCCAGGGAGTAGGGTTTGGGGTTTTGGAGGAGGGAGGGTATGGTCGCTTATCTGTATACGTGAGTAGGTATGTGCGCACGAAGGGTTGCGTTGCGTTGGATGTCGGATTCCATCTCGCGCGCGATGTTGATTTGTTTTATCCTTACTCTTCCAGGTTATTCGAGTATGCAAGAGCCATGGGCTCAGATCAGAATTCGCTTAATTTCGAATTGGAGTTATAGGGATTCGGATCTGGATTTGAACCCCGTGTGCACCTCTTTTTAGATTCGGAACGGCTCGGTTGATCGTTGCAGAGACTTCCATAACAAGCTTAGCATGACTTGCACATCTCAAGTAGCAGACACCGCACCACACACGCTTATACCTCACACATGCCACGCGTGTTCTCATACCTCTGACGTATTCCTGTACCGCATACACCATGCACACTCCTTACTGCACCTCACGTTGTGGAAAGCTCCCGTCACGCGCCGCATGCACTCGGGCTGCGCATTTATTCTATGTACGCATATCTTATACTTCTTTATTAGATGTGTTTCGTCACTGCGCAGGGTCACTGCAAGTTCAAATGATGAAGCGATGACCGACAGATTGGGTTATGCTACAATGTTTCACATCTGCAGGTTCTACCAAAGTTTCTGCTATCCGATAGCAATAACAAATTCTGCCACATAGACCAGAATCGTGTCCATCAGTATGTGACAGCTGGCCGTCCTCCTATAGTGTTTTCATCCTTAGAGATATCCGAGATCACCCTCAGAATATTCCATATCACTTCGCACAGAAAATGCGTTTCTCCCTCCTCGCCGTTGTTGTTGCTTTGACAGTATCTATGTCTATCAGTGCATGTTTGACCCAGGGTCAACGCTGCAATACCACTGCCGAGTGCTGCATTACCCTTGACTTGATTTGTCGCGAAAATGGCGTGAGTCTGAGCAGGTCGCTGTGCAACCAGGATTCAACCACATGACTCACCTGCGCGACTTAGAGAGGTTACCACTGCGAGTACGTAGAGTTAGTTGAAAATTGAGCCGGCAGCCCGAGCGGCACGTCGCGACAGTGAGCCATGTTTCTGCTTTCGCTTTTGTATCATGATTGATGGTGCAATACCTAGTTCGCCAATCAGTACAGTTGTTTTTAGGCAAATTTTTGTACTGCTCGAGCAACGTGGAAGTTTGAACTTATCTAAAAATTATCGGATGTGCCTAGTGTTGCTTGTGGTCCACTGAGCTTGAGTTTGAGAGATTATCGAAAGTGCAAATGTTGCTGATGACTTGATATACCTAGTCGCTTGTCCTTGTGTAGCATTGATGTAGCTTGAGGACGAATAATTACAGTGTGGTCGACCTGCGTTGCTGCAGCATCTACATCTGTAACATTCTCTGGGACTGTGTTGAACACGATCAAACATTAAGCAGATAGCTATACTAGAGCAGGATGGTGTTCGTCTGCATTTTCCTTCGGTAAAGGGCGTAATTATCTCGATGCGGTCCTGGCGCGGCACTGACGAGCCTTTTGAAATCACTGGCCCTTGGATCAGCAACAACGACAGTATACAACATTGATGTGACGCCACAGTCGATATGCTTGAGCTGGCCACCACAAAGGTTACCAGCCCTGGGTGTCTGTGGACGGTGGACGTGGGACCGCCTCATACTAGGTTCGTCACAAGTAATGACACCCAGGCAAACACGTCACGTCTGATTCTGTTAGGATAAAAGGAGAAACTGTTAGAATGACAATTATTATGACAGATCGAAAATATACCTCAGTTACACGGACAGTTGAAGTGCTGACGCACAGGGTACTTCAGGTTAGACGCAGCATGTGGTAGCTGTGATGTGGCATAGGTAAACGCGGAGGTTGACGTGGTACAGAGACGGTGAAGATTCTTGGGAGAACTTGCCGTGGTATGCGTAGTGCTTGACCCAGCCTTGACATGGTAGTGCAGAGTATAGAGGGTGGATCAAACTTGACAAGACGGGGTCGGGGCTTGCTCTAGGGCCTGTAGACAGGCAGATACTCATAGTATGTTGATCATGAACGAGGATACAAAGTGTTCGGAATTCAGTTCGAGTGACATATGATGATGTTTGAACATGACCTCAGGCTGGCACGGCAGATTCAAAAGTAAATGTGCCGTAAAGGCACGCATGTGAAGTTCGTGTGAATTCATGGTCTGGATTGAATCATCTTCATTTGAAGTCTTTGAGGTTCACTCAGACGTATCTTGAGAAGGATGGTGAACGTTTGAAAGTATGTTCACTGGTGACGATGTATTAGACTAAACTAAACGAAGGATTTACAACGAAGGTGTAATGATAGTTTTCGGGCGAGGACGCGCAGCGTCATCCGGCCCCGAGGTGCTAACCTGAAATAGAGGTGAGCTGCGATTCCCAATGATTAGGAGGCCCGACGACGCATCCAGCGAGGCTCGGATACCCCATACTATTAGGAGGAGGGAACTCACCACAAAGTAAGTGTCTGCCGGCTCTAGCGAACTGGAGGGAGATTGACAGTGTGACACAAGAATTGCTCTTGCAGCGCGGGCGCGGCCTGCATGTAAGGAGCTAGGATTTGTGCATGACGGCGTAAGTACACGAGAAAAGTGTCGCTTGCCCAACGCCCTTTCACTTTTACGACGTCGAAGGGGACATTCCTTAGAAGATACTCCAACGTGGATCCAATCCTTATGCCATGTAGTGCTGCCGCGGTCCGGTCCAGAACCATGGTTCGAACCGGACTTTTGGTCCGGTTCTCCGCGGTTCGGTCCATGGTTCTCGCGCCAGCCAGAACCGGACCGGAAAACGGTTCTCGGTTCTAGATCTTCCCAAACGGTCCAGTTCTGGTTCGGCCTTCCCGAACCATTCTGAACCCTTATCCACTTCCACTTCGACAACTGTCGTCTTCGGGATTCACGTTGTTGATTAATCAAGCTACATTTAGCCTTTTCGAAGGTAAGCACTAACTAATTAAACTCTCAAGTCTCTCACCCGCTCACCTCTATAACAGGAGGTTCTATTCATTGAGGACGGTGGATTTTGGAGGGATTGTGTCTTGCGCTATGCTGCAGAGGTGTGTATTTGTGCTCTGAATGCTGATGGCTCCCTCGAGGGCCAGCACCCATCGCTACCAGCGCACGACCCATCACACGCCACACCACCTGCGCCTATGTTGATGCCCGCCACCTCACCGCATCCCCTCTCACTCGCTTGCTGTTCTTTCTGGCTGGCTTTTGCTGGCTCGCTCGCCGTGTCTCACTCACCCACTGTCTCTTGCTCACTGTCTCACACACCCGCTGGCTGCTCTCGCCCACTGTCTCTCACCCCGCTGTCTCTCACCCCGCTGTCTCTCACCCCGCTGTCTCTCACCCTCCGTCTCTCACAGCCTGCCTCGATGACCTACTTTCGGATCCAAAGGTGAATTGATATGCATGTCTCATTGCATATTCTCACAACTGAATGCGCTCTGCTAGGCCAACAAGTTGGCACTCCATGTACGGGACACGCCACCCATGTACGGGACACGCCACATGTTGACAACACCACCGGGAAAGTTGGTCCCGTTTTCTGGAATGTAGCTCTTGGTGGCGCAATGGTCTCATTCGAGTTTTGGGCTACTCAGTGAGTTCTCTCTGGCATGCTTTGTGGAGCTCAAGTATGTGTAACGTTCCCACCGGTCGCATCATATTTTGGATCGAACCTCTCGTGCCAACCCAACTCCCAGTACCCTCTCACTTCCTTTGGCACCCTCTCGCTACCTTTGGAGCCCTCCCGCCATCAAGTTGACAAGTTCAGCGCCCTCTCACTACCTTCAGCATCCTCCCGCTTAGCACATCCAATGCCACCAGCACCATGCGCAAACGCGCAGCGCATGTAGACTCGACTCTAGATGGGGAGTTCTCTCAGCTGCAAAGGTGCGTCATGGTGTTTTATTGTTTCAGTGTCTAATAAATTTATTATTTGTATATGGTACCCGCGCTCGCCACCATCTCACGCTGCTGCTCACTGCCATCTCCTGCTGCTGCTCGCCGCCATCCTCGACCCATGCTCATGATCGCCATCCTTCGCTGCCGCTTTCCTATTTCTGGTTGTGTCAACCCCTCGTTATCACAATCACTCTCCTGATACCTCTCGCGCATGGTAATTGGGGGGGAGCAGCCATGTTATTAGATTAGTTACTCAACATGTATACTACTTAGTACTTTGTCAATGTTTTTTTGCGTGCTCTTACAGTTTTTTTTTTGGTTCGGTTTGGGTTCGGACCCCCAAAAAACCGAACCGGACCATAGAGAACGGTTCTCTATGGTTCGGTTCTGGGTTCGGACATTTTGTAGAACCGAACCGATGGTCCGGTTCTTGGTTCTCGTCTAGGACCCTCCGAACCGGACCGAACCGGACCACGGCAGCACTAATGCCATGACCTTGCACAGGTTGAAGACCGGCAGCTTTAGTTGCAGATGTTAGGCGCTGCAGGAACTTAGTTTTTGTCAGCGGCCGATGTGAATCGTTGTGTCAATATGCGAAGAGAGCGCCGTTGTGAGGGGGGTCATTGACGCGAATGTGATTGGCTAATGCTTCTTCCGGGTCTGTTGGGCCGTCTTGCTTGGCCCAAGACACTTCTTCTCCTTCCGGCGCACTTTTTGTTCGAGGGAGGAAGAAGTTCTTCATTGGGAGATTCTGCCGGTCACGGGTGTCTTTGACGTTAGAGAGTTTCACGTGGATCAGCGGGTCGAAGGCATCAAGACGAGGGACTGTAAATTCCCCGGCTCGAGCTGTAGCGAAGAAGGTTGTGGTGAGACAAGCGAACACGGCTGCGTCAAGAGGGTTGAGGAGGTCTAGGTGTTGGCGGATGGCAGCCATTAACTCAATGGTGTACGGTTCTCGCTTACTTCTCCTCGAAGATGCTGGAGCGAGGGAGATGGATGCTTTGAGGAGTGTTTCTATTTCCATTTTGTTGAGGGACCAGCTTAGTCCGTGCAGAATGTGCCATGCGCGGACGCCACAAACGTAGTTAGTTATCGTTTTGGCTGAATAGTGGCCGGCCATAGATGTGATAAAGGAGGATACTAAGATGTGGCTTGCGGGTGCACGCTGGTTCTCGGGGATGCTTTTGCTGTCGCAGAAGATGTGGAAGGTTAGTAAACCTGATCCATATGTCTCGCGGGTGGCTTCCGTGTAAGCGTGGATCATGGTATCGCGGATGCGTTGGAGGTCTGCAGGGAGTAGGGGCACGATCTTGCCCTTTTCGTCGCGGGCAGTGCGAGATGATGACGGGTTCCAAAGGTATAACCTTTCTTTGGCCGGGCAGTGAGGGCGCAGTGAGGATGGGAGGGGGGTGAGGGTCATATTATAGGCTGTGATTGGGGTGAGTGGATGGCGTTAGTTGGAGGCCAGACTTTGCGTCAGACTTACTAGTCTTGCGACGCTTTGAATAATTCTTCGCCGCAGTGTTCGAACTCGTGGTTGATGAGCACGCGACGGTGGAGCTCTGGTTCGGTGCGGCTTCTGCCCATTGGGTGAAACGGTTGGCTGGTGGGGTTGCGCTCTCGCGTTCTGGAGGACGCGATGGATTCGGTGACCTCTTTGATGAAAGGGTGCAGCTCCGTTGGGATGTCAACTGGGGGCAGTAGGAGGCTAATGGGAGGGTAGACTCCGCGAGACGGGCCGTCGGCTGGATTGTCTTTGCTTGGTACGTATCTAGTAAGAACTGTGCACTTGGCACTAGAGATGACTTGATGAACGCGCTTGAAGACTTCGTTTGAGGCGCGGTTCCTGCTGCGGCCTGTCCACCATCCCTCGACAATGCCCATGTTGTCTCCGAATACCTTGAAATGAATTCCGGAGGCTTGAGCATTGACGATTGAGCGGACGAGGAGCTCGAAGCCAACACTTTCAGCCCAGCCGATGTCGCGACCGTCTCTCTTCCAACCTGGTATAAGGTCCCAGGCTCTCCAGTGCCCATTGATGAAGATGCTGATCCCATGACCAGAGCTAGCGTCCGAATAGGCATGGAAGTCATGTATGATGCAGGGTCCGGGAATTGGGCAGGATAAGAGTGCATTGCCAAGGGTGTCTTTCCACCAGTGGATGTCGTCTGGGGTGTTGCGAGGAGGGGTGCGTGGGAGGAAAGGGCGGTCGCTGAACATGCCCAACATTGCCTCAAGGTTGGTGAGGTAAGCTCGGCCGGCGGGGATAATGTGGGCCGCGTGTAGTAATTTTCCGTAGAGCTTCTGTACTTCTTGAAGAAAGTGAGTACGCCTCGATTGCCAGGTGGAGATGGCGAGAACATATTTCTCTCTCTTCTTGGTGGAGAGCTCCACAGTGCGCGCTGCGACGTTCCAGATAAAGCCGGTGAACAATGGGCTGGGGCTGAAGGGTCTGTCTTTCGACAGTTCCCAGGGGATTCCCAGTATCAAGGAGAAGTGGTCGATGTCGTCCATGCAGTAGGTGAATGTCGCGTCTTCCGGCGAACGGGGAGAACGGTGCGATAAGTCTCGAATTGGTGCGGATGCGTCTTCATCAAACTCCTCACTACAGTTGTTAGGCATTGTGGCGCCCTTGTACCACTTGTGGCCCCCACTAATGATAACATTTCCGTTCTTGGCGATCTCTCTTGCCCAGTGAGCGCGTCTGTTATTATATTCTTCCAGGTACTCATGTTTGATCCGTAGGAAAAGATGGTCATCGACCCACTTGGAAGCTGGGCCGATGCCTTTCGCGCGGAGTATGTCAAGGCCGGCGTCGCTGATGTTGCCGTAGATGCCGGCTGATGGGCCAAAGCCGAAGCACAGGGCAGTATCGATTGCAAAGGCGTCGTTGCCCGGGAGTTGGATGGCCAGAGCTGCCCATTGGGAATGGTGGAGAGGGACGGTGCGGTAGGCTTCTGCGACATCTCGCACCGCGCCCTGGGAACCTGGGGGTAAGCGCCAAATGGTGAGGCAGACGGTCGAAAAGGTGCCGTATGTACATGGGAATAGGTCAGAGTCGACCCTTGAATTAATAGAGCTGATAGTTCGAGAAGGGTTGTGAGGGAATGATAAGTTCTGTATAAGGCGATATTTGCCTGGTTTTCCAGGCTTAGGTACAAGGGAAAGTGGGGCAGTCTGAAAATGGCCGATAGCCGATTCAAGATCCTGGGCGGTGAAGGGTCCAAGGAAACGCCCCTTTTCGAATTCAATATTGACAATATTCCAGAAGGCCTCGACATGCTCTTCGATGGAGGGATTATTGGGGGGTTTGTAGGTACATTTAATCGGGGGAATACCTCCGGAAAAACCTGACACCAGGCACTCTGGAATATGATGATATCTACTAAGAAGCCCTGTCTCCGTGAGGAGCAGGGTCCATCCTTCAGGTTTGTACGGCGTGCGAGCCTTGTACTTTCTCTCCTCGAGGACAGCTTTGAGCGCCGTGCTCTTTGCTTCCGCATCCAGAGCACTCGTGGTGGAACTCGTGGTTCCCGGCATGGCAGCCATTGGGGCGCTGCCATTTGAAACACAGAGGGTTTCCCTGGGGATTGACGAGGCGGTTGTCCTGCGTCTTGCGACAGTATGATGGGTTTCCGTCCCACAGCGTTGTGGATTCGCAACGCTGTATGTCGTGGGAGAAGCGGCCGAGGCAAACGGTGCAGGCTGATTGGCCGTGGGTGCCTGCGCTCTGGGAAAAATCCTTTCTGTGGGAGTTGCGGCTCTTGGAGTTGTCCGGAGACAACTTTTGGTTGTCGTTGCCTGAACGGCGTGGGGAACGTGAACGTGAGCTGCAGCGGTTGTACTCGTGATTGTCTCGACGTGAATCGCGGTGTTGGTCTCCATAACTAGCCTTGCGGTTTTGGGACTGGGGAGGTGGGTAGTCACTTGTCTTGGGCTAATGGGGAAATGTTGTGACATATGTGTGGCCGGGGAGTAGACGATCGTCATGGTGAGGTGTAAACGTCCGTGTAAGCAAGAGTACGGGCATCCGTTGACCTGCACCAAACTGGTTCGGTGCATGGATGACTAATGCTCTCTCACGAGCCCGATACCCTAGAAATCATTATGAACAATCTTCCTTTACTTTATGGTTCAGACTGCAGTTCAGATAGTATTTTCATTTCTCAGACAGACTCAGATAGGCTGAATATTCTTGTATATTTAATTTTGCGGTAAATTCTGCTTAGTCAGCAATAACAATGGCTCAGACTGAATCCCACACATGTCAAGTAACAGTGTAAAATAGTTCTTGCATAATTTGCCTTGTGGGAACTTTCTTAACACTCTAAATACATGGCTCGCGTCATTTCTACGGTCAATAAAGTAACATCATAACAAGACACCAACAAATAACATAATCAGTCTGTTACTTAATATTTGTCACATGATACTAAGTTATATGACTCTAACAGTCAGGTGACCTATGACCCTAAACCAAATCATGACAAAGCAACCTTTTGAGATGACTAAAGCTTGATGACACAAATTATAAAGCACATGACTACAGTAAATAGTATTGGTACAATCTGACTAAGCCTATTCCCCTTAGAACGTGGGAAATAGTAACACAGCCACCATAATTTATCTATATAAGACCCCACTTTTTGCCAATAAAAAAATGCATATAGGGAACTTTTAAGCCCCACAAAATAAATTTGAGTGTGAAGTGTGATCAGTATCAACAACAGTGACAAGAGCTGTTAAGCAACTAACTGAGAGGTCATTGTAAGCAACATCCAGCAACACCTTTAGCTCATCGTCAACAACTGTGAAATATCTTGAGCTCACTGTGCTCAACAGTGAGCAAACTTTTTCTTTGATTTTCTACTGGTGAACCTCTAGTCTCTTTCTTTTCTTTTCTTTTCTTTTCTTTCTTCTTTCTCTCTTTCTTTTTCTGTTTCTTTGTTTGTTTGTTTCTTTTCATTTGTCTCTTTTTCTGTTCAGTTCATTCACGTCTCAGTGTTATTGTCTGAATTTGTTTCAAGATCTTTGTGTTGTCTTTACGTCCATCTAAGCACCGGCTTAGTGGGAAGACTTCAGAAGTTGATAGTGACGCTTGACCTCACTCATCTGAGTAGTGATACTGAGCCAGGGTTTTCTTTGTCTGCTAGACTTTAGTTGTTGAATAGGGGACTTGGTACTGAAATCCAAGGACGTCCGTTCCTGATTCTGTTTAATACTCATCGTGAGTTCCTTGGCAGCAGGTTCAATGGTGAACTAAGAGTTCTACTGATCACTGATTAGTCCTGACCTTTGTTTCTACCTGTTTGTGCTGAGGGGGTGATTGCTATAATTTCGCACGACTTTCTGTAGTAAATTTATTACAAGAAGCATTGTTACTGAAGGAAGGGTTTCTCTTATCAATCTATTTCTTTTTTTTATCAGTACCATACTGTTGGGCTGACTACATTCTGTTTATTTTATTTTCTATTGCGTCCATACTGTTGGATTGACTGGTATTGCTACTGACCTCACAGGAAGTACTTTTGTCTGAACATAGCTTGGGGAAGTGTAAACAGCCACCCACGAACAACCACATTATCAGTCATTGGTATTTGTCTGAATCACTGACCGTGGAGATTTTTGATTTTGTAGGTGTTTATCTATAGATCATCTATCTAAGAAGACACCGTGTTAAGAAGGGTACGGGCATCCGTGTAAGCAAGGGTACAGGCATCCGTGTGAGTGGGTATGGGCATCCACGAGAGTGATTCGTGGGCATCCGCGTGAGCAAAGTGCGGGGAGGAGGTTTGTTTGTTATTGCAAAGAGAGTTTGCGCAAATGTAATAAATGAAAGAGTTTGTGAGTTGTTGAATTACACGACTAATTAGAGGATAGACGTACCGCAGTTAACGTTTTAGAGCGGATTCTGTCCCAGAGCTCCTCGTTGATCGCACAAAGGAGGGTTTCATTGATGATAGCGATGTTGAAACCTTCGTCTCGTTTGAGACGGTCGTGCCAATCTAAACAGACACGTGAGGCGTAATGGAGGATGACCGTGTCTCCGATTTCACTGTTGTTGCGAATGGGGTGGTTCTCGAGATGCCAGAAAAAGAGGGAAAGAGCATCAATGTGGCTCTGTGGCCATTTGGCTTTACTGAGTTGCATTAGGAATAAATTCTTTGCGCGGAGGAAAGTCAGGAATGGGAGGTCGTGATCTGCAATGGCTGACTTCGAAGCTTTGAAAGCGTAGGCCGGGCGGATCGTTAACTGGTCGTCAACCCTGGTGAGGCCGAAGTCGTCCGCGACTGATCGCGCAGTGCATAGCACCTCCTTGCAGCCATCCAGGGAAAAATACCATAGCTCTATATAATCGAAATTGTTAAGCTTTTGGGTTGCATATTGGGAAGGACGCGGGAAGATGGAGTCTCCTACTGAAACAGTCTCGTCGAAGCTGTTCATCTTTGGTTTCTTTTTCTCGACCTCCGCTTTCTCCTTCTCAGCTTCCACTTCTCGTTGTATGCGAGCCTCCTCTTCCTGGGCTGCACGTGCTTGCTCGACTTCTGCAGCCTCAGCCGCTTCCTGCTCCCTGACTAGGTTCCAGTCATTGACTCTCTGGTTGTGACCATCGGTCCATGATTGAATGAGACATGTGACGACGGCTTCTTGGGTTTGGCCGGTTGCTCTTTGTATGTCGCCGCAGATATTTGCGTACACTGGACCGTCGAAGTCGGGACAGACTTCTAACGATGGGTCTGCCATGTAAATTAGAATATGCTAGAGAGTTGTTTGGTGTAGGTAATAGGTGAGAAGAAATAAAAACGAGCAAGACGATACTTCTGAGTGCGAACGATTGTTGTGGCACGGAGACAAGAAGCGTAATGCCACGTCCGACGTTCGCTCGAAGACCAAACTCTATTCCTCCGCTCGTGCCTCGTTACATAATAGACTACCTACTACAGCCTGTTGAAGGTCTTGGAGCAAGAACGGATTTCCGGATATGCACACTATAGCTATAATCCCGCAAACACTACCTCAATTCCAAGTTTCAGCTCATCATCGCCACTAGTCCGACATCACGCAGAAGAACTCACACATGCATCAATCAGTAAACGAGCCATGCCTCTGCTGCCTGCAGAACCGAGTCCCATCCACCAGGCCCATTCTCCCATAACTGCACGCTCTCTACCTCGTCCTTGCCCAGCTTAAACCCGTTGTAGAGGTGTGGAAACATGCCCTCCCCTCCGCGCGGACCGCACACCTCTGCCTTTGGATCTTCCCACTTGATATTCTCATCGACAGGGTCGTAAGGGATGCGGAGTATGTAAACTTGGGCGTGGTCTTTGAAGAACCAGTTGAGTGTGTTTGGGACCTGGTGTGCGGTGGAGAGGTGGATGAAGCCATCTGTCTGGTCAAGGTCGCTCACGGGAAGCCGTTCAGGAAGGGGATCAGGTGGGGCTGCTGATGTTGGAATGAGCTTGTAGATGTAGGTTGGTTTGGCATCTGATGGTGTGGCCATGGTGTTTGGAGAGATTAAGATTGTGGGCGAATTCAGATTGTAGTGACAATATTAATGCAAACAGCTTATCGATGGGATGGACCAAAAATGTACACGAACACATTGGAATTTGGAAGATAATCTGATGTCCACATGGACAGTCACACAGTACATGGTGTCAGCAGTCGTTACAACAGATACGTAGCTCGTAAAATGTATATATATCGTGCGACGTGAATCCTCGAATATCCTCAAGGCTCACACCATGTCTTTCCTCGTCTTCTCCCTTCTCTTACTATGCATGATCTTCCATAAAGTAAGAATTGGCCACACTGCACGTCTCAGGAATGGAGCATTGTGGTCGTGGAATGAGCTATACGTCTGAAGCGTGACGACGATGTAAATTGTGAAGAGCGTGAGCGAAACGGTGACCTCGACGTAGCGACCGAGCGTCTGTAGAGATCCTGAATTGAACTCTACGACGTTCATTCCGAACACAGACTGAGAGTATATGGGGTCAGATAGGTTTCGCACTAAAGAACATCCGTGCTTACGGCTAAGAAGCTGGCCGGCAGGAAGACCATCGTGAGGTATGAGATCTAAAAGTTTGTTGTTGTCCAATAAGTCACTTTAGTTTCAGACAAGAAAAGTACCTGTTTCATAGCTGCCGAGTCTCTGACCGTCGCCTCTGTCAGTTCTCGCGTTTGTCTACTGTCGTAGATATTGACAGTTGCGAAAGCAAGGTCCATCACATTCTTCAGTCGGTTTCCCAGCATCGCACGTCGCCTTTCTAGACGATCTATTTCGCTGAGTAGATTTTGAGACTCCATCTCCATAAGTTTCTTTGACTCTTTGCGCTCTTCAGGGGAGAAGTTACTAGAGTCCATGGCCGGATTGTGGGTCTTCGCGATAAATTGTACTGATACCTCAAAGTTATGAAGCAGTGATTGATACTGTAAGAGATGCGCCTGGAGGATATGAAGTTCGCGCGTGAGCTCCATGTTATTCGTTTGGAGTACTCTCGACTCCTGAATGTTCTTTAGTAACACGCCACTTCTACTCTGCACGAAGATGGCACACCAGTTCACTAAGATGCTTGTACAACAGCTCAAAGGACTCATCCCATGCATATAATGCATACCACAAAATCGCGAGGAAGAGGAAAGTCGGGTCTTTTGACTTGTCGAATAGTTTTTGCCAGTACACACTGGCCCCCACGAGCTGCATGAGCGAGTAGAGGCGCTTCGCGGATGTCCGACACCACGTAGACTCGGGATGGTAGGAGATGACGGTGCTCGTCTTTACGCCGCGGACCATGTGAATTGCGAGGAGGTCGATAAAAAGCATGTTGCCATCTAGGAAGGACGTTGGAATATGAATATAAGGACCTTTATGCACATACCACTCATAGGGAAAGGAGCCTGGGTGTTGATCTGAGCATCTGCTGAATGTGAATAGGATGACTACGACAGATGATGAGTCACTTACTCCTGGAGTTCGATGGTAATGTTAGAGAGGTGGGTGTTGATCGAAAATCTTTGCGCAGCGTTCGTACAAATGGCAGGGTAACAGTAATGTCTATAGCACAATATCAGCATGGAACGCAAAATGGAAGATTTGAACTTGCGATCTCCTTTGTTATAGATAGGCGCTTCCTGGTATCGTGAGGGTATCCAATTTATGGAGGATGTGAAAAAAAATGGTTCGATGTTGTATCTGTGTATGTATGAGGAGCCTCAGAGCAAGTAGATAAGTGAAAAAAAGCCACGTACCTTGTGCCCAGCATGCGCAAGACTGACGGGGTTAAGTCGTCTACAAATATCGATCGCACTCGGATATCGTCTGGACGCTACAAACTGTCTTATGCCCTGACTAGCATACGAGGGTGGTGAGACTCACTTCCCCCTGTAATATATCCCAAAACCCATCCTCAGGTTCATGTTCAGGTCCCACTACTGTAATATTACCCTTTCCTCCGATATCTGAGCTTGCAAAACTCCCGTTGTTGCGCACATCCATCCAGTAAATGGTGCTAGTCTTATTCACCTGACACTTCTCCATCATCTTGCTACGGCCTACTTGGTCTGGTGTCCAGTTCCCGAACTGGTTTTGAGGGTACCCCCGCCAGGATGGATCAATGGCAGTCGTAGAGGCCGTAGAATCTACTTCGAAGTCCATCCATGGCCATGGTCCCGATGGTGCCGCATGTCGATATCTGTGGTGAGTATTAGTCGACAACATGAGGAAAGTAAGCGGAAAGAATTACGGTGGTGCGGGTACCGCAGGTGGCATGGCTATATTACCATCCTTGAGGTTTTGAAGAGCAACGTCCAAGTCCTTCGAGTCGTCATGGCGCACTCTAAAGGCGGCGGCCAGTGTTCGAGTCATGGTGTCCTAGCGGATAGAACTAGTTCATGCAGGAATTGTCGTGAGGAAGGAGGACGTTGAGTATATATATGGTAGACATGGGCGCCCAGGGACCAGCGCTACACTGCGTTCGTTCTCGACTTGGCCATTGTACGCTGACCAGGATAGACGCCTTGATGTAAATTTATGCACGTTGCCTTTTTCGACCAATATTGAAATCAATTCTACGCCCACTTTGAAGGCACATATGCCAATCGGTGAATGGTTTAGATGTGCCCGCATACTATAGTACTATCAAGAGGTTCGGCTCGATCAAACTCCGTGAGACCCTGAGATGCGCTGGCATGATGGCATGAGGCATGTAAGGGACGGCCGAGCTTATCCGAGGGCATGCGCTAGTAATAGGTCTAACCAAAGAAAGGGTTCATTGAAAGTGATTGAAACCAAGTATTAGAGTAGCACTCAGTCTATTCTAATAATTCAAGTCAGGCAAACTGAGCTCGAGGGTGTATCTGTGTTTGCAGTCTTGCAAGTTGTTAAGAACGAATGTTGAGCGGCTCAGCCGGACTCTGAAAAGACTTCAATTTGATTATGTAACACCCCGGCAAGCAAGTCACGGCATTGATCAGGTCGGGACATCATTCCATCATGATGTGTATCCACGGATGCATTTCATCTGGGTAGACAACATGGGAAGTGTACTGTGACTCTCATCCAGTAGCAATTCAGACGACTGAACCTTATAAGCGCTAAATCACAGTGACACTAGTGGGTCCTGTTACCAGCCCTGCTGCCAACTTTTTCGGTCTTGTCGGAGGATTCATCTTCAAAGTTCAGATTGAAGTAGCCTCTAGATATCCGAGTCTCCCTCAATCCTGGGCCAGGTCTATAGCAGTCTTTGCCATGGACGGCCTTGGATCCCCACAAGCGACATACCTCTGACCAATCAAACCTCAAGCTTCAAGTGGCGCACCCCAAGTCAGCCCAGTGGGAGTTGTTGTTTCCACTACGTGATCATGCGTCTGCAGTGAGAGAATGGGTGCGTTTGTCACAGTGATCTAAGAATAAATATTCAATGATATAATCGTAACACAGATGGAACCCTCGCAGTCATAGATCCTTTGACGTGTCTTCGAACGCGCTCCAGTCCAACATAGTGACTACGTGCACGCTTGACAGACATGCTCAAGAACTCACTGGCCCGCTGAGGACGGAGCTTTCGCGCTCCTCCTATTTGTCCATAGATGATCACAGTATCACATCTTCCCATGTTCTCTGGTAACGGGTGCGCACCGACATGATCCGGGTGTATCTCCACTGATGCTTATACCGGACAGATTCGTAACCAATCTGGACTACGTCTTTGAGATGTTATGGCTACTTGACTTGTCCGTGTTGTATAAATCAGGCTGGTCACAAGCCTATCATAGGGAACCAATCCAGACCTTTGGAGGTCACGACGAAATCAATCAAATTAAACGTTCGCGAGGCCATCGGAAAGATAGTACATACTGCAAAACATATTTTCCCTTCAAATCCCCAATGCGCACGAGGTCACTCGAAAGTTGACACGATCCAACAAAGTGGGCATCTAACTCAAATCTAACTGCCTAAACTGAATCCAATGGATGTCTCATCATTTCAATTTCTACACCACGTCATGGAAGTTCAAAAAACGCTACGATCGCGATGGGGTCGCTGTACATGTCCACAACTATAACATCATGGGCGTTAGAATCCTCTTTACCCTCTGTAAAGTTCGACAGACGCCGTGAGGCGCGAATCACCTTTACTACACCACGAGCACGTCCGAGGCGAGCAACGCTATTGCCAAAGACAGTCACACGTGGGAGGGCGTCTGACGGGGCTTACCTGCCTCCTGTTCCATTGAATCCTGACGAGTACCACATTGCGCTGAGCGTCTATTATGGAGGTATAATATAATAAGATGTGCGATGTATGCCAATGTGCCTGTGCTGTGTAGATAATATCTGAAGTATATTGTATTCTAATTAGTATGGTTTGGTATGAAGGAGATACGACGGGAGTGGGGTGGTTACGGGAAAAAAGAACGTCGAGACATCATGCATGCAGATGCATACGCATCTCCAAATCATTCTATGCCCCATATCATCCGTGCGCCAACATCTCAAACAATATCCTGAAAATTCTTTAGTGATTTCCCTCTCCATTTGCCTTTGAACTGCTTGAAGATATAAAACATCGGCCACATAACACGCTGCACCAAAGTGCTATCATCGGAAATAAAAGGACTGTGCGAATGACAGGCCACCATGAGCCAGGAAGTAGCGCATGTGAGCGCCAATGCCGTCGCAACGTAATGGACGAGCGTCTCTTGTCCTTGCTGCCCGGTGACTTCATTGACATTCATCCCGAACACGCCCTAGCGAAGCACAATGATAATTAGCACTTCGAGATCACTCTCGCATACTTGGCACGTACTGCAGTGAAGGAAGCCGGAAGGAATATCATCGTGAGGTAGGAGATCTAAACGGACAATTCTTGAGAACTATAATGGTGAATACAATAACGAAACACAAACCTGTTTCATTGCAGCTGAATCTCGGACGGTGACCTCCGTCAGTTCCCTCATATGCTTACTGTCCCCCATATTGACAATCGCAAACGCCAGGTCCATCACGTTCTTCAGCCTACTGATCTGCATCAATCGCCTGCTCTCCAATCTCGCAATCTCGGAGAGTAGATTCCCACACTCCCTTTCCATGAGATTCATGGAGTCCTCACGTTCGCTATCGGAGTGCATAGCGGGATTCGGGGTCTTTTGAAGGAACTCGACGGATTTCTGGAAGTCTTGGAGAAGTGACTGATGGTTTAGGAGGTGTGCTTGTATGATATGAAGTTCACGAGTCAGATCGATCTTATTAGTCAACAGCACTTGAGATTCCTGAATGGCTTTGATAAGAAACCAAAAGAACAAGCCTTGGTTTTCTGCGACGCACCAGCCAATTGATATGAGTGTAGAGCGCGTCAAATGCCTGGTCCCATGAATAGAGAGGATACCACAAGATAGCTAGCAACAAAAACGTGGGGTCCTTGGATTGGGTGAAGATTTTCTGCCAATATACACTCTGTCCCGCACGGTAGACAATGGAGTGTAGCCGCTTTGCAGGAGGACGACGGTAACCAGAGCTTGGATGATATGATATGATCGTGCTCGATTCCTCGGATCGTACCATATGTATCGCGAGGAGGTCGGGGAGAACAATGTTGCCACCTACGTAACTTAGCTATCGATCTAGACAAAGATGGGGATTTTAACCAGGACTTACATCTGAGAGCGAGTGGTGCTTGTGTATTAATGACTTGAAGTTCGTCTTGAAGAAGCACTTAGCTGGGAGTGATTACAGAAAGAGCGAGAACGACTTACCCGTCGATATGTACTGTAAGGGTATAGATCTCAATGAACTCGGTGTTTCGGCTGTTGGTGTTGATGGTCGAGTGACTGGATTTTGCATCGTCCGCATGAATTGAAGCGTAATCGTGATATCTGCATCAGAATGTGAAGACTCCTTGAACCATCAAACTGTGGAGCCAAATACGCACGATCACCCTTGCCCGACCGAACTTCCTCTTGGTAATGCGAGGGTATCCAATTTACGGATGAAGTAAAGAAGAATGGTTCAATATTATACCTATAATTCTTGTCAGTCAAACAAGTGACCGAGCGACGAAACCATTTACCTTGTTCCAAGCATCCGCAACACAGTCGAGGAAATATTATCTACGAACAATGCACGAACACGGATGTTCGCAGGTCGCTATAGAAGAGGCGTCAATCATCGTACACACCTCGAAAAGAGAGCAACTCACAGGCGTCTGCAACAGCGCCCAAAACTCATTTATACGTTCAGGTGCTATTGTACTTGTTTGATCTTGTCCCTCCTCATCCAGAATCGTAAAAGCCCCGTTCGTTAGAACATCCAACCAGTGCGCCGAGCACTTGCCAAGCTCCGGAGAGTTGCTAAGCATCTTGCTCCGCTTCACTTGATCCGGCTTCCAATTTCCAAAGAGAGCCTCAGGGTATCCGCGCCATGACTGGTCAGCTGTGCCAGGTGAGGCTGGTGTGTTGTCATGATTGAGCGTAATGTCTGAGTCGGTGTCAAAGTCCACCCACGGCCAGGGTCCCGATGGTGCTGCATGACGGTGGCTAGAAATGATTGAAGTAGCTGGATATGTAGGCATGGAGGTCACTCACATAGGTGTAGGAATGGCAGGAGGCATGGTCCTATCGCTCGAGTTGCCGTGCAGACTCGGAGTACTGTGAAGACCAGAAGAAAACATCACGGAAGCTCTGTGGTTATTAGTCCTCGACATCTTTACCCCGTATAAGATGTGCTGCAGGAGTAAGGGAATCGCGAATTCATTCCATCCTAGCAAACTAGATATACATAATGGCGACCGGCGATCAACGTCAACCCAGGAAGGATCTTTCAGCTACAGACTCAGACCCACAGCCAGCATATGAAATCAGAACCTGCGCAACCCTATGACTCGGACAGATTCCTGTCCAGTTTTACGTTCGCATTCGTAATGCTGTACTGTAGATGACCTACCATAAACGAAAGCGGATGAACACAGCAGGAGGCATTAGTGCCACTAATACTGTCAAGAATGTCAGTCACGTCACCTAGAACTTCAACTGGAAGGAATTACCATCTTCCTGTTACACCGTACATGGCCTAACTACACGCCCAGTAGATCAAGATTCGCCAGAAGGATCGGTGTCGTCAACGTACCTTATGTCAATGGGTAAACAATAGATTGCGATTGTCCAGCTGCAGTGTCCTTCGAATGTCTGACGTGCCAGCGCACTTCGGCGTACTAATAAATGTACATAAAAGCACTGCCAAGTGGTGTTAGTCACGTCACCTAGAACTTCAACTGGAATGAATTACCATCTTCCTGCTACACCGTTGGACTAGCGCAGCTAGCAATGTGCCTGCCTCTGGCCGTCTATCGATGGCTTGCCTCATAGACGGGTTGGTCACGAGTGTAGCCTCTGGCAGACGGAAGCTGGTGTGGCCTCGACCTAATGATCCCGACTCTGAGGCTGACTAAGCTACGCAAATGGTGGCAAACACCCACCAGGCTGTGCCACCGCTGGATCCGAGGAGGTACCCCACTCCAACCCCACTCCACCGTATATGGCCTAACTACAGGCCCAGTAGACCAAGATTCGCCGGAAGGATCGGTGTCGTCATTGTCAACGTACCTTGTCAATGGATAAACAATATATATTACGATTGTCCAGCTGTAGTACAAGTCTTCGAATGTCTGTGGCGCACTTCGGAGTAATAAATATACATAAAAGCGATGCGTCAACGTGCACGCCATCAGAAGACGACTACTGAGTACTGAGTAAGGAAAATAAATACCAGAAGACATTCGAGTATTCTGATAGCTCAGATCTGGCTATTTATAATGCTGTTCCAAGAAAGTCACCTACTCCTTGTCCACAGCATTTGTGTGGCGTGCAGCGTGCCCACTTACCCCTGCCACGCGGAGCGCAGTCCTAGGACTTAGGGGCTTGCTGTACAATGCACCAGTGTCTGGTCCTTCCGGAAAACACTCCTAGTATAAAACAGCCATCTCTGCACAGACTACTGAAAGTCCGACAACAGTCATCACCACCAACGGAAGTGCATTCCAGTATGCAAACGTCGCCTGGCTTACGATGATGCCCTTTTGTTTGAGGATGCCTCTCCATAGAAGCCCCGCGAGACTTGCACTGAAGGTGAACGATACAGCCCCAATATTACTCGCGACAGCAAGGGCAATAGCAGCTGCGCGGAAGGTCTGATCGGATAACATAGGAGATGCCGCATTCACGACCTTGGTGAGAAGAATCGTTGCACCAATGTTTGTCCCGGAGACATTGCACAGGATGACTCCCAGAACACCGATCAACCAAATGGTGCGGTACATATCTCCATGAGTGGCTCGTAGTAGCCATGTCGCAAAGACGTCTATCCAACCCTGGTGCGAAAGGGCTTCAATCAAGATAAACTGCGCGAACGCAAATGGGACGAGGGCGAAAGGGAGCCTTGGGAGCGCGGTGAAAAAGGTAGGAAAGTGGGCGTGCAGGCGTTTGTGTAGCGCAATGCCCTTGGAGCGCCACAAGGCGATAGAGGTCTTGGATAAAGGTTGAGGGGACCTGTTGCTAAAGGTGCGATTGGAATCGGGATCAGAATTCACCTTGTCTGTCGTGGGTAGTGGGGCGGACTGGCGATGGCGGCTCTTGTTATCTGATATCGTCTGCCCGTCTTGTAGCATAACATCGTCTAACTGCATTGCATTTTCCTCCGGCCCTTTCTGCCCGCGCCCGAGCATCGGTAGCTGCCGAACAAAGCGGTAGTGATCCCAGGCAACATCATAGATAAACTTGGCCACAGCAAAAGGCAAGCTGATCTTCCACACGTCAATTCCGAAGAAGCTGACTACCAAGCACAGAATGAGAGCCGAGGCAAGCATGAAACTACCGACACAGGCACCGATCGGATCCAGGAGGACCGAACGGGCATCAAGGTCAGCAGCGTGGTTCAACTTGCGAGGGACGTATTTTTTACTGTGGTATTGACCGCCAAGAGCCAAGAAGCAGAAGACGCTGCATGCAATGAAAGGAAGGATGGTGTACGCTGTGAAAGCAGCATTATTCACGTTGAAACCTTCGCAGATTACCACCTAAGATTATCGATTCAGGAATGTCAAATTTAAATTCGAGTTCAACAACACGAAATCAAGACCCACATTGGTGGGATTCCCGACAAACAACACCATGCTCGCTGTGTTCGCTGCTGCAAACTCGGACATGAGCCATGAGATATGATTGAGCTCGGCGACTTTTGTGTAATAAATCAGGAACGCAGTTCCAGAGAGGATGACGGGATCATTTCCCAGCAAGATGGACAGCAAGGTAAGCATGATGTAGAAGTAGGTGTAGAGTTTCCAGCCGTTTGAACCACCTTTGTTGCTGACCCAGAACGCTGCAGACTGAAGGATACCGGTGATGTCGAGGGTGATGGCCATGTAGGCAAGGGAGAAAAAGAGGATAAGAATGTTGTAGGGTTTAACGCCGTCTGTACCAACGATGCCGTCGCGAATGACTGTTGGGTCGAGACATTGTGCCGCCCATAGAATTGCAATTGCGATGATTGGGGCGGTTGTTAAATTTATTGGGATACGGGGTATTCGTCGAGGGGTGGGTATAGAGACTGGGTATATCACAAACCCAATTGATATGACAAAGACCACCAAAGTGGCCACAGAATAACCAGTAATCATGATATATAGTGGGCAGGACCGGTTGTTTGTTGACTGTGAGTCAGACGGAGAAGTATATAAGCTGTTGCGAAGGATTCGGACTCCATAACGTTTCCACAATATACCGTAAAATTATGTCTATATATAGAGTCTTATCGATTTCAAACAGTCTCTTCTCGTTTTCCAGAAGCCAAGGAACCCGCTGCGATACGCCGGTCATGACCTATGTCTGACACCTTATTCGAAACTTGTCTGAGCATGGGGTCATAATTACCAACGTGTGCTCACACACTCGCACTGGTTTAACACTGCATCCTCCAATGTAATTACCGTCGACGCAGTCCAGTCTGCCAGCCGCGGCATTCCTGTATCCCTCATAATACCATGCATGCGAATAGACAAAACAATCTTGGGAATAACCCTGAACCGCCCAGGTTACCGAACCGATCTGCAGGAATGTTCGCTTGACATACAATAACACACCAAACGTGACTGGCCGGCAACTTGCTTGCACTCACCTTATCATTTTGGGTTTACACAATAGGTAAAACATCATGTCATCGTCACCATCGAGAAGTCGGCTAACATGTTCGCTGGGATCATTCTAGTCAAGCACCTACTTAATATACGACAAATAAGGGCGTCTGTCGTCAGTGTGGTGCTAACCTGTGCACGAACCTTGCAGCTCAATTTCGAAGAAGAACGTCTTTTCAACCTTATGACATCATCTTATTATCAACTCGCAGCCGTAACTGGACTGAGAATTCCTTAATTTTCTTCTAGGTTTCGCCTCGAATGATAAGCGTGGTCAATGGTCATTCGTGCGTATGAATGACACCATTGAATAATTGAAGTGTGACGTTTCGATGGTCACATGAAACACTGCCTTTGATACTTCCGACCGGACAGCTTGTCGCCCTAGCTGACTAGGGCCAATGGGCTTAGTGGAGATTGGCGTTTTAGAGTCAGAGAAGGTTACCGAGGTCAGCTAGATTGGCAACTGGCACAAGCACAAGTGAATGTCTTCCTTCCAAGTATTTGATTTGACAACTCTGACAAGTGGATGTTTGGCGACAGATCCCATTTTACCTCATCTTGTGAAGTAATGAATACGGTCATCCGCTCCAGGACATGCAGTGCTACAGCAGGTCCGATTATGCATGTCAGCCGGTCCAATTATAAGTTAGTAAACTATGAACGATTTCAATTGGCTGACTACGCCACCAGGTCTGGGGAATTACATAAACGAATCATATGGTAGACGAAATATACCCGTGAGCTCGTACCTCAGTGTAACTGCTACTTATCGCTGTACAACAAGCAGGAGAATGCCTAAGCCATCCAGTTAAGTGAATCCATTGAACCGCTATTCGATTCAGGTAGTAATTTGCTCCTAAAGTGAATCGCAAACCTTGTTTCGACTTGCGACGTTTCTTCAAGTAGGTGTTTCCGCCAATTGTTTTGAAACACACACTCGGTCGTCCCTGCACGCTGCTTCTATTTATCCACAAGTATTTTCTAATCTCTTGATAAGTGCTGAACAGTATAAGTATCCGTATTCATGCGATCACTCCGTAGCGTATACTAACGGCCCGGTGGTTCCTACACAGTAGGTTACCATATGATATGGTACGTGTTCCATGCAGAAGAAGATATCACTGCTCGTTGATATTTCTGCCTTGCTGTAGATGCTATTCTTATCATTGAATGTGCTGTCAATGACCTGTCAGATGATGCACTGCCATTCGACGTGGCTCCCCGCTGCAGTAAATCCAGACCACTATTTTCTCACTCAACTAGCTTATTTTCGCAGGCGTCACAAACAGCAATACGAATTTTCAGTTGCGTATTTATCCTCTTGAATGGTGTTTGTTCTTGATTGTTATGTAAAACAGGTTGCGAACGTGATTGATGAATCGCCCACCCTGAGTGTGCCCTGTCGTCATGCCCATGATGATCTCGAGAGGAGACTATTAGGGAAACTCAACTCGCGTATGTCGGTTATCGTGGTTATCTATGATGCGAGTGCGAACTGTGTAGCGAACATTGTCGATATCTAACGAAGCATCCTTATGCTCCGGTATTATCTGGATGGTACAAACGGGACGATCTTGCCATGAGAGCAGCTTTGGCATCGGGGCCTTAATTGCATCTAGTATCTTCGAGGCATGCAGTGGTTAAGCTGCATGGAGGCGAGAACTTGAAACGATCTCCCTGCTATTGACCAAAACTGGACGATCTATAGGTGGTCATTTTACATCGAGGGCAGTATTACCATCTTCATCGTGATTTGTATGATGTTCATACCCGCCTCGCAATATCAGATGGCTCACTCCGGAGGAAAGAGTACTCACCATCTCAAAGATGGTCATGGTAAGGTTGAGCTTGAGAAAAAGTCGATCATGCAAGGACTGATATGCTGTGTTTGACTGAAAGGTGTACCGGTTTTGTGATAGCGCACACTCCACATGATCTACACGCGGCGCAACTGTGAGTTACGGTATGATGTTATCATTGCTACTTTGAGCTCTTCCATGGGTGTTCTTGAGGATAGCTCTTTTGAAGTGGGTGAACCAGTTTTATCCAGTGAGAGCCGTGTCTGATCAACAAATAGAAATTCTGATAAGTGGCGCTGATATTTTATTGCTTCGAATGCACTTACTGCTCTTGGATTCAGCACATCTATCTGTACAACATTTGGACATTGCTGCACGCTGTATTTCGCCGCAAGTGATCCTCTTCTACTCCGGGTGTACATGTTCCCGATTAGACGGATCGCTAGTCTAGACTCTAGATGTACTACTAGCTGCAGTAACGCGATTACGACGGATGCATCATTTCATCCATCCCTGAGGCCTGATGCGGTGTCACATCTGCTTCGCCATGACTCGGACAGATATTATGGAACGCTCCACGTAGTACGTATGACAGCAGCGGGAAGCAGATGGTGGTGTAGTACTAAGGGATTGGCAGTCACTGGAGACTTCAAACTCCGCTACCTGCAAATGCACCCAGATTTCAAGCTTCAAGTTGGTCGCGGACACAGACCTGATGCTCTGCGCAGACCCTCACTCAGACTGGCCATTTCAGACTCGTCCTCGCCCCTCCGCCTGTCGCCCAAGGGTCCCCACTATTGACTTTTCGTCCTCTCGCATGATTCTTCAGCTTCTATAGGGGGCTCCGAGCCTCGGGCATGAGTACAACTCGGGCCAAGCTCGGGTTCCACACCTATAAATATGTGGCGCTATATCTTATGATTCAGGTTCCGGGCTTAGTAGGAACAGCGACGATAATAGGAGTTCGTGGCGCGCAGAATATATTCGGCCGATTCCGATATTCTATTATACTAACTACAGTTGAAATGCTCATAATGCATAAGGTGACTATGCATAAGATCTCGTAATGCATGACAAATGGTGGGAACCAACTTCGTTCCTATGTATTTATGCACAAAATCTACTATTGAATAATGCATAGAGCTTTATAGACTTATGCATCATTATATATACTACATAGAGTAATGCGGAGCCTTTGCTCACTAGGGACCCTGCCACAAACCGATGCTAAACCTTTACTGCTCATGTGTAATAAATAAAATTAAGCAGAGCATAATTTTTCCTGCTTTTCAATGGCACCTGCAGACCCCCCAAAGCGTAAACCTCGTCACAACCATAAACCCTATGTTCATGTTATGAAACCCAAGGTCAAAGACTTACCCAAGACATCTGCATTACCCCAGCCTCCAGCCCATGCACGACACAATCTAACACTCAGTGACTGGCTAACTGTAGTCAAATATTATGACGACAACCAGCCTATATCACAGGAAGATGTTGTTAAGCATTTCAAGAATCTTCCTCAGGGTGCTTTGATATTTACTCAATCATCACTCTCTCGTCACATCACAGTAAAAGGACGTAGCAATGATCAGGCCCATTTGTCATCAAATCCAACAGCTCTTTCAGGGAAAAGGGCCCGAATTGTTACCCGGCCAGATGTTGAAAAGGCACTTGTTTTGTGGGTTGGTCATATGGAGCAGAAACGTGAAACTGTTACTGTTACGCTGACCGTCGGTCGGCGTGTGCGAACTAGGATAGGTCTTCTCAGCGACGACTCGAGTGAGTCTACTGAAGCTGAGCGTGGTCTAGCCTTGACGGAACGTCAAGGATTCCTCCGGCAATCTCGGTAAGACAGCGCTCGTCGAGATGCAGGGCTAGCGGATACATGCTAAGTCGTATGGAGGCGACTTAGAAGTGCGGTCTCACACAAGGAAGCTGGTAAGCTTAGATGAGCAAGTTCTGGGGATGAACCTAGTAGATTGAAGTAAAGTCTAAGTACAATAATCTGTGTCTACTTATAGGGAAGTACTACAAGTATTCTAGCTCAGTCTGTAATCAATAGTATATCGTAAATCTATGATAGCCAGACATGAGGTTTCGATAAGATACATGAGGCTTAACCTCTGATCAAGCATGCTGCGCCAAGGGCAGCTGCGCATAGGTACAGGAAGCGCCAAGCGCGCTCCGGATCTTCATGAAGCGACATGTGGTATACATGCGCTGATCTAGGGTGTCCATGAGGCGTACAGCCTCCATGGATCAGGTACAAGGCCGTCTAGGCCAGGGGCGGGGTCATAGCGCCAGGGGTGGGGTCATAGCGCCAGGGGCGGGGTCACAGCGGTCCAGACCACTGTCTTTCTAGGCGCGGGCGGCGCACCGCCGCGCGGGGAGTCTAGCAGAGCGGGGGCAGGCGTAGGGAGAGCTGGGGCTTTAGTAGGTGTTACAGATCCCTGTAACAGTTACAGGCCCAATGCTTATGGCAAAATGTGCAAAATTTGAGGAAGCCATGGATATACCAGAGGATGAGAGGTTAAAAAGTGGTGGTTGGGTGCAAAATTTCCTGTGAACGTGAGCCAAGAGTCAATATGTTACAGAATATTGATTTTCTATTTTTTAGGTACAATATGAAAGAATATCGTCGACATGGAGAGGCAGCATCTGTTAATTTAGCAGCAGTTGCGG